GTTTGTACCAGCTGTCCATTTTTTTTTTACTTTCTCAAAATAATTGACTTTTTTTTTTATAATTTTGCCTTTTGTCTAAATAACTTGTTACTTTCTTAAAATGTAATATTTCGTTATATGGACACAGTCAGAATTGTCTTAATAAGTGAAAATTTCTGGAAAGTCAGTTTTTTGAGTAAGTCATTACTTTTGATAAGTCATTAATTTGGCATACTGCCAGAAACACAGGTAATGGGTCAAAAATAGGGAGAAACATTTTCTCTCCTGCACTTTTAGAAAAAAAGATACTAAACGGTCACTAAGGTGGTACCCCTAATATCACTGGGGTGGTACATCTTCTTCTTAGCTTTAGTTGGGGAAAGACAAATGTAAGGTACAGAGGCCGTATAACCATCGTTTTACTTTTGAGAGTACGTTTAATTTGTTTGCACCTTGATGAACAATGTACCCGTACGGTACAATGTACGGTACAGTGTTCTGACAGTGTACCTGGCGAGAATTGGGTTCCACAGACCTCAGCTTCTGCCCCCACACACAAACAATTAATTACACATTTATGTCCAGTTTTTATGACTGTACATTATGTTAGGTTTAAGGAAAAGACACAAATTCTCTTGCTTCTCCTCAGTGATATAAAGGACAGTGTTAAAGTGAGCTTATTTCCCCTGAGGTCATGCTATGCTAATATCCAGTGCAGGATGTGATCCGCTACTCGGTGTGTATTGTGCTGATTATGTTAGCTGCTGTGGGCGGCTAACACACACACCGGTCTCCTCTACAGAGCGAGCCGCAGAATGGACTTCAGCTAATTAAGCTGCTAATGGTTTGTTGGAGGGCTGTTATTTCCCTGATGAATCTAATCAACGTGACGGATGACATTAGCAGCAGTGTTTGTGGGGGATCATTGAAGTTTCTCATTAGGGTAGAATGTTTTAGCTCACCATACGTTTCTGGCTGTTTGGTTGTTTAGTATCTGAAACAATAGTTGAGAATTCACGTTAACGTAGGTTCCTTAAGGGTTTAATTGGATTTTATGTGGACTGAGTGGTGAGTGGATAATCAGCTCTTTACATATGGATGACCAGCAAACCAGCAGTGTGTGTGTGTGTGTGTGTGTGAATGCAGGCATTAATGCAAGCCTGTGTGTGTAAGTGGACAGAGATGTTCACACTTTGCTTCATGTAGTCTCAAGTTTCTACAGTGAAAGTCGATGATGGTGAATCAAGTCTTAAGTCCTTGCAGTGCGAGTCTGAGTCAAGTCTCGAGTCTGTGAGGTGTGAATCTGAGTCAAGTCTCAAGTCTCTGGGTTCCATCTGGTGTCTCTAGGGTGTGAGTCCGAGTCAAGTTTTAAATCTCTGCAGTGAGAGTTCGAGCTCAAGATGAGTCTGAGCTGTGTCTCAAGTTCCTGGGGTGAGAGTCTCGAGTCTCTGCAATGCGAGTCTGAGTTGAGTCTCGAGTTCCTGAGGTGCAACTCCAAGTCTCTGGCCTCTTAAGTCCGAGTTGAGTCTTGAAGTGCGAGTCTGAGTCTCTGAAGTGCAAGCCTGAGTTGATTCTCGAGTTTCTGAGGTGCGAGGCCCAGTCTCTGGGGTGCAAGTCTGAGTTGAGTCTCGAGTTTCTGAGGTGCGAGTCCAAGTCTCTGGAGTGCGGGTCTGAGTGGAGTCTCAAGTTTCTGAGGTGCGAGTCCAAATCTCTAGAGTGTAAGTCTAAGTGTGAGTCTTGAATCTCTGCCGCGCCAGTCCATGTCGACTTTTGAGTTTCTGAGGTACGAGTCTGAAGTGAGTCTTGAGTTTCTGGGTTCAAATCTGAGTCAACTCATTTCTCTGGGGTGTGAGTCGGAGTTGAGTCTCAGGTCTCTGGGGTACGAGTCTGAGTCAAGTCTTGAGTCCCTGGGCTTCAAGTGCGAGTCGAGACTTGGCTTTTCGAGGTGAGAGTCTGAGCCAACCCTCTGGTCTTTGAGGTCAAAGTCTCTTGAGTCTCTGGGTTGAGGGTCTGAGTTAAGTCCCAAGTCTCTTATTTCATGATGGGAACTTTAGCAGCACAACAAAAAAATGATAATAATGTTATAAATGGAGCAAATGTCCATTACTTTAGTTTAAGGCCCCTAATATCAACACAATGTCATTTGCTTCATCTTATGTCATCTCGCTGTTACTAGCATAACGTTGCTGTCAGAACAAAACCTCGTATCTCCAAAGTGGTAACTTTACAGGAGAAGGAAAAAACCTACTTTACTTTCAATTTAAGTCAATGGAACCAGAATTGTACTAAGTCATTTTAGGCTGTGTCTTTTGGTCCATTCATCATGAAATTTACACACAATGTACAGAGCAACAGGTATTTTCAAATTATGTCAAAAACTGAAAAACGACAAAAATTGAGATACAAGGTTTTGTTCCAACAGCAGCGATAAGCAAGTCATAAACATTCAAGTATTGCTTCATAAATATGTTATTCAGTGCTTATGCATGTGTTATGTAGTCCATATGTAGGCAGCCTTCAAATAAAGTGCTACCCCTTTTATTTTATTTTATTTTATTTATTATTTATTTTTTTATTATTATTATTTATTTTTTAGAGATTTCAAGCACTAATGGGTCTGCATACTTGGTGGTCTGTGTCTGAACAGAACAGGATTTATTCCAAAAGAAAATCCCCTATCCCTCGTGCATGTCCTCATCAGGGAATGAGTGCTGGGATTGATTAATCTTTGGGGAGAAATGTCTAATCTGATTGTGTGCACTTCTCAGAAACTGATACAGTGCTGCAGCGCCTGTGTGGATGGAAGTGTTTGTGTTTGAGGCCGAGGCAGAGCTATCGATGGAGAGTCTGTATTTACATAGTGTCACTCTGGAGCTATACTGGGACTCGTTATCATCATATTCACACACACACACACACACACACACACATACAGAAGCTATGCTGAGGGCCGCTGAGGTCAGAGTGTGTGATGAGGCGAGGGTGACCGTGGTGAACAGAGCGTTTCCTGTATGAGGATGGGGTCAGCCCTTATTTCAGCAGCTCTCGCTTCACCTCCACCCGCGCAGAAATGACTTTTTCTGCTCCAGTCTGGAGGATGGGAAGCTGTCTATATCTCTCTCACTGCAAAACAGTTTAAATCTGATTGGCGGAGCCACGACTGAGGCTGTAAAATACTCATATATGACCACACATATCAATTGAATTCTGTTGCTTGGCAACAATCTCCTACTGTTAACAGACTACATTGCATTATAATTAATAATAAACTGAAATATTCTTTGAACATTGCTTATTTAATCAAAGCAGTAATGCACTATATGGACAAAAGTATTGGGACCTACCTCTTAATCATTGAAATAGGTGTTTGATTCAGTCTCATTTCCACAGGTGTATAAAATCAAGCACCTAGCCATGCAGCCCGCCTTTACACGCATTAGTGAATTTGATTGTGTTGCTGTAATAGGATGCCACCATTGCAACAAGTCGGTTCATGAAATTTCTTACATCCTGGATGTTCAACCATCAACTGTGAGAGGTATTATTGGAAAGTGGAGGCGTTTAGGAACCACAGCAACTCAGCCACGAAGTGTCAGACCATGTGAAGTTACAGAGCGGGTCGCTGATATGATGCATAAAAGTCACCAATGCTCTGCTGACTCAATAACTGCAGAGTCCAAACCTCCTCTGTCATTAACATCAGCACAAAAACTGAGCGCCAGCAGCTTCATGGCAGGGTTTCTATGGCCGAGCAGCTGCATGCAAGCCTTACATCACCAAGCACAATGCCAAGCGTCAGACGGAGTGGTGTGAAGTGTGGAGTGATGAATCACTTCTCTATCTGTCAGTCTGATGGACGAGTCTGGGTTTGGCGAATACCAGGAGAACGTCACCTGCCTGACTGCACTGTGCCAGCTCTAAAGTTTGGTGGAGGAGGGATGATGATATGGGGTTGTTTTTCTGACCCTGAACCCCATCCAACACCTTTGGGATGAACTAGAACGGAGATTGCGAGCCAGGCCCTCTCGTCCAACATCAGTGTCTGACCTCACAAATGCTCTTCTGGATATGAATGTCCAAAAATTCCCACAGACTCTCTCCAACATCTTGTAGAAGCTTCCCAGAAGAGTGGAAGCTGTTACAGCTGCAAGGGGAGACCAACTCCATATTATGCCTATGGATTTAGAATGGAATTCATAAAAGCACCTGTAGGTGTCCCAATACTTTTGTCCCTACAGTGTGTCTTTGTAATGGCTGTGTGCTACAGAGTGTAACCTGTGATTTCACCTCAATTAAAAAAAGTCACACCTAACACAGTAATTTTACAGGTATTTGTTTAGTCTACGTATAACATTTTTGAGTGATAAATGTTGTCGGAAAATAATCAACAACTGTTTTTTGGGGGGTTTCATTGAATTCTTTAAAAATCTGACATCTCTTTGTAAATCTGGAAGCCAGATTCTTAAACGAAGAAGAAATGTTTTCGAATTCCTGGCATCAGTGTGAAAATCTCAAAAGCCATTTTGAAATTCATCAGGCCTTTTTTTAACTTCAAAATATCAATTCTTATACTTTTATTTCCAGTTAAGATTACCAAAATAAGTGAAAGAAGAGCCAAGCTGTTTGATAAGGTATCGTAGTGTCAGAAATTTGAAACTAAATCTGAGAAAACCATGCTCGCTACAATTTCCTTTTGTTTTGCTGTGTCTAATTCTTTCCTTTAAAATGCCCTTATAGTGTAAAAGATTTTTTTGCTCTTTTGTAATGTTTATATTCTTAATTTTGTAAAGAATAGAATTTATATTTTTTGTCTTTATATATATATATATATATATATATATATATATATATATATATATATATATATGTAGTTTATAAGGTATAAGTAATAAGCTGTAACTTTGTTAAGTAATTAATAAGGTTATTACCTTGTTTGTTAATTCTCCTCTTAACACTTCTTCTTCTTGAGTGCTTTGCTCTCCCTTTGCTGCTAATAAAGGATTATCTCATCTTTTCCGCAGAGGAGATCTTCCAGTCCCACATTGCTCACTGGTGGTCTCCAGATGGCGCCCGGCTGGCATATGCCACCATCAACGACACGCTGGTGCCCAGGATGGAGGTGCCCATGTTCACAGGATCACCGTACCCAACGGGCAGAGAGTACCACTACCCTAAAGTAAGACATGTAAACATGGAGAGTGGTTTACAGGTCAGCGTTGCAGTGTATGTGTACGGATCCACATTAGGGAACGGGGGCAAACTGACACGTGTTTTTTTTTTGGGAATAACATGAAGTTATTAAATTATAAATACTACTGTTATTAAATGTTAAATAGTTTAACATAAATAAATTATTTATTTACAATGCTAATGATTGGATCACCAAATCATGTTGTAAAATGTGATATTTTTCCATATGTTATTTTATTATAACTTAATTCTTGATGTTATTCATCTTTCTTAATATTTTAAAAAATATCTACAGCTCAGATTTCTTCATTTTTATTCATTTTCCATTCCTGCTAATTATGTGAAACCTGTGAAGTTCCACATCACTAGCACATTAGAGTCATTTTATACCTTCATCTGCGGCCAGATTGCTCATATTGCACATAATAATATCGTCATATTGTTGAAAACATTGATGCTAAACTTGTGGCTGATGGTTCTGAACTGCTGAGTGGACGTTTAATGGTGGTGTGTTTGTTCAGAGAGCTCATTCTGTGATGATCTGCAGGTCCTGTGAGGTTTTTGAAGCTCTGGTTATTATTCTAGGCAGGAGAGGAGAACCCGGTCATCTCTCTGTATGTGGTCAACCTGAACGGCCCCCTGCACACCATCGAGATGAAGAGACCAGAGGACCAGAGGATAGGGTGAGGAGCCCTGCTAATGCTAACGCTTGTCACTATAGTAATGCAGCTTTGCAGAAAGCTTTCTTCAGTGCAGTATACACTGTAAACACAGTAGTACGAGGTGTGGGACGGGATGATGTAAACAAACAAAAAAATAATAATACGTAACGAGAGTCGCCCACTACTAAACATAATACTATTAATGAATATTATATTTTTATTTTACATGATTATTTACACTTTTAAATGTCTGCTCCAAAAATCTGTAAACTAAATTTGACTCCATATTGACACCTACTGAGATCATAACATATTATATAAAATATTTACATTTTAACCCTTTAAACTAAAGTGAGAGTTCAGATTTTAATTCCTCACCGTCATAATTACAAAACTTACATATTAGTTTCAGAGCAGTTGCTAAATAGTTTATAGTAGTCACTGAATAATAAGCATTAAGAATAATAATTGAATAGCATATAATTTAGGAGGTTAATATGGTGGTGGAGATGATGGGGCACGACCAAACATGTTTTTCTAAATAATTTTTAAAATATGTCAGCAAGAATAATACGATTTTTTTATATAAGCAATCTACACATCTCTGATAAAAGTGAAAATAAATTTACTGCAACCAAAAGTGGTGAAAGTGCAAATCGCTGCTGTCGGAAGAAAACCTCGTATCTCCATTTTTCAGTTTTTGACATTTTAAAAATGCCTGTTGTCCTTTACATTGTATGTAAATTCCATGATGAAAGGACTAAAAGAAACAGCCTGAAATGACTTGTAAAAAAACTCCATTCTTTCATTAAAAGTAAAGTATGTTTTTTCCTTCTCCTGTAAAATTACCATTTTGAAGGTTTTCTTCCGACAACAGCGAAATGCTACAACTTCATAATTAGCTGTAACAGACTGAAGGTCTGGTTGTAACGTGGCTAAAAAGGTCTGTTAAGTTGACTCAAACACAGTTGATTCAGTACAATAATTCTTTGTTGTTTGAACCTGATAACACTTCCAACCTCAGGATGTAAAAATATCTGCATCCAAATAATTATGAACAGTGAAAAGACTCTGTCAAACTCTGACACATTTAATTTACACCATAAAGCAGAACAGCAGATATCAGCACAATACAGTTGAAACATATTTACATAACATCTGTAGTTTGTTTTTTGATGAATCAAAAATAAAAATTCCCCAAAAATGAACTGTTTTGAATTTAAATGGGAGTTTATGGACTCTTATTGTTTTCTTCGGAGGTCTTAGTTGTAACACAGTGTTTAAACTAACTCTGCTGTGTGGGGGGTGTATTTTAGCCTGTCTAGCTCTCACTTTGAATTCTATATATGCTTCAAAGTAGTTCTATATAACAGCCACCAAGAGTTTACAGTAATATAAGAGTAAATTCTGGGACTTGCACACGATTCCATAATCAAAAATCACTTATGATTAAAAAAGTTACTTTTATGGTACAAAAGCAGTCTTTAGGGTGAATATGGAGAAATACCTGCCTGATTGCTGTGAGAATTTGCGGATGATGTTGCTATGGGAACACAAGATGATCAAAGTCATATTCTGCTCGACTACATAGAACATCTGTTGAACGTCTGACCCTGCGTTCAGTTGTGCCCCCCTCTCCCCTTATCAACATATTTTAAATCAATGCCAGTAAGTTCATTTAAAATATACTTGCGTTTTGAACTCAAGTGGATTTTTGGATGCCAGACATTCAACAAAATACAATTGCCCTTTTCTGCTATTACTCAAGTTGAAAGATGGAGTTTTCCACCACTGCCTACACTGCAGTCCTGAGAGAAGGTTATTACTCCATTCTGAAAAAGTAGTTTTAGGACGGTGTGGAAAATTTCATGTGATGAATGGTGTTAGATTGAGTTTATAAATCAGTGTGACTCAGCTCAGATCCCGTAGAACCACAGCATCGCACGATTTACTAATCTTCACTTCTTTAACACAATCGTGGGCGCAGTTTCAGCTTACTGACTGCACTGATTCAGCTCATGTATACAGATGGAACACTAAACTGTGCGGCCCAGGAGATCACTGGTAAAATAAAAGGTTAAGGAAGTATGAAATATGAACATTCTCACATTACTTTTCAAGAAAGAAAACATTCAACGTGTTTTAACAGAAAGCAACTGCAGTCAGGTCCATAAATATGTGGACTTCAGCAACATTATTATTTTGAAATCAAATAATATGAGCTTAAAGTTCAGACTTTCATCTGAAATTATTTACATCAAAATCAAGTGGACAGTAAAGGAATTACGACCATTTCCGTACCAGATGTTGGGTTTCTTCGTGGGTAATGCTCTGCCAGGCCCTTACTGCATTTCCTGTTTGCTCTTGGAGTGTATTACCCTCGGTTTAGCATTCAGTATGTGAATTACATGCTCGGTTGGATTGAGGTCAGGTTATTGACTTGGCCATTCCAATTCTTCACCTTAAAAAGTCCTGGGTTGCTTTGCGGTATGTTTTGGGTCATTGTCCATCTGCACTATGAAGCACCATCCGATGAGTTTTGAAGAATTAAGGCTGAACCTGAGCAGATAATACAGCCCTAAATACTTCAGAATTCATTATGCCGCTTTTGTTAACAGCTACATCATCCGTAAACACAAGGGAACCTGTTCCACTGGCAGCCATACATGCCCACACCATAACACTACCTCCACCATGCTTTACAGATGAGGTGGTTTGGATCATGATCAGTTCCTTCCTTTCTCTTTGCTCTTCTCTTCTCATCATTCTAGCACCAGTTGATCTTTGTCTCATCTCTCCTTAAGATGTTGTTCCAGAACTGTACGGACTTTTTATGTGTTTTTTTGGCAAACTCTAATCTAATCTGGCCTTCCTGTTTTTGGTGCTTAACAACGGCTTACACCTTGTGGCAGACTCTCTGTATTTACTCTGGTGACGTCTTCTCTTGATTGTTGACTTTGACACGGATACACCAACCTTTTGGAGGGGGTTCTTGATCTGGCCAACTGTTGTGAAGGGTTTTTTTTTTTACTAGGCACATAATTCTTCTTCCACCACAGTTGTTTTCTATGGTTATCTGAGCCTTTAGGTGTTTCTGAGCTCACCAGTGCATTCCTTCTAAGTTATATGTAAACGGTTGTAATTGTAATTCCACTGTTCACCTATTTTTGAGGCAAATGCCCTCAATTAAGGCTTAAATTCTGCACTTTGAGTCTGCATATTCATTATTTAGTTTTAATAACTTTGTCAACATTCAAGTATTTATGGACCTGATTGTATGCCTTCAGCATTCAGCTTCATCTTAATCAAATATCTTCCTTGGTATGAAGAGCAGGTTTTGTCTCAATAATGATTTGACAGTTTTCTTTTCCAAACTGCTGTTAAAAGCACACATATTAAACCATCTTTGGGCCACTCTTTTGGCCCAAAGATGGTTTAAACAGCTGAAAGGTTTGAGTGCTGACATCACAACAGGGGATCGAATAGGCATTATTCTCAAGGTTGTTTTGTAGTTTGACTGAATAAAAAATAGCAAAAAAAAATAGATCTAAACAGTCGAAAAGCTAGATGTCCCCAAATATTTGACTGGCAGCATACAACACCGTCGGTTTTCTCTTCTATCATGTAAGTGCACACTCGAATGCTGTTATTCCATAGTGATGGGCAATGCCTGCTTTAACAGGCAAGGTTTTAGGCTGGCTTAAGATGATGAAACTTTCATGCAACATGTACATTGCATGCAACAATTTCCAACTTCACAGTAACACGAAGCAATTAAAAATGACCAAAGTTGCACGCAACACATTAAGTTACTCCTCTAGAAGCCAAATTAGGCATGTGTTGTTTGACTGTTTGGTCAGTTGTAACATGTTTACATTTGTATTTGTTGCATTTTTCTTCTTCGTATAATTTTTCAGGCTGTTATTTACCTCTTTTGTCTTCGTACCTATCGACCTTGACTTTTCAAAGCTGAGTCTTTGAAAATGAATATTTAATTTTATTATGATTCTACCTTGATGCTTCACTCATCCTGTCCAAGAAGCACTGTATGTGTATTGAGGACCACATCTTGTTCTGTCTAAAATATAGAAAATGAATAATTTAACGCAGATCACTATGACAGCAGGCCAAAAAATTAATAACAAGCAGCCTTTTGAACAGCTGTTAGCGTTAGCTGGCTAGTTAAACCAGCTGGTTGTGTTGCGTTTGTTTGTTGTCATGGCTCAGGAAACTGACAAAATAAAAAACTGCCAACGTTACATACAGTTAATGAGGACAAGTCAATGCTCACCCACCCAATAAACCACCTTCTGTTATTTTTCTGATGTGGTGAGACGTGATTATGTGATGCATTATTGGCATTTTGATTAGCTGTTTCCTGAAACTTGAGATGACGTTGTGATGCAGCTGTTGCGACTGAGTTTCAAAGAGTCACAGGACACCACCTTATGCAGTGTAAGTTTGAAGCAAGGTTCCTCTGTGTACAGCCAGCCTAACAGCCCTGGTTCACTTTACTAACGAGTTATCAGCCCTATAATGACTTGAATCAGGTGTATTAAGCAGGATAATTATCCTGGACTGCAGCAGGAGATTATTAGCATATGCAAACACTTTGCTTTTTTTCCCAGAGAGTACTATGTTACCATGGTGAAGTGGGCCACGAGCACAAAACTGGCGGTGAACTGGTTAAACAGAGCCCAGAACATCTCCATTCTGACCCTGTGTGAGGCCACTACAGGAGTCTGTACAAAGGTAAACACTCAACCACTAACACAGCTAAGCAGCCTTCTCCAAAATACCAGCACGAGTGTGACATTTTAGAAATAAGCGTTTGAAGCTCTGCTGAAGAGGTGAAATCATCTCATTTAATAAGAAGACATGTAATAATGTGTATATAACAGGGCTGCCCTGTTTAATTTGGCCTTATAGAAGGTGCCCTAACCCCCCAACCCCTTTTAATCTGAGTACAAGATTATTTAACTTATTTCAAGACGCTAGATAGCCACAAGTTAAGATGTTCACTAAAGAATAGAACAGAATGTGAATGTGTGTGTGTGTGTGTGTGTGTGTGTGTGTGTGTGTGTGTGTGTGTGTGTGTGTGTGTGTGCTTTTGCCATCTGTGTTTCAGAAACATGAAGATGAGAGTGAGGGCTGGCTGCACAGACAGGTAACAGAACACCTGCATCCTCTTCACACTCTTCACATTGAATTACTATATTATTATAAACAATAATTACACAAATAATGATTATGGTTAGTGCTGGTGGATGCTGTATGTTAATCATTTATGTGCAAAAGTTTAAGCAGCCAAAAAACCTGTTTAAAACAATTAAGTTTTAACTATTAACTACTGTCTGAGCAGTAAATGTGTTTTTGCCAGTGAAACACTGTATAACATTAGACTAAACACAAATACATGAGTACAGACATAAACAGACATAAATAAAACATGGTAAGAATATGTTGTTTTCGGTAAACTTATTGATATGTTTAGAAAAATGCAGTTAAAAGAAGACAGGTTTGATTCCTGACTTCTCACTTTAGTGAAGGACTGATTTGATGAGTGAGGTCAGTTCATTTTATTAAGTAACTAATTTTATTAAGTACTTACATTTTTTATGTGTAGATGCACTATTTTTTATACCATTATGTCTGTAATAGTTATCCATGTACTTTTTACCATGAAGAAAAAAACAAAACTTAATATACAGCCATACACTATGAACATGCTGTCATTAAAAAGCTATATTACTGTTGCATACTAACTTATTTAGGACTCGAAGTTAAGGATTCTGACCTTGACGAGGCTTAGAGATCTGTTTTAACTTGAGTCTAGACTGTCTTGACACGAATATTTGTCTGAATTGATTTGAGACATGACTGTGTTGACTTGAGACTTCCTGTACTGACTTGATACTTTACCGTACTGACTCGAAACTTGACCGTATCAATTTGACACTTGACCAGATTGACTTCATACTTGACCATATTGACTTGATACTTGACCATACTGACCTGGTACTTGACCATACTGACTTGATACTTGACCATACTGACCTGATACTTGACCGTACTGACTTGATACTTGACCCTATTGACTTGATACATGACCATCTTGACCTGATATTTGACCATATTGACCTGATATTTGTCCATATTGACTTGATACTTGACCGTCTTGACCTGATACTTGACCATATTGATTTGATACTTGACCGTCTTGACTTGATACTTGACTGTACTGACTTAATACTTGATCATATTGACTTGATACTTGACCATATTGACTTAATACTTGACCATACTGACCTGATAATTGACCATCTTGACCTGATACTTGACCATACTGACTTGATACTTGACCGTCTTGACTTGATACTTGACCATATTGACTTGATACTTGATCGTATCAATATGACACTTGACCAGATTGACTTGATACTTGACTATATTGACTTAATACTTGACCATACTGACTTGATACTTGACCGTCTTGACTAGATACTTGACCGTATTGACTGATACGTGACTGTATTGACTGATACGTGACCGTATTGACTGATACGTGACTGTATTGACTGATACGTGACCGTATTGACTGATACGTGACTGTATTGACTTGACACTTGGCTGCCTTGACTTGGTACTTTATTATCAACTCTATATTAAATATCAAGTCTAGTTTCAACCTGATTGATAAGGATGGGTATCGTTTATACAAATATCTCACTGCATGTATTATTCTAAACTTCTTTGAATACATTACTGTAAAGCGATAATATTAATTAATATCAAAACAGTTTCAACTGGATTGTGGTAATTGCTCGCCTGCTCTGTTGTCGCGACAGAACGTGAAGTTGTTGTGTTGAGGCAGCCGGTGGAAATGTAGTTTTGATGAAGTGTAGTGCTTTTGTTTATGATAATCCCTGCAAGACTGTGCATGAGGTGAAATTGCTTTTCATGATTAGTTTTGTTTTTGTTTTTTTATTTGCATTCTTTTGCCCAAAGGCTTAAGTCATGAGATGTTTTACAACAGAATTACTTTCAGCACTGCGGCAGATCCAGTCCTGCGGGGGCTCGTCCGCTGTTAGGCGGTGCATCTTTTTAATTATGAACAATGTGATACATGCTGCGTGTACTGTAGGTTTCAGGGCTGAGGACATAACCTTGTGCTTTAGAGCTTAACTGTTCTGTTCTGGTGGTACAGCTCATGCAATTTGGTTAGAATTAAATATTAATGGGGCGTGTCCATCAGTAGTCAGAAGTTTTATGTACATTTGTTTTTACTGCAGAATGAGGCTCCGTTGTTCTCCAAAGACGGGCTGAAGTTGTTCTTCACACGACCAATCCCACAGGGTGGCCGAGGGAAGTTCTTCCATATCTCCATGGCCATCTCACAGGTACACCCAGAAACACCCAGGCTTGATCACTGTTGAGTCTAAACGTCTTTTAAATGCAATCTTTTTAGCCAGGTTAAGTAGTTTAAAAGGTCTCAACAAGCAACACACTATGCTGGAAACAAAAGAAACTCCAGAAAAGAAAGATAGTTATTGAAACATATCAGTCTGACACTCCAGCGAATCACAGTGTGTGCCATTATCTCCGAATGGTGAAAACTTGGAACAGTGGTGAATCTTCCCAGCAGTGGCCAGCCTACCAAAATTTCACCAAGAGCACAGCTGTGACTTTCTGTCATATCTTGTTTGCAATGACAAAAGCTCTGAGCATTTTGCAGCGATCTTCTGTGGACCACTGAGTCAAAAGTGGAGATCAGGGGTCCCGTTCGTCTGGCATAAAGCTAACAAAGCATTCCACACTAAGAACATCATACCACAGGGAAACACGGTGGTGGTAGTGTGATGGTGTGTAGGGATGCTTTGCTGCTTAATGGCCTGGACGACTTGCCATAACTGACATACCCATAAATTCTGCTTTCTGCCGGAAAATTTTACAGGAGAATGTCCAGTTGTCACTCCATGATCTGAAGATCAAGCGGAATTGGACAATAATCTGATTTTGGAGTGGCCTAGTACAAGTCCTGAATTTTATTGCTCATGCTGTGTCAGGAATTTAAATGGGCAGTTAATGCTCAAAAGCCCTCCAAAGTGTAAGAGTAAAGAAAGGTAGTATATATATATATATATATATGTATATATATATATATATATATATATATATATATATATATATATATATATATATATACTTATGTAGGGAAAGGAGGGAAATAAAATTTTGAAACTAATAAAGGGACAGGGGAAATTATAGTCATGATAACACAATTAAACAATCAAAATACACCACATTCAGTTTGTATTGAAGCTCACTAGGTTTCTCAGACAAAAATGATTTTGGTCCCATCAAGCATTTTTCAGATTTTTAAACTGTTCTAAAAATGTCAAAACTCAGCAGAAGCCTATTTACTTCAGCGTTTTTAGTCAGTTTATGTCAGCTGTACCAAATGTTGGCATCTTTAATGAAGGCTCAGCCAAAAAGCTTGTTTCGGTAGAATCAAAAAAAAATATCCAAATGTTTCTATTTCCTTTGGAATAATGACAGCATTCATACAGATGGTGCCTGTTTTCTGAGATCTGACTGGGTAATGCAGTTCTAAGGCCTATTCTCTCAACAGCTTTTCTCTACATACAGAACCAAAAATCTCAGCCTCTAAAACACTGATATACATGAAATTTTGAATATTCACATGTTAACCATGTTCTCAGAGGAACTTACAGAAGGATTTCCTAATATATTGCTGGATTTATGCTAGATTTAGTGCTATAAAATCACCCAGAAAACATTTAATAATAATGATGCATAGTGTTTCCCTGATTATTACAAATATGTGTATGTATATATATATATATATATATATTGCACACACACAGCTTAATGTCCATAGAAAAGCATTGACCAATAGAGTGAGACGCTCTCAAGCAACCGCACATGAGCCTAAATTCACCATGCCCAATGACAACCGTGGGCTCGAGGGGTATAAAGCCCCCCAGCACTGGGCTGTAAAGCAGAACCGTGTTTTCTGCAGTGATGGAGCCCCATCCAGTTGGAGTGATACAGAGCTAATGATCTAACATCAGTCCCTGTGTTTGTGCATCATGCCGTTGAAAAAAATCTCAGTCTGTGCCTCACTGTAGAATTAGCACATCGCTGCTGTCTGAACAAAACCTTGTATCTCCAAAATCGTAACTTTACGGGAAAGGAAAAACCTGCTTTACTTTTAATGTAAGTCAATGGAACCAGACTTTTTTCCAAGTAATTTTGGGCCGTTTCTTTTAGTCCATTCATCATGAAATTTACACACAATGTAAAGAGCAACAGGTATTTTCAGATTATGTCAAAAGCTGAAAAACAACAAAAATGGAGATACGAGGTTTTGTACCGACAGCAGCGATATACGACCCTGACATGCTACTCCTGTAAACAATGCCATGGAGTTGCTGCTGTGGGGATTGTTATTTTTAGTGGTTGATGAAGAGCTTTGACTGTCTTGATTATCTGTTTAAGATCTGTTTTTTTGTGTTACATCTTTCCATTTTAAATATCTTTTAATCTGTTGTTGTAGATGAACAAGTGTGCCTGAACAATGAGTTCAGTGTCCATATTTCACAAAAAAACATCAAAATCTGGTTTATTCCTCTGCGGGGTGACAGCAAAAGTTGGAGAATGTAGCTCGATGAAACCTTCCACGTGATATGCGGCCGTTGGTGCTAGTTTTCCATCACTGCTCTATTGAGACGCATAATGTAAACTCAGCGTTAGTGTTTTCCTGCTCTGAAACACCGACTCAGCTCATGAAAGGCTCCCTAATTATCTGATTAGCTGAATCAAGTGTGTTTGAGAAGGGAAAACACAAAAAAATGCAGCGTGTCAGAACCGAAGATGACTCCTGCTGTCTCTGCAAAGCTTTTTGATCTCATTTGATCTTCCATTTTGATCCCATCGTCAAAAACATCAAGAGGTTAAGAAGCATATCAAGCAGTAAAACCTCCAGACAAGAGCAGGGTTAGAGGGCATCTCTTCACTGAACATCATCATCACACAGCTGCTCTAAGAGATCCACGCTGAGGGCAACGCAAGGACAGAGAGGCAGAGAGAGAACTGAGACAGAGTGAGGAGGAAATTCTGCTCCTCTGGGCTGCACAGGATAGAGAGGTATAAACAGGCAGACAGGAGGAGGAGTTTTACATCCTCAGTCATTTATGTCTGAGGTTCACCCCCTGATTTCATTTAGAACACTTAAAGTAAATATTATATTAAAATATAATATTAGAATTAACATTAGAACCCTCTCTGGAATTCTAAAATATAATAACAGAACTGTCTCTGAAGTTCTAGAATGTAATAGAACTCTGAAATTCTAGAATGTAATAGAACTCTGAAGTTTTATAGAACTCTCTAAAATTCTAGAATGTAATAGAACTCTCTCAATTCTAGAATATAATAGAACTCTCTGAAATGTAATGTTAGAACTCTCCATGTAGTTCTGGAAAGTAGTGTAAGAGCTCTCTCTGAAGCTCTGAACTGTAAGGTTTGAGCTTTCTCTGAAGTTCTAGAATGTAGAATTGGAACTCTTTCTGAAATTCTGCAATATAACATTTGGACTCTGTATAAACTTCTAGAATGTAACAGTAGTACTTTCTCTGATGTTCTAAAATACAGTAGTATAACTCTCTCAGATATTCTATAATGTAATTAGAACTGTCTCAAATGTTCTAGAACGTAATATTATGGCACTCTCAGATGTTCTAGAATGTAATATTATGGCACTCTCAGATGTTCTAGAATGTAATATTAGGACACTCTCAGATGTTCTTGAACGTAATATTAGGACACTCAGATGTTCTAGAACGTAATATTATGGCACTCTCAGATGTTCTAGAATGTAATATTAGGACACTCTCAGATGTTCTAGAATGTAATATTAGGACACTCTCAGATGTTCTTGAACGTAATATTAGGACACTCAGATGTTCTAGAACGTAATATTATGGCACTCTCAGATGTTCTAGAATGTAATATTAGGACACTCAGATGTTCTAGAACATAATATTATGGCACTCTCAGATGTTCTAGAATGTAATATTAGGACACTCAGATGTTCTAGAATGTAATATTAGGACACTCAGATGTTCTAGAACGTAATATTATGGCACTCTCAGATGTTCTAGAATGTAATATTAGGACACTCAGATGTTCTTGAATGTAATATTAGGACGCTCTCACATGTTCTTGAATGTATTATTAGAACGCTCTCAGATGTTCTAGAATGTAACATTTTAAGTCTGTCTGAAATTCCAGAGTGTGGTGTTGAAACTCTCTCTGAAGCTCTAGAATGTAGAAAGACTTCCATAAATTCTAGAACACAATATTTAAACTCGCTGAATTTCTAGAATGTAAGAGAACTATGAAAGTCTCAAAAGTAATATTAGAACTAGACTGTAATATTAGAACAGTAGAATGTGACACTGTAAGAATTCCTCAGAGGGGTGAGGGCTGAGTTCTGTATCCAGCTGTGTGATGGTTTATATGTATGCTGCCTGTATTTGATGCTGTTCTTTCCTCCTCCAGCACAACACCAGCTCAGACACGCTGCTGTCCATAACATCAGGCGACTGGGACGTGACTCAGGTTCTGGCCTACAACGAGCAGAGCCAGCTAATGTGAGCAAACACAGCTGACACATCCCACATTCCGTTTGAGCTCAGCTCACTCTGCACCTTCACTGCACCTGTGTTTGATTCATGAACTCCTCCTGGCCTGCAGAGCGCTGGATAAAAAAACACACTTACACCTGGATTATACTTTACAGAGGCACATTAACGGCATGCCCTGCGGCTGGAGCACAGGCCTCACAGACGGAGCGCTGCACTGTAGACTTTCAGGGCCACAACATGAAGGCTTTGTTTTGGTGTGTTGGTTTTTTGTAGCATTTAGTAATTGTGTTATTATGTGACAGATACTTCCTGAGCACAGAGGACGACCCTAAACGACGACATCTGTACAGGTAAGCTGCTGGAATGAGTGACCAAGGCAAAAAGAACACAGTAAATTTCTGATTCTTCCTAACTGTGTGAATAAACTTTAAGTTGCTTGCAAACACTTGAGAACTTCAACTAAATATGTCTTGACTATGACCTCAAATCTGACCCTTAAATTAAAGGAAGAGTACAGAGAAAAATCCAGTTTCCACAATTATTCCCATTTACCCCAAACGTAATCAGCCAATACGTGCTGGTGTCGTAAGTTTGTTTCTTTAGGCTAATGTAACTAAGAAGTAATGAAGGCTTATTTACACCAGTTTGCATCGTGCAGACTGCATGCTTGAATCATCACACACTTGCCTCAAACTGTGTGGAGTTGTTTAGTAAACTCTAACAGACTTTCTCATATGCTTTCTGATGCTGTATGACACTATAAACGTGGACTAAAGTGCATCGTATAGCTATAAACAGTAATGGCAGCCAACTTGATACATTTATACACCATCAACTTTATTAGAAACATCTTGTACTTCCACTCACTGACCACTTTATTAGAAACACCCACCTTGTACTTCCACTCACTGGCCACTTTATTAGAAACACCTACCTCGTGCTTCCACTCACTGGCCACTTTATTAGAAACACCTACCTTGTACTTATACTCACTGGCCATTTTATTAGAAACACCTACTTTGTACTTCCACTCACTGGCCACTATATTAGAAACACCTACCTTGTACTTCCACTCACTGACCACTTTATTAGAAACAGCTACCTTGTTCTTCCACTCACTGTCCACATTATTAGAAACAGCTACCTTGTTCTTCCACTCACTGTCCACATTATTAGAAACACTAACTGTGTACTTCCACTCACTGGCCACTTTATTAGAAACACCTACCTTGTACTTATACTCACTGGCCATTTTATTAGAAACACCTACCTTGTACTTCCACTCACTGGCCACTATATTAGAAACACCTACTTTGTACTTCCACTCACTGGCCACTATATTAGAAACACCAACCTTGTACTTCCACTCACTGGCCACTTTATTAGAAACACCTACCTCGTGCTTCCACTCACTGGCCACTTTATTAGAAACACCTACCTCGTGCTTCCACTCACTGGCCATTTTATTAGAAACACTGACCTTATAGCTTGACTATGTAGCTGTAGAGCTACAGACTGTAGTTTGTCTGTTGCTGCACAGTTTATCAGTCCACCTCTACTCCATTCATCATTGGTCAAGTCGAGTGAAGTCAAGTCAGGACTGCTGGACAGTTGTTGTCCATATATTATTTGGGTGGTGGTCCATTCTGAGCACAGCAGTGGCTCTGACCTGGTAGTGTGTGTGGTGCTGGTACAAGTGTATCAGACACAGTGGTGTTGTTGGAGTTTTTACACACATCATTGTCAATACTAGGTTGAGAGTGGAATGCCACCCAAAAATATCCAGGCAAGAGCAGCTCTGTGGTGAGAAAATGACCACTGATGAAGGACTAACACAAACTGTACATCAACAGAGGAGCTACAGTCTCTAAATATACAGCAGCAAGGTGGAGGGTTTCCACTAAAGTGGCCAGAAAGTGTATTATTCAGTTTTATAGTCCTCTGTTTGATGTGCTGTGGTTAGAGCTGAATGAGGATGCCGTGTGCTGACTTTCTCACTGTGACGTTCTGGCTGTTTCAGCGCGGACACGGTCGGCCCCTTCAACCGCCGCTGTCTCTCCTGTGATTTTTCCGACAGCTGTGGATACGTGAGCGGCTCCTTCAGCCACGACATGGCCTACTTCCTCCTCAGCTGTAGAGGTAACTGAGCCTCTCTTTCTCTCTGTCTTTCTCTCAAATTCTACATTTGATCACTGTCCTTCTTCAGGGCCTCTGTGAGCTGAAACACAAAGGCAGTTTTCTCCGTTCAGACGTTATTCACAGTGTGCCACCCTTTCTATTACCGGCCCTGAACAGTCTGAAGGAACAGATTCTCTCCATCTCTGTAAGAGGGTGAAGATCCTTGAGGACGATGGAAAAGAGAAAGCAGCATTCAGCAGCAGAGCGGTGGATGAGAATATGGATAATCAGAGAGAGAGACAGTAGAGATTGAGAAACAGAGGGGGGGCAGAAAAGAGAAAGGGAAGAGAGAGAGAGAGAAAGACAGAGTGAGGGAGAAACAGAGAGAGAGAGACTGAGTGAGGGAGAAACAGAGTGAGAGAGAAAGAGAGATGAAGAGGAAGACAGACAAAAAGACAAAGTGGAAAGAAAGAGACAGTGAGAGAGACAAGAGACAGAAAAAGGGTGAGAGAGGGAAAGAGAAAAATAGAAGATAGAGTGATAGATACAGCGAGAGAGAGGACAGAAACAGAGTGATACAGAGAGAGAAAATGATAGTGTTATTGAAACAGACAGATAGAAACAAAGAGAGAGAGAGTGATATATACAGCGAGAGTGACAGAAACAGAAAGAGAGAGACATAGAAAGAGAGAGACAGAAACAGAGAGAGAGAGGGAGGGACAGAAACAGAGAGACAGGAGGTGATATATAGTGAGAGAGACAGAAACAGAGAGGGAGAGAGAGAGACATAGAAACAGAGAGAGAGAGAGAGAGAGTTTGTGCTTGGCCTGTTTCCTCAGTGTTATTGTTATCTGTCCTGTTCTCTTTCAGCAGAGTGTATCGATCATTTCATTATCTCTTGTTTTGTGTTTTTTTCCTCATCCTTCCTTTCTCGTACACAATGCTTGTGTTTGTATGGAGCAGATTTGTTTAGAAGCCCCTCTGGAAGCTGATCTTGTTGCTGTTCTTGTTGTTATTGAATAAGCCAGACAGAGCACTCAGACAAACTGGAACGCTGCAGGGATCGGTGACCTCTGTAGAATCTCTAATGGGTAAACTCTGGGATACATTCAAGGGAATACAGCACAATGTAAAGAAAAAAATCTGAAAAAATACAAAAAAAAGATTTACATTGATGATAAATAGTGTTACCAACAAATTGCAGCTGTTTTTTGAGCTATTAGCTGATGTTTGTTAACGTTTTGACTTGTCGCACAGATCTTGATGTTTCCAGCATAGACATCCTGAAGGTTGTTATACTACGTTTAAAATTCTCACTTGCTGATTGGACAAAGAGTTAAAAGTCCAGAGTTATCTCTGTCATTTTGATATACTATTTATATGTATTTAAATTATTATTTATATACTTACACAACATCTCTGTCTTAGTAACTTTTAAGGAGAAGGAGAAATAAATATATTTTTAACGTTAAATGTCAGTTAATTCAACATTTATATGATGTGTTTTTTTCCAAAGTAATTTCGAATCATTTCTGTTGGTCTATTCATCATGAAATGTTCACACAATATAAAGAACAGCTGGTACATAATGTAAAAAATACATATAAGTTACATTTATATTCTGTATTGTGGGTTCAAAAGGTTCAAAAAGGCAATAACCTTTCATCAAATTTAGATTTAATTCCAATGTATGGATTGAAATTTGAATTTTAATGAACTACAAGTTTAAAATAATTCATATAAAATCAGAACCTGCTTTTGTTATTGCTATAGCTGTAATTTATGAGAGTTAAGCTGAACCAAAGTTCATATATATTTGAAAAGAAGAGAATATTTTGATAGTCTAGGCAAACATCACTCCAAAATGTATGATATTCTTTGTGGTGCACCACAGGGCTCCATACTAGGCCCAGTTTTATTTTTTATCATGCATGCTCCCACTTGGACACATTATTACCAGCATGGAGTCAGTTTTCATAGTTGAGCATATGACACACAATTATATTTATCTGTAGAGCCAAATGACACTAGTTCCCTAAATAAACTGACAGCCTGTCTGTCAAGCATTATTACATGGATGAACAGAATTTTATAGAACGAGCATGGAGTCAGTTTTCATAGTTAACCAGACGACACACAGTCATATTTATCTGTAAATAAATATCTGACACCAATGCTATAAAAAGTAAACTGACAGTCTGTCAAGCATTATTACATGGATGAACAGATTTTTTTAACTAAATGAAGAAAAAACAGAAATCCTCATTATTGGAAATGAATCACAGGCTTTACAAACAAATGATGGTTAGAAATTTGGGTGTAACATTTGGTTCAACATTGTCATTTAAATCACACGTTGAACAAATCTTAAAAAAACAGCATTTTTCATATTTTTACATTTTTTTTCTGTTTTTGTTTTACTCTTTTTCCTGTTTTTATTCTTATTTTTTTAGATTTGCTGCTTACATTCTTTTACTATTCATTTAGCTGTTTTACTGTTTTGCTATATTATGTTCTGAATTTTATTTTTTATATGTGAAAGGTACTATATAAATAATTTTTCTTATCATTAGTGCTTTTATTACTATTAGTAGTTATGCCACAGTTTTGTTCTGGCTATTTTACAGTACTTATTTCTGTTCTATTTCAGGTCCTACAGTTCCATTTGTGGCCATCTATAGCATTCAGGACAGACAGAGTGAGTACTGTTCTGTCCACTTTATTTCTCACGTCCACTGTGTTTCGAGTTCATGAACAAAATATCCTGTCGGGTGAATGAAAGTGTCATTCATTACTGCTTTAGCTGAGTCAAGGCATGTGTGCTCACTGTTTAAGTTATCAATTTATGTCTCGTTAAATGTCTCTGAGATATTCTGGGACAACAATATTCTGCAGCTGTCACTACAGCCAAGTGAAGCCGAATAAGGCCAGACCAGGAATGTTATGAGTATAAACCTTTTAAGAAAGTGCAGAGCTTCAAAGGACATATGAACGTGGCTTCATTGTCACTGCCCAGATGTTATTGTTGAAATCCAATGTTCCTAGCAGTATAAACAGAATTAAACAGTTGAAATTACTTCATTATTGTAAAGCCAGGCATACACTGTGCGACTGTAGAAATCTTGTTGACTCACACTGTACGTTTGAATTGCCTATCATGTACAGCCAAAGCCTACGATTTACATACACACACTGTCCGAAAACACTCGGTCCAACTGACATACAAAACAACACCCTGCGCTTTTGAGTCTTGAGCAGAATAATTGGCTGAATCTCAAACGGCTCCCTGCTCCCTACATAGTGCACTACATATTAAAATAGTTGCTCCTGCACCCATAAAGTGCATCACATGTCTAATAAATAGCCTTCTGAGATTTAGCCCTGTGTGCTCTACAAAGAAAAAAAAACAGCGTTTTTATATACACCTCACAGTTCAGCTCAGTCCAGCGGAGCAAAGTCGGCATACATAGACGCTGGCGATGCAAATGTGGACTTTTTGCCTCCGTGTAGGAGCAGTGGTTGTCATTGTGTGTGCTTTTGGGTGTGACTTTGAGGAATCGGTTTGTGAGGCTGTTCAGACTGTGAGACAAGTGACCAAAATTTCTGACATGTCAGAAATCCATCCCATCGTCCAACTGCTCAATCGGCGCTCCTTTGGGCAGTTAATTAGGTATCATTTCTCCTCTCACACTGATTGGCAAACAACGGCCGACAAAGCTGAAAATCGGCCCGATCTTGAAATTCAGTCGGCTCCGACCACATCGGGCTAAAATCGCACTGGCTTTAGGGATTTGTGTAGGTTATAAAGAGAATCCTCTCACTAAAGCATTTCTCTGGATCAGGTTTCTGTTGACCGATCGATTGCAAAAAATCAGCACACAAGCATTCTAACTAGAAATGGACCGATCAGTGTTTTCGGAGCCGATACCAATCAGCCAATCGCCTTTCAGCACAATCAGCCCACAGCCCATACCTGTCGAAGGCCGGGCTGGATGCCATATTTAAAGATGCAGTAAGCGATTCTGGAGAATGACTGTTGGTATTTGAACTCAACAGTAAAGCAAATACACCCCTCCCTTCAGTGCTCTCTCAGAAGCCGCCCCCCAAATTCATGGACGTGCATTGCCAAGGCAAACAACACTTTTTTTTAGATCTTAGTGGCCATAACACCCTTTGCAAATGTGTGGACAAGAAACAGTTAGCAAACTGTCACTACAGTAGCTACTGTGAAGCTAACCAGTTGGGATTAACTATCACAAACCTTAGCAAAAGGGACAAAACGATACTGACCTACTGATTCTATAAAACAGCAAAAATAAGTTCGTTACTCAGCTGTCAAGCAGAAACAGAGCAACCTCCTCATCCTTTTTCATGCCTTTCAACTCGATTAAGCTTCTTTTTCACCAGCACCTTTTTTCTGACAGTGTAGAGAGAGTGGGTGCTGAGTGGCCTGTTTCTGTCAAGGTGCTGTTAGAGGCCAGAGGCCTTATCAGTGATGAGCGACACAGTGTGGCAGGACACACACACACACACATGGCATGGACTATGCATAATGTGATGACCTCATTACTGACCTCTGTGCTGCACACCGTCCCAACCATAGACAGGCACACAGCCCCAAACAGTCCTAACCTCAGTCCTCCGCAGACTGCATGCCAATACACTCAGCTCAGGGCTTCCGCAGGCTGACTGTGTCAAACTGTATGAGGTTGAATTGGTGCTGAGAGCTCTCTGGGCTGATTGCATTACTGAATGGTACTCAGTATGCTATACAAGATGACCTCTCTGTGTAAGAGCAGGATAATTGTGTTATTTATCAGAAAGCACCATGTAAAATTGCGGGTATTGTAGCAAGGCCCGATGTAGAAGCCTGGATTCAATTACGGGAGGCACGGCGAGGTCCTTCGCTTAGAAACAAACACATGCAAATGATGTTGACAGTCTATGTATCTGCCACTCAGTCCAATCTACATCCATATCTAAGATGAAAAAGTTTGTTTTCTTCTTTTTCCACCACCCATTTACTATGTTTTTTGACGCATAATAATGCAAACATAGTGGTAAAAGGCAGATGGCAAAATGAAAGTGATTTTCTATCTCTTTGCTTGTTTAGATCCTCGTGTCGCCCCCTGCTGGTGACCTTTGCAGGTGTTGATGAGACAAGCTCAAAGGGAGCTCATTTTAGGACATTTATGATTCTTATTAGGCATTTTTGATGTAAAGAAGGGAAAATTGTAACTGGATGAAGCTGACAATTCATGATCTGACTGTATAATTTGCTTACACCATGTTTGTTTTGTGACAAAGCAATGAAAAAAGAAAACAAACTTGCTGATTTCTTTTATTTCAAAACAGATATGGATGTAGATACATCTAGATTGATCTGGATATGTAGATAGATTGATCACAGGCTTACCCAATTAAACGGGGAAAAATACTTTAAAAAGCCAAGTCTAAGATAGTGAAAGTGAGCGCTGTCACTGTATTACGGCAAATCAAATCATACGCTCAAACTCCGCCTTCTTTTCTCAGCTCTCCAATCAACCGTTGCTATCCGTCAGGCCTTCTGTTCATCATCAGTGCGCCAGTGTTGAATTTGAAGCTCCATTTGCGGTTAAAAGATGTTACTGTGGACGTTTAACTGTGTGATTCCATCCTGTAGAGTATCTTGTTTTCTACCCACCAAAGCCGAAAAAACTATGGTATTTACAATGCAAACGTTGACACAGGCTTTGTGAAAATGTCAAAGCAAACATCTCAAGTTACTTCAATGCATCAAAGGTGAGACATGAATGGACCATGAACATTGTTCATGCTCACCGTGGCAATATGTTTTTACCTATGATGATTAGGTTTAGGTTTTCAGGTTCACTGTGTTGTTTTCCCCAGCTTTGCACATCTCCGCTGTGTGTTTTTAGCTAACTTAGCTAGTTAGTTAACTTGTGTCGTCGCCGAAATGTGTTTGTGGTGAGTGGACGCATGCTTTCTAGTGAAGGGTGCTGCAGTGTCGGTTGTTCATTTTCATGGTTTTTACTATCAGCTAACAAACTCTTCCCAAACTCACTATTTTCAAGCCAATTCATGAGTGAGGCTGAAACTGGCTTGCTATTGGTCAGCTTCTTATGTGAATTTTCTATCCCACCCTAAATGGTGCAGAAATTATTTGAGGGTTACAGGAAACAGAATGTAACTGTGGCACAATTTAAGGTAGAATGGAAAAGGACCTGGTTAGGAAAACTTCAGCGTTGTTTGAGAATGGACTGTCTTCTCAGGGTAAATTAATGAATGATTTAATGGTGTTTTAAGTCACTTAATGTCACTCTGAAGTGACTAATTTGGCTAATTATCTACCTTGCATGCTAGTTAGCTTAACTTATTGGCCGATGTTAACTACATACTGCCCTGTTCTGCACACTTCCACTTACAAAATGACGCACAGAATCGTGTAGAATCAAAAAAAAGCTTCAAGTTTTCTGTCGAGTCTGACAATATGAGCAATCTGTGGCTGCTAGCATAGATGCTAATATAGTTAGCTTCTTAAGCTTATGTCGTTCTCGCTACAAAGCAATAACTCTAAAAATAGCAATGAACACATCAATATACTGTCCTAGTTTGAATTCTGGTGCTCTTATTGGTCGTGTTATAGTGCTGGGTGACTTCATCAATGATTCGCTAAATTGTCATTATCTTCAGCTGCAAGTGTTGTTTGAGATCTCTCAGTGGGTTTAATACTTATAGCAGCTCTACCACCGTTTGAAAGCTAGAAAAAAAGGAAAAATGTATAAAGGTAAAGTAAAATCCATTACATTGGAATCAGTTTTATACTTTACTGCCTCGAACACAAGAATATTTTAGAGTTATTGCCAATGTGACTTTGTATTTATTATAAATTGTGCTGCTTCCAAGCTGACTGGATGTGAGTTATCCCGCTGAAATTATTGCCAATCTTATGTCTTTATAAACATTCTGATGTGGTTTATAGGCACGAGCGGCAGAACCAAACAAATCTCAGTTTCCCAAACAACAAACCCTTTGTGATTTAGTGTTTGGCGAGAGGAGCCGCAGCTCACTAATCTGGTAAAAACACTGCAATACGTTTCCCTTGGTTACTGTTTATTACAGCTTTACCCACAAGCCAGTTGGCTCTTTTTATCGAAGGGCAGGAATTTTCCCATAAACAGACGCTGTGTTGAGCGCTTTGATCTCATTTGTTTTTCAGCTGGTGAACCGTCTCCTCCTCCTTTATAATATTGTCACTGTCCAACGAAAAACTAGTATCTCCAAAATAGTAACTTTACAGGAGAGGGCAAAAAGCTTCTTACCTTTTAATGTAAGTCAATGTAAAGAGATTTAGAGTTTCTATTGGTTTATTCATCATAAAATTTTCACACAACGTTAAGGACAGCTGGTGTGTTGAAATGATGTAGAAAAATCAAAATCAAAACCCATCAAAAAAGGCAAAACCCAGAGAACCCACATGTTCAGAACATGCACTGACACTGTTCATTAATGGCTTTACTGGGACATGATTTTATAACCACTGACATTGTCAGAATTTCGTCATTTGCTATGGTTTCCCTTACACACACTTTACTTTCTTTCATATTTTTCTTTTTTAGGAACCAATAAATTTTGCCCCACCACTTTTGGAGGTTTATACATGCTTCGATGACAACTTCAGCAAAAGTTTAGCCATTTAAACTGACACTGTCTGTCAAGTGTGTGGTGTGAAATCAGGAAGAGCAAAACACAGAACTCTTTAATTCTGTCAGTAAAACAGCTGCAGGACTCCTGCCTCTTGAGACCCATCAGTGCTGGATGTCGTCAGCTGTGTGGTACCAGCACACTTTCACTACTAACATACAGTGTGATAAAGATGTGATGATGTCTGTGGGAATTTTATCTCTACTCATGCGTTGATAACCCTGTTTAATCTCCAGAGCCTGCGAATCTGGATTCCAGCCAAATAATGGCCCAAAGGCCCAAACTGCCTAAATGAAAACAACAGGACAGGGCAGGTTTAACCTTTAATTCCTGTTGTGAATGGTGAATGACTTCATAATGGAAGACCAATTTCCTGTATTGTGTGTACAAACAGACCTGGCCAGTAAAGCCTGATTCTGATTGAATTGGCATTTTTCCAACTTTACATACGGCACCTCAGGGCTGGATAGTCAGGGTTGGAAGTGTTACTTTGGTACAGATTACTGCTTACCTGGTAAACATTGCGATCTCTAACTGAATCCAAAGAGTAACTATTTTAAAATCATGTAATCTGATAACTGTCTGTTACTTTTGGGTTACTTGTGTTTTTTTCAAACAATCAAACAAAGATGAGAAAAATTATTTCAACAAGACAACTTTACCTTAACACAAGACAAACAGAAACAGTGCTCTGAATGCGATTAATATTTGTGTTAATATGTGCATTTAATGGTTAAAAAGGGTCTGAAGTTTGCATTTAAGGGTTAAATATGAGATAGAAAAAAGGGAGACATACTATGTATTTAGTTTTTATGTGTGTTTGAGCTGTTTTTTCAAGAATAGGCTAAAAATGGCCTGAAATATTCATTTAATGGTTAAGAAGGGCCTGGGGTATGCATTTAAGGGTTAAAAATGATCCTATATATGCATTTAAGAATTAGAAAGGGTCCAAGGTATGCATTTAAGGGTTAAAAAGGTCTGAGGCATGCATTTAAAGGTTAAAAAAAGGGCTGACAGTATGCATTTATGGGTTAAAAAAGGACCCGAGATATGCATTTAGAGTTGAAAAGCATCCTAGGTATGCATGTAAGGGTTAAAAGGGTCTCAGATATGCATTTAAGGGTTTAAAAGTGCCCCTGGTATGCATTTATGGGTCAAAAAAGGACCACAGATATGCATTTAAGAGTTGAAAAGGATCCTAGATATGCATTTAAGGGTTAAAAAGGGTCTCAGATATGCATTTAAGAGTTAAAAAGGACAAGAAAGCAAAGGAAATTATTATTTATCATTTATTTATTATTATTATTTATTTAGTATTTATGTGCTTTGAACGGTTCATTCAAATATAGGCTAGAAAAGGACCCTAGGTGTGCATTTAAGGGTTAAAAGGGTCTGACAGATGCAATAAGGGGTGTAAGGGTTAAAATTGGCCTGAAATTTGCATTTAGGGTTTACAGAATTGCCCAAGGTAGCACTTTGTGATTAACAATAACCCAAAGTTCTGCATTTATAAGGGTACAAACAGCACCAGAAATATGCATTTAGGGTTAAAATAGGACCCAAGCTGTGCGTTAAGGGTTAATTGTAATTCATCAGGCAGTAGCTGTGTCACTACACTTCAGAACGAAAGGCCCTGACGATTAGAGCTGGTGTTTTGCTCTTTTCAGCCTCCACTGCTATCACCAGCCCCAGCTGCTCTCTGTGCTCTGAATGCCTCCAGCTCTGGCCTTTACCAGCGCACTTATCTCACTCTGCAACACGCTGCTGCAAACAGTTTGGAAATTGCATTGCAATTTTGGTACAAAGAACGTGTCATAGCAGTATGAATGCTACAGCTGAGATCTATATGGATAGCTTAGCATTAAAAAGTGCTTTTTTGTGTTTGTCCTCCGGCAGAGCTGTTCGACATCGAGCTGAACCTGAACCTCCGGCGGACCGTGGACTCCATGCAGATGCCCCGAGTGGAATACAGAGAGATAGACATTGACGACTACAGTACGTTTGCCTACCATCCCCTATCCACAGCGGCTGAGACGTGGTCAGAGGTCGATCTGAAGTGTTTACAGGGATCCAGTGAACTCTATTGAATTAATAATATATCATTAATAATATATATTGAACTATTGAACTTTTGTTTCTCTTCAGTTTGATTATTCATTCGATTCCTTGGGAAACAATTCAGTGCCATCATGAAATCTTACATCCAAAACAGTTCAATTCAGCTCAGTTATTTTGGTACGACTCTTTATTCCTTTGAATTATTTATCAATCAATCAATCAACCTTTATTTTCACTAGGAAATACATTCATTTTCAAGGTACTGCTGTAGCCGAGCATTTACAACATTAAGGGGATTGAAAAAGAAATTAAAATGGAATTTAATCTGGTTAAACTAAAATAAACAAAGCTACATAAACAAGTTAACAGAAAAACTGGACAAGATTAATGGCAAAAGCAGTAAGAGAACAAGATTTGATTAAGAAAGAGAAATATAAAATAAAATCAAAATAATAAACCAATTAATATGATTTCAACTTAGGAGGATAAATAGGCGAACTAAAATTTAAACAGTCAAGTAAAAGGATTATAAACAGTAATAAAAATAAAATAAAAACAGTAATAGAATTGGGATAAAATAAAATAACTAATAGGTTATTGGGAAGAAAAATAAAATTGAAACTAATTAAACAAAAAAAAAAATAATATTTAAATGTTAATAATAATAATGTAAATAATAATAAAGTACTAAAATTCAATAAAAAGAAGAAAGGAAAAGTTAAACTGAACTAAAACACTTACACGCTGTCTGAAGGTGATTAGAGACTAAAAGGTTAAAGTTTGAGTGACACCAATGAGTGAGTTTTAGAGACTCCTGTAGTGAAGTCCAGCTCACTGGTGCTGTAGCTAAAAGCAGATTTTCCTAGTTCAGTAAAAACTCTCGGTATCCGACAGGTGATTTGGTCACTAGAGCAGGTCTGATAATTACTCTTATTTATAGAGGTCATCGATGAGATATAAGCTGGCATATGGCTGGAGAGTGATTTATACCTAACAATAAGCCAGTCTGTTTACTGTTTATCCAGTCTGCAGTGGTGAGAGCTGTAAGAGTTGCCAGTAATGAATCTCAAGGCGGAGTGAAAGTACTGGCAGACGAATGTCTATAGGCTACATCACTGTAGTCCAGTACTGATAGTAAGGCTGCCTCCACAACTCTTTTTCGGGCATACTTAGGCAGACAAGACTTATCTTGATAAAGGAACCCGAGCCTCTGTCTGCACTTACTGACTAGTTTATTAATATGAAATTTAAATATAAGCTTCTCATCCAGCCAAATGCCAAGGTACTTACACTCTGTGACTCGCTCAGTGCTGGATCCTGTTAGGGTAGTAATTTTCACAGTGTTAAAATTAATATTTTAAGATCTGGAGAGCAGCATGAACTTAGTTTTCTTGGCATTTAAAACAAATTTTTGCTTGTAGAGAGCATTCTGTAAGGCAGTGAATGAGCGCTGGAGTTTTTCTACTGCTGCATGAGCAGATTCAGCAGAACGGTTTACAATATACAAGTGCACTTTGCAGTCTGAGGCAGAGGCAGCGAGATCGATATATGTGTATACATATATATATATATACATATAAATGTATAAAATGGCATACAATTTAGGAAATTATATATATACAAAATTTTATATAAAATGACTGAAAACTCTGAATATATGGAATGAAAGTCTGAATATATGGGATGGGATAAAACTTGAGAATATGGAATGAAACCTGACATCACCAACGTTTTCGGTCATTATACATATAAATAATTTCCTAAACAGTATGACATATATATAATAAAACCGGACCCAGGATTGAGCCTTGTGGGACTCCTGTGGTTGTGGGCGTTAAATCTGGTTACCCAGTGCCCATTGTATCGCATTATTATTAAAGCTAATCATTTGTAAGTATCCCCAAAGAAGACTGTGGTCAAAAACTTTGTTATGGCAATAAAAATGGCAGCACAGTGCTGTTTCCTGTCTAAGACCATGTAAATTCATTTAAAACCAGCGTAGTCGCAGAGCTTTTCCTCAAACGCCGGACTGAAAGTTAAACAGGACAGAATTTTTTATAAAGAAATCATTTGAGTTGGCTTTTCACTAAAGATTCTAAAATTTTAGCTAAACACCACAGTTTTTATTTTGGTCTGTAGTTGTTTAGATCTGCTGCCTCTCCTTCTTAATGCAGCGGAATAACATGAGCTGTTTTCCAGATACTGGGAATTCTACAAGATAAAACAGAAAGATCCAAAATGTATGTAAGACGTTCTAAAATAACTGGGGTTGCAAGACTCAGGAAATAGGGGTCCAAACCGTCCTCACCTGTAGTTTTTCGTGAGCTAATGGCAGTGAGAGCATTAGCCACTATACATGGAGAGAGAGTCTGGAGTGTGAAGAGACTGTGGCTCATATGTGTTACAATACAAAATGCTGACCGGGTTGTTGTAGCGTGTTGATTTGCTGTCTGTGTTTTTTGTCCGCAGCTCTGACCATGCAGATCCTGAAACCGGCCGGCTTCATAGAAACAGCACACTACCCTATACTACTACTAGTGTAAGTATCAATGCTTCAGCTATTATAGACTCACAGGTTTCATAAATACAAGGACACGGGCTCATACATACACTACATGACCAACAGCGTGTGGACACCTGAGCATCACGTCCATATGCGCTTGCTGAGCATCTCATTCTTTGTTTGTCCTCCTTTGCTGCAGTAACAGCCTCTACTTTTCTGGGAAGGCTTTACACTAGGTGTTTGAATATTGTCATGAAGATTTGATTGCATTCAGCCACAAGAGCATTAGTGAGGTCAGGTACTGATGTTGGGCGAGAAGTCAAGTCTTTCCAGTTCATCCCAAAGGAGTTAGATGGGGTTGAAGTCAGGACTCTGTGCCGGCCAGTCAAGATCATCCACACCACACCAAATCTTCATGAAGCTTGCTTTGTACATGGGGACACTGCCATGCTGAAACAGGAAAGAGTCTTTCCCAAACTCTTCCACAAAGTTGGAAGCACATAGTTCCTGGAATGTCAGCATTTTCATTAAGATTTCCTTTCACTGCAACTAAGCCCAAACCAATTATACCACCTCCACCAAACTTTACTGTCAGCATTATACATTCAGGCAGGTCGCGTTCTCCTGCATCTGCCAAACCCAGGTTTGTCTGACAGCCTGCAGCATGCTGAAGTGTGATTCATCACCCCAGATTTTACCACTGGTCACCATGGAAATGCAGTCCATGAAGCTTCCAACAGAAAGTTCTCATGCTGATGCTGCTTGGAAGTTTGGAACTCGATAGTAAAGGTTGCGACTAAGGACAGGCTATTTATCATGCGCTTTGCGCTTCAGCACTCTGCGGTCCTGCTCTGTAAGCTTATGAGGCCTACCGCTTCACATTTCAGCTGTTGTTGCTGCTGTACATTTCTGCTTCATAACAGCACTTACAGTTGACCAGGGCAGCTCTATCAGGGCAGAAGTTTCATGAACTGACTCACTGGAAATGTGACATCCTATAACAGCACCACGTTGAAAGTCAGTAAGCTCTTCAGACTACTGCCAGGATTTAGTCTGCAGAATTATAAAGCTGTATGGTTAATTTTATACACCTGTTATACAGAAGTCTGTGTGGCTAATATGTAACGAGATTTTATTCCAAGCACTTTTTTTGACAATACATTCATATTGAACTTTTCATGCAATATAAAGTGTTTTAAACTATAAATAAATAAATAAATAAATACACAAAAATAGAGATGCAGGGTTTTGTTCAAAAAGTAACAATATAAGTATCTATAGTCATATGCAAAGGTCTGGGCACCCCTGGTTAAATGATTTTTTAAGTGAAAATAAGTTCTGCTCACATCCTCTACTGAGACACTCTAATGCACAATTGCTGTTTATTTGCTGAATTTAACATATTAAGGAAAAAAATAAAAGATAAAATGTGGCAATCTGTGGCATTCTTTTTCTAATGTGTTAAACGCCGATAATAAATAGAAAATGTTTGTTAAAAATGGCAGAAATGCCCTATTTGTGTGTCTCTGTAGAGGACGTTTTAACTTATTTTCACTTAGAAAATCAACAACACGTCATTTAACTGTTCAGCGTTTGCATACAACTGTATGTGATAATCATAATAATAATGTTTAAGCTCTTTCACTTTTTAACTAATAAAGCATGGAGCTTTTCTCACTTAGCCCTGTTTTCCTTCTGTTCTACTACAAATCTACAAAAATCATCCCCTTGGAATTATGAGGTTCTGTCTGACATTTTATCTGAATTGAGTTATTCCCATAATCTTATTCTGTGACTTAACTTCTTAACATTGTGTGAGGCGTTATTTTTAACGTATGTCTTTTTGGATTCTTTATCTAGGAAACAGAAAGGTTCTATCTCCAAAGTCAGACTCTAACTTAGTTCTATAAGGTTCTGTCTGTGAGCCAATCAGCACTTCGAAAACACACAAGAGGACCAATCAGGTTCCGCTTCTGTGTCATGTCGGCGCTCTGCTCACTTATTATGGGAAAAGTTAATTAAACTTCATGAAGCATGAAAACGTTGCTGAGACTCTGCAGCTCTTTACAAAGTCTTATTGTCTTAAATGTTATAAGTATTAAGCCTTAAAGGTCATTAAATAATATACATTTGAACTGTCGTGGTCTTAATTACAACATAAACATTCATTTCAGTCGTTTATCCATTTTGCTTTTCTTCTTTACCCCAAATTAAGACATTTTAGTGTCTTAGGGTCAAAATTTCTGATTTAAAACAACAAAACCTCATACTGTCTTTAGACTGACCTGCTACACCTACCTGCTGGGACAGTTTATTACAGTAGCTGGTTTCTGTCTAACCTAAAGGAAACTTAAACTAATGGTTTGTACCTAAAACTGACCTCTGCACTGGATGATTTGTGCTACAAGTAAATAAATGTCATATAAAAATAAATAAGTGATACAAATTAATGTCATAAAAATGTCATATAAAGCATTAAATGTAACTTTCTGATAATGTTGACACTAATTTTATGTTTTAAAAGAAATCGAGTAAACTGTTTGTGTTCCTTGAAAATCGTTGGTTCTTTTCATGTTTTACCAGATAGAACCTTATAAATCCAGGCAGAGAGTGAGTTCTTAGGATTAGAAGGTTCTCTCTGCATTTGACCTGTTTCAAAAACTCTGTTATAAATCTGATAGGATTTTGATTTTGTACATTTCGAATAAATTCAGGATGTCTGTCATTTTCATGTCTGTTCCACATATCAGTATTGCTATGTGGAAGGCAAAATCTTTGAAGCTCAATCTCTCAAAACTGCTCAGAACTCAGACAGAACCTCATAATTCCAAGGGGACGAAAACATCTGAAAATGTAGATAAATAAACACGCACACATGGTTTAGCGTCTGATGAGGCCGGTGGTGATCTGTCTCAGTTTCAGAGCTGTCCTGCACTGCACATATAGTGTTTACAACACTCTCCTTATTCTATTCATCAGCCAATTAGACCAACAGAAATTCATAACCTGACAAATTTCACAAACAGTACGCACTGCATTCAGAATACACCAGTTTAGTCAATTATTTATGCTCTAAGAACAGAGAGAATAAAATGAGCCTTTAGTTCTGGTCTCTATTGGTAAACATAGGCTTCAGTTTTTGGTGAGATGTTGTTAAAGGGGGTCATTTAGGGATACTTATTTCAGTAAAGGAACTCTGCCTGAAATGTTTCTGAATGTTTGCTGTTTATCTTTCTGAACTCGGGGGCAGAACAATAAAACATTTTTGAATCATTATTGCAATAATGAGTTTATTCACTTTATTGATTGCAGAGTTTTCTTTTCATATACATTTTGAACACACTGTGTACATATACCTGAAAAATGGCTTATAGGTTGTGACCTGATTCAGATTCTCTAAGTATTTTTTTTTTCCATTGTTTATACATTTCCCGCCCTTTCTGTGTGGAGTTCGCATGTTCTCCCCGTGTCTGCGTGGGTTTCCTCTGGGTACTCCGGTTTCCTCCTACAGTCCAAAGACATGCGGTCAGGCTGATTGGACATGCTAAAATTGCCCCTAGGTGTGTGTGTGTGTGAATGTATGTCTCTGTCTGTCTGCCCTGCGGAAGACTGGCAACCTGTCCAGGGTGTATCCTGCCTTCCGCCCGATGACAGCTGGGATAGGCTCCAGCACCCCACCGCGACCCAGAAGGATAAGCGGTTTAGATGATGTGTGTGTGTGTGTGTGTGTATATATACATTTTTGTGTAATCCTGGATAAAAGCATCTGCCAAATTAAAGTGTAAATGTTCCACATCAAGTAAAACCATCAGCATTAGCTGTGTAAGATGTAAGCCTGGCAAATTTTTGTATTTTGCACAGTAACTGGGTGATATATTACACTGTTATCACGGGATTTACGTCCTCTGATTCAGCTCAAACTCAGATTTACTGTTACTCTTGTTACTGAGCACAAATATTCAGAGCAAAGAAAAAAAAAAGTGTATTAATTTCATGAATAAAGATCAGCTTGTGCAGTTTCAGGTGAAATTCAGTTGTGTTGATCTGAAACAGTTGTATGAATGTGTGTCTCTCTGGAATAATAACCCTTTCTTCAAAGGTTCTTTTGTAAAGTCAAACATTATATATAGAACCAACTCAAAGAGCAATTTAAATGATTCTTCTCTATGATGTAGACACAGCTGGCTATTTAAAGAACCTTTTACAAATAAATGGTTGTGAAGGGCTGATGGACGGATGGATGGATGGATGGATGGATGGATGGATACACTTTTACCGTTCTTTTACAGTTCAGAGATTTAGATGTGAGTAGAAAGAAACTTTTTTTAAAGTTGAAAGAACAAGAACCTTTACATTGAAGGTTTAAATGTTTTCAACACTCGTAAGTTGCTAGTTCTTTGAGGAACCAGAAGAGGTTCTTCTATGGCATCACTCAAATAACCACTTTTGGTTCCCTAAAGAAGCAGCACCTTCATTTTAAGAGGATGGATCTATGGGTGAATGGATGGATGAGTGGAGGGAGGGGTGGGGGGATGGATGGGTGGATGGGTGGATGGAAGGGTGGATGGGTGGATGGATACACCAGTACAGTGACATTTATCAACATCTTAAAAATGAAATAAATTTAATCTAAATGACGTACTGTAAGAAAATGGCACAGCATGGCTGTTTCTGCACCTTCTTGGTTTAGCAGAATGAGTGTAGCTCACCCTGGTAATGGAGAAATGTAGTTATTGAATATAATATTTGGTTATTGAATAGCTGTTCTCAGTTTCCTGCTCCTCTCCCAGCTCTCTTCATCTGCTCTCTGCTCCGGAGCTCAGACTGAGCCTCCTCAAGTCTTCTAATCCAGCTAACATGCACATTTTAATCTCTCTATTAATCTAGACGGCTCAGACACTGTCTGCTCCTGCAGCAGAACCGACCTCTGGTTATGCCACCAACGAGAGAGAGAGAGAGAGAGAGAGAGAGAGAGATTGAAAGAAAAGGAGAGTGAGAGAGACGAAAAGAAAGAGACTGAGAAAGAGAGAGACTGAAAGAGGGAGAGTAAAAAAAGAGATAGAGATTGAAATAGAGGGAGAGTGAGAGAGACTAAACGAAAGTGACTGAGAAAGAGAGACTGAAAAAGAGAGAGAGAATAAAAGAGAGACAGAGAAGGATTGAAATAGAGAGAGACTAAAAGAAAGAGAGACTGAAAGACAGAGACTGAAAGAAAGAGAGAGAGAGAGAGATAGGAGAGAGGGGCCAAGAGGGTGTGAGAGTGAGTGAGTGTGTGTGTGTGTGTGAGAGAGAGAGAGAATAAAAGAGAGACAGAGAAGGATGTGTGTGTGCGTGAGAGAGAGAGTGAGAGTGAGAGTGAGAGTGAGAGTGAGAGAGAGAGGCCAAGAGGGTGTGAGAGTGAGTGTGTGTGTGTGTGTGTGTGTGAGAGAGAGAGAGAGAGAGAGAGAGAGAGAGGCCAAGAGGGTGTGAGAGAGAGTGTGTGTGTGTGAGAGAGAGAGTGAGGGAAAAGAGTGGGGAGAAGGTGAATTGATCTCTGTTCGGGTGTGAGAGGGAAGTGCATTAATCAAAGTGAACTGTACTAATTTGTAATTGTACCTGAACATTTTTCCATTTGCTGTTAATTACTCAGAGCTGGAGAATCATTCATCTGAACCTTCTCAGGTTCACTTACTGTAGACTAGTGTGGTGTGGAAGGATGGACAGAAACACCTGTGGATGTTTTCAGATCTGAAGCAGCTTGATTTTCTCCTCTCTCTCAGAGATCAAAGCTTTAAGTGCTGTTTATCTGATGGGGGCAGCTCTGTTGTCTACCACGTCTTCCAGCTGGTTGCTAGGAGGCCCGTTTTCTCTGTAGCTTTTAATCAGTTTTTCAACTCCAGTGTTGGAAACTTTTTTTCACTTACTTTTCTTTGGCGTTCTCCTTCCTTATCTTATATCTAACCTCCTCGGAAATACCTCCTGAAAATGAATAACCTGTACTTAATGGCTGTTTTGACTGGAAACTGTAAGAATGAAGTATTGAACATGAGCGGTTTATAAAAGCCTTTCTTTTGTTTCTGTTTCTGTGTGTTGTAACTGATCCTGAATCAGTTTAGAAGGCAGTGGATCTTTGCTGCAGTCTAAATTTACACCCCATGTGTCAAGACACAATCCTATCCAGCCCACAAAAGTATTTTTGATTTCCTATTAATATGAGCCTGCTTCACAGTGCGCTGCACCCAGCATGCACTGCAACGTAACATGCGCTCGGACTCTCCTTCCCCAATCTAAGGGTACAGCGTTTACGCTCAGTTCTACCTGTCATATCACCAAATGCATTTCAGCTGCAGTTCAACCAACATAAACGTCAGCTCAGAAACTGAGCCCAAGAATTAATGAACGTGCAGCAGAGAAAGAACGCCAGGAGTCTAGTTCAAGCAAACAGGTAGGTTTAAAAGACTGAGCTCCTGGGGACATTTAGGCCCAATCCCATTTCTTATTTTTACCCCTACCCCTTGTTTTCGAGAGTCACCTTGATCCTTAGAACTGAGTTACAAGAGATAGTTGTTGAAATCTTCCCCCTACAAAATGGGGCCCTCAAATAAAAAGAGCATCACTTCATTAACAGCTACTAGCGCTGCTCTGTAGGCGACACTGCCAGTCTGCAGTGACAGCAGAGGAGGGTAAATTTCAGCTCCTCACTGCTGGGCTTTAGTTACATTTAGGGCTTCATATGCCTTCAAAGGGGGGGTGCAATTATTTAATATCACCCACCTCTAATTTTTCAGTGATATGAAGCTGAAGTCAGATATTCACCAGCTTCTCGTTTGAATTTTCCTGTTCTACCTTAAATGGAGCAGAAGTTACATTCTGGCACTTCAGGCTTCAAAACAGCTGGACTGTTTAAGGTGGAATGGGAAAGTTAGCTAGGTAGCTAACGAGACATCAGCATGCAATTAGCGATTTTTTTATGCTTGTTATGAAGAAAAGGACCAAAATACGCTGAAACAACATTAAACTAAGACAATACAGTGGTTATTTACAATTCACAGTCGTAATTTAACAGAGAAAATTCTCACATTTGTAGGTTTCTTTGGTCGCTCGCACAGCCGTCTCACTGTGTTTGGAGTGTCTCTCTGATAAACCTCTGATAGGAGGGTCATGGAGTCCTAACACTTTACCCTACCACTCTATCTGAACAAATCCCCTAGATGTGAACGGGTAAAATGGAGGGGTAGGGGTAAGTGGTAGGGGCGAGGGGTGAAATGGGATTGGACCTAAAAATTTTAATATTTCAAGTGTCCATGTAATATTTCAAGGTCTACTACAAGTGTCTATATTTTACCATTTAAAGTATTTGTATATTTTGAATAAACAATGGCCAGTTCAGGTTACAGCACAACATTAAGTCAAAATGAAATAAAAGCATTGTTTTCTCTGACCCACAGATTTGTTAAAAACACCTAACAAATAAAAACAGTATGTTCATTTTAATTCAGACTGACCACTAGTGCTGATGTGAAGCAGTGTAAGCTCCTTCTGCACCTCTTTGAGATATTATACCAGAAGTCCCACTGTGTCATGGCTTATGATGCAAATACGAGGAGACACGGGTCGACAGCTCGGGCTGGTTTTGCACTGTGAAACTTCCTGGCAACTTTAGTGGGCCTGAAAACTAAATTTCACTTGTGTTGCATAATGCAAAGACTCCTGCAATTCCCTCTATGCTTGTTTGAAACTCAGTCGCAACAGCGGCAGCCAGGCCTGCCAGAACAAACCAGATCCGGCGCCTCCCAGATTAGACACAGCACTAATTTTAGTGGAACCAACACACTGTGCACATGAAGTACATGCAGCAAAAGTACATCTGTAGAGATGAATCAATAAAAAACAAAATATTTTCTACAAACAACTCAATCCTGGGGAGTCTGATTACAGTGCATAGTCACTCGGTTCATTCACTGGATGTGACATGCACCACTGCATAGTCACCTTTATGATATTTATGAGTTCACTTACTTATTTTTGTACTGCACATTATATCTTTATGGTTGTTTTAGTATATTTTATTATATATCTTTACTCCTACTATTTAGCATCTGTATAATAACGTACGGCAATACTTCTGCTATCTATCTGTATTTCTGTCTGTCTATCTGTCTGTCTCTCTGTCTGTTTTTCTGGCTGTCTATCTATCGGTCTGTCTGTCTGTCTTTCTAGCCGTCTGTCTGTCTTTCTAGCTGTCTGTCTGTCTTTCTATCTATCTATCTGTCTATCTATCTATCTATCTATCTATCTATCTATCTATCTGTCTCTGTCTCTCTGTCTGTCTGCCTGTCTTTCTATCTATCTATCTATCTATCTATCTATCTCTGTCTGTCTGTCTGTCTGTCTTTCTAGCTGTCTGTCTGTCTTTCTATCTATCTGTCTCTGTCTCTCTGTCTGTCTGCCTGTCTTTCTATCTATCTATCTATCTATCTGTCTGTCTGTCTGTCTGTCTTTCTAGCTGTCTGTCTATCTATCTGTCTGTCTGTCTGTCTATCTATCTATCTATCTATATTTCTGTCTATCTGTCTGTCTGTCTGTCTGTTTTTCTGGCTGTCTGTCTGTCTGTCTTTCTAGCCGTCTGTCTGTCTATCTGTCTGTCTGTCTTTCTAGCTGTCTGTCTGTCTTTCTATCTATCTATCTGTCTATCTGTCTGTCTGTCTGTCTATCTATCTATCTATCGATCAATCTATCTATCGATCTATCGATCTATGTATCTATCTATCCATCTATCCATATGTAAAATGGGGTCCAAAAGTCTGAGACCACATTGAAAATCTGAGATTATTTTAATTTCATCCTGGAAATAAACAACAGAACATTTTCGAATTTTGAGAAAATTAAAACACGAAAAGTTAAATAAAAATAAAATTAATACAGAAATATTTAAGATTCTGCATTATTTCTAGGTCACTTTTTAAATGTAACCAAATGTGTGTCACTGATCATGTTAAAGCCTTTGTACAAAAAGATCAGATTTTTTTTATCTAATTCTTTCTAGGCGACTCTCAGTCAGATTTGGTGTGCTTGTCAGATGCTTTTTTCCCTGTTAGTGATCTGAGTCGTGCCAGCTGGAGTTCACGCTGTCATTAAAGCAAAAAAAATATTTCAAACTTTCTGCTTCTCACTCAGAGTGTTGTGCTAGTGGTCTCAGACTTTGCTCCCCTCTGAAGTAACATAAAATGTGGAAAAAATGTACTAAAGAGTAGCATACATGCACTTTCACTTTCAGCGCCTGTTTGGCCGGAAAGAAGTATTAATAAAAACAGCACTGGCGCTGTTTATCACTCGCAAGTGCACCACCAACGCTGTGACTGTTCATCCCTCAAAAGAGCTCAGTAATGCTGAGCTAAACCACTGCCTTGTAATGATACTACCTGCTCATGAGCTTGTTAATGAGCTGATTAGCTGTATCAGATGTGCAGGCTAAGTGAACAGGATGGTGGGGGGGCATTGATGTGGAAGAACAGAGTGGGATTACAACAAAGAAATTATCTTCCACTATTAATGTTTCTCTCTCTGTTTCTCTCATAGAGACAGTACTCCAGGTGGGCAGTCGATCTCAGAGCAGTTCCAGGTGGACTGGGCTACAGTGCTGGTCAGCAGTTTCGGTGTTATCGCGATGCGTTTTGACGGCCGTGGAAGCGGCTTCCAGGGCACCAACCTCCTCCACAAGGTTCAGCGCAGGCTGGGCAGGTTCGAGGAGGAGGACCAGCTGAAGGCCCTCAGGTACACTGTAGACACTGCTGACCATTCAGACCAGTACAGCCACACAAAGCATGACTGATGTGAAGCTCCTTCCTTCCATATCACACCTGGGGCTGGTTGCACCAACAGGGCTTTTGCCTGGTCGTAAGCTAAGTAGGTCAAAATTTTCCGGGCATAACTTTAAGACTGTTGCATCAGCTGGTCATCAGCTGAATTTCCACTAAGGCTGTACTCACACTATGCCCAGTTGTCTCGTATCATGCCCAAGCTTAACTGCCCCCACTCCTAACTCCCCTGCTGGCCAGCACTCATTGTGCTAACGTTCCAGGCCTGAAACGCTTTCATCATTACGATGTGAGTTTCTGTGTTGAAGGAAATCTCTCTCACACAGCGCAGTTGAGTTAATCATTGTACTTACTTTGTGACTTATTTGTGGTTGTTTTGGGCACGCTGACACGCGGCCCTCTCACCTTAGATTTATCGTTTATGCAGTGCAGTGATTTTCGGTTAACGTATAAGAAGATTTCTACAGTGGCAGCTGATGTTGAGGGAGGAATTTGCAGCTTTACTCGCTGACTATAATTCATGTTCTTCAAACCAAACCAGACCCGTTATTAACCCATAAATTCTCAACTGAACTGAAAAGTGTTTAGTTCTGTGTGTGTTCATGGTTAACAATCACACTATCGTGCCCGAGTCCAACTGAACCATGCCAAAGCCCACCTCTTCAGTGTACAGAGTGATCACACTAGTCAAACAAACTGGACTTTGGGGGTCAAATGTGCTCGCGCACGGTACAGATCGCCTAATGCAGGGGTCGCAACCCAAATGTTAAGAAGAGCCATTCTGTCCTTTCGGTAAAAATCAAACCACTTTGGGAGCCTCAACATTTTATGTCCATTTTACCATCTTGGCCGTAAATATGTCTCAGTATGTGCTGATGTAATAGTGTAGGCTAAAAATATAATATAAAATACATAAATAAACGCAGACTTACTTTGGTCTGCTTTAAGCTTTAGGTCAGCTATAGCCGCTTTTCTCGCATCTCCGGCAGGAAACTTTTTCTTGTTTTTTTTTATGAGGCTGAAGTCAGTTTCTCATTCGCCAGCCTCTTGTTCAAGTTTTTCTGTTCCACCTTAAATGGTGCCTGAGGTGCCAGAATGTAACTGCTGCACCATTTAAGGTGAAACAGGATGATTCGAACAAGAAGCTGGCAAACAAGAAACTGACTTCCTCTTCGCAACTATTTAGTGTTTGACAGTTTCTCGTTGCAGATTAAGCGTATCAGGAAACCAGCTGGAGTGATTATTAAAGTACATTCATCACCAAATTATAGATGTTCTAGCAGTCTGCACGCCAATCTTTGGGGTTAAAGGTCGGTGAGTTAGCAGTTCTACATTAACTCCAGTGTCTTAGACCATGTATTGTTAAACTGTGTTGAACGATCAGCAGAGCTTTATTTTACTGTAAAGGAGGATTATTTTATTTTTACCTAATAATCTAATTCTGCCGTGGACCCGCAACAGGGCAGTAAAAGAGCCGCATGAAGCTCCGGAGCCACACGTTGCTGACCCCTGGCCTAGTGTGAGTACACCTGAAGGCTGGGCATAATTTTTACACCAAGCAGGGAGCAGCATAAAGTCAAATTCTACACCTCTTCTAGGCAATTATAGCCACTTTAACCAAGCTACTTTATTCAGTTTATTAACAGTATTCACACTGTTCTAGAATGCTCTCCTACATTTACACTGTTCTAGACTGTTCTCCCCATTCACACTGTTCTACAGTGTCCTCCTTCCTTAACATTGTTCTAGACTATTCTCTCCATTTCCATGGTTCTACAATGTCCTCCTTCCTTCACACTGGTTCATTTGGACTGTTCCCTATTTTTTGGAATGCTCTGGAGACAAATTCACCTATAAGGGGATGTTTTATTTGTCGGAACAGTTTGTTGAGGTCAACACAAACAGTGATCAGTAACAGTTTTGCTGTTGTTATGTTTCGCAGTGCTTTAATAAAAGAGCCGTACATCGACAAAACCAGGATTGGAGCTTTCGGACAGGTAAGAACTCTCACCTTTTTTCCTGTTTCTGTAAGCTGTAGAGGTAAAATCAGAAAATATGAGTGACAGAAAATAACCATAACTCCAGCAGAGTCACTCAATCATCCACAACCTCAGCTTCTCCTGAAAGCAACCTGCACTGAGAACAACTCAGTGTCACAATAGTACCAACCCTGCAGGAACATGTATCTCTAGCGGTGACTGAGGGCAGCATGCAGCCATATAAACATTAATGTATGCAGTAAACAGTGAGGATGGAGAAGTGTGTGTGAGAGAGAGAGAGAGGTAACCTAAACCATGTTAAGTATACAATAAATAATTAACATAAAAAACAACAAGAAACTATCAATTAATGTTGTATATGGGTTTCAACATGTATTTTCAGCCCAACATACATTGATAAATATAGTTGAATAATGAACTAAATTGAACAGTTTAACTGGAGTCCTATCAGTTTATGGTAAAGTAGTAGCAGTTTGTGGAAGAATGGAGGGAAAGGAAGTGAACTGGGTAAAAAAGGGAACAATGTATTTCTGAAAACAGCCATATTAGAAATCGGTTGAAGTTGGTGTATAACCTACATTCGGTATGTTTATTCACTATGTGAAACTCTTCACTTCCATACCCCTCTAGAATATTTCCTCCATTTATATCATCTAGAATGTTTGCTCTAATTCACACCCCTCTCAAATGTTCTCTCCATTCACACGGTTCTAGAATTCACTAAAGATGTTATGCTAGTTCAGCCCTGATTACACTAGATTGGAACAGAAAATCTGTAAACTAACAACTTTGAATCAAAGCTGTCCGAGATCCAGATAAAGATGTGGGAGCTGGATTTGGCTTCCGATTCACCAGCTCGTTTTGAGAATTTTCTGTTCCACCTTAAATGGTGCCGCAGGTACATTCTGACACCTGTGCAAGCTGTAGCATTTAAGGTGGAAAGGAACATTCAGTTAACAAGCTGGTGGATAAAACCCAACTTCAGCCCGTTCAAAGATGAACATCAGCCCGCTGACAGTTCGGTTCCTTGGGAAAGATATTGAATGAAATAAGATATGAAAAGTCCTGACATCCCTTCACAGCCTGGAACGGTACATTTCTGCACATAGTCTGCCATTTTCATTGCTGCTGCTACATTGTCGTTGTTTCATTCTTCATAGTACCTGCTGGGCTAGAACGTGGGCTGGTGTCTGTAAATTTTGGGGCTGAGAAAAATGAAAGAAATCAGAGTAAGGGTATTTGTGCGCTGAAAAAATGATTACTGATTACAGATTCCTGGAGAAGGCCTTAATCTGATCTAAGAAATCAGAATATGCTGTTTACATGACGACTTGAATAAACAGATAACTGCTGAAATCATAATATGAAATTATGATTGTATTATTGGTGCGTATATAAATGCGCTCAGTGTACAATAGCAAAAAAGTTGTTCTGTTCCTTGAGTTTGATGCTTATGCTGAGAGGAATAATAAATAGTACATTAAAGCCATAAAAAGAAATAATAAAGAATAGAATAAGACTAATAATATGCAGAGACTCATACACACGTATATGCAATATACATAAAACTGTGTTCTAGTCTGTGAGTTGGTACGAGTAATAAAATAATACAAGTACAGCAGCATCTTTAAGAATGTATCCAGTCTATCAGTCCAAAAACTGCTCTTAAAATCTCCATGTAATCTCTGTATTTCTGTATCAGCTGCTGTCCCTGGCTCCTGTTTCTGGCAGTGCCTCAGCTTGATGTTATCTAACACGCTGCCCTGTTTGCACTAATACAAGGATACGTTTTTTTCCAAGTAGACAGCGATGCACTTCTGTGATTCAGTCAGGATTAGAGCGCCCGTCAAATGCTGTAAATGTACAGTAGCATAATGAAGCAGTTGCCTCAGGTCTAGTGATCTATTCCCCTGAACAGTTTAGTGCTTTCCCCACATTAACACAATCTGATTGACCTCATCAGTTAATTACCAGGCCCTTCGAGAGCTGAACTGCATGTGTTAGAGAAGGAGAGAACATGAAGCTGTGCAGGGTGTAGGGTCTCCAGGACTGGGACTGACAAACATGCAAGTAAAACAGGCCCTCGAGGCAACACGTTTTTTTCCAAGCATGCCGTCCAATGAGAAATGCTGTACTTCAAGAGGAAAATGCTGTGTTATGAATGATGGGAGGGTAGGAGTTTTTTTTGTTGTTGGTTTTTCTTTTAGAGTTTTTAGGCATGAATCCTCACAGATTTAAATGTGTCTAGTAGGGGTGGGAATCTCTAGGCACCTCACGATTCGATTCGATTCGATTATGATTCAGAGGGCGGAGATGCGATTATAAAGCAATTATCGATGCATCTCAATGCATCTTTTTTTTCTATATAGCATTTATATTTTCTCACTGTGTGAGCTCAAGTTTCGAGTTCAAGTTTCAAGTTTATTTGTTATTTGCACAACATGTCAAGACATTAATGCATTGAAGTGCTTGTGGTGAGGCTCAGCTAATCACTCTACAGAGAGTAAATAAGTAAAAATAGAAATACAAGAAAAACCAACTGAAATATATTAAATATACACAAAATACACACAAAATGTATACAGAATATGGAGACAATATACATTTGAAAGTGACTAAGTGACTCGGTGTTGTTATTTAAAGTGACTTGGTACTTTTAAAGCAAAGTATTTGTAATGATCCATAATGAATTTACTCCTAGTATCTTTTTTAATAAAACAGATGGAAGTGATGTGGTAAGTGAACTAGAAGGCTCTCATTCACTGCTCTTGTTTGGAGCACGAGGCGCTGCTGCTACTCATCTGCGATAAAATGCGCAGTTACGGTGAAATAAGATCCAGTGGTGATGGATGACCACGCAGCGCGTTACAGCTATTCTACCCGTTTTCTTTAGTGATTTTATAGCTTCAGTTTTGGTCTCGTTGTAGAGACGGGGGGGTCACTGTGTCAGTAAAATATCTACGGGTCGTCACACACTGAGACATACTGGACATTAAATGTTGTGGCTCCCAAGCTGGTTTGATTTTCGTTGAAAGGTCAAAATGGCTCTTCTTATCATTTGTGTTGTGACTCCTGATCTAACCTGGCTTTAATGCAGAGGGAGCCGGTCGGATTTCTCGCTCATCCAGCAGTGTTTTTGTGCTGCCACAGACTGTCCGGGCGCTGCACTTCCACACTTCCAAGTTCCGCCTTTTGCGTTCCGTCAACATTACGGTATAAATTAAATATTTAAAAAATCGATTTTTGACGTTTGTGAATCGATTCAGAATCCTCCACGTCCGCATCGCGATGCATCTAAGAATCGATTTTTTCCCGCACCCCTAGTGTCTAGTTATAAAAATACCCCCACAAAGAGCTTGGAGAGTATAAAGTTACATTTGTTTGGATTAATTAGCAAAGAGATCAGCAACAACAACCTAACAGCATCCAGAACAAGGCAACAAATAATAATAATAATATTAAGGCAGTTATGGTTAACATAATAAACGATTAACGCCACTAACTTCTTTGAACACTGTTAACACATTTTCCTAGTTTGACCCTTCAGACCATCCGTAGTAGTGCAGGCTGAAGCCCAGCTGCAGCGCGCTGTATGTTGCTGTGATAGAAGCCATGATTGTAGCCCTCTCACTCAAATAAAGCTTTTAAATGGCTTTTAAAGCGGTAGCTTCAGCATCTTCAGCAGACTAAACTGGACAGTGTTCACAGGAGAACTATGGATAAATCAACAAACAGCAAACTAACAAAAGCAACAGCGTAGTAGAAAGGTCCAGTTCCATATAAAAATAATAAACAAAATGACTATTTGAAAGAATAATGTTTGTAAATGGGTGTCAGGAACCTGTTAAAGAACGTCCATACGTTGTAAAGCAGCAGAAAAGGTTTGAAGGCAAACATGCTGCACTTTGACCAGTTTAAGGCAGATATATCTTTGCTCTTCTTTTTTTCCGTATGCAATTAATTTACTGTTAAATATGTTTCTGTTTATTATAGTCGAGATTTGTTGTTCATTAAAAAACAAAAAACAGGCTGGAAAAATAAACAGGTGGTGTTTTACACTGTGACATTGTCTAGGCATAATAAACCAATACAGTTGGGGTGATTAGGTTTTACTTCACTTTTACGTCATATATTGTATTTTTTACCTTTACAGAGTGATTCAAAACAAACAAAATGCAGTAGAAAGAAAAAAAAAGACTGAAATAAAAGTAAAATAAAATTTAGTAGAGCACTAAATACAGGAGGAGGATAATAAAAGTGACTATGTATCAGGTTGTCAGGTAGAAAATCCAGACTTTAGGGCTGTTTCTGTAAGCTGTTGTGATCAGAGCTGTGCTCAGTGTGTGTGGGTTGTATGTTCCAGGTGTATGGAGGATACATCACCAGCCTTCTGCTCAGCTCTGAAGACTCTGTACTGAAGTGTGGAGCTGTTCTCTCACCCATCACTGACTTCGAACTCTACGGTAAGCTGTGTGGGGTGGACGCAGGGGTAGAAGCAGGCGTGGAATCACCAGACTGTACATGAATACAGCAGAACTAAATCAAAGCTATAATATCCACTGCAAAACTAACTAAAATTAAACAGAATTACTATTTCAGTGCGCGAATGAGAGTTTAGAAGTGGACCTCTTCTGTGTTTGGCCGAGCTCAGGCTACTGTTAATTTTTTTACTCATATCAAATATCCACTATCACATCGCCCATCATAATCCGAAAAACTAAAACTGAAACTGAGACTAGACAAAAATTAACTAAAATTATTTAAAAAAATAAAAGAAAATAAATTAAAGCTATTCATGTCTCTTTAAGTCTAACTGAACCTAAACTGAAATCAAAAAACAAAATGAAAAACGAAATAAAAAAAAACACAAATTTAAAAACTGTAATAATTCTGCAGAAAACACAAAGAAACATGATAAAAAAAGATCCATTTTCATTTCAGGTCAAATTTAAAAATGCTCACACTTACAAAATGGTTCTTGAAAGAACCTTCTGTTTAAAGGTTCTTGAGAGACCAGACATCATGAAAGAGTTCTTCAGATTGATAGAAAATGTGCATGAATCTGCAGAGTGGCACCCAAAAGGGTTCTTCTATTGTTACCAGCTTGGCACCGTAAGAATTGAAGAACTCTTTTGGGTGCTATATAGAACCATTAAAAAAAAACATCTACAGTACATTCTCCATCAGTCTGAAGAGCCCTTTCATAATACAAAGAACCCTTTAATCATGCAAGGGGTTCTTTAAGTATTCATGGTTCTATATAGAACCATTTTCTTTACTAAAGAACCCTACCTGCACTTGCATTGGAAAAAAGGCTACTGCATGTGTGGCTTTCTGAGAGTTTTTGGTTTTGAGCTGATGACATCCCATATAAATAAAAATAATGCGTCGCCACAACTTAGTAAGGCGTGGGTATGAGATAATTAAGTCGTGGCCACTACTTAATAAGGTGTGGGAACAAGATGCTAATGTGTGGCCCTGACTTAGTAGGGTGTGGGAATGAGATAATTAATCCTTGACCAGAGCTTAACAAGGCATGATCTTGTTCCCACGCCTCACTAAGTTGGATCCACAACTTAATTATCTCGTTCCCACACCTTACCAAGTCGTGGCCACACATAGGATCTTGTTCCTACACCTTACTAAGTCGTGGCCACGCATTAGGATCTCGTTCCCACGCCTTACATAGTGGTCACAACTTAATTATCTCATACCCTCACTCTCATACCCACGCCTTACTAAGTGGTGTCCACAACTTGATTATCTTGTTCCCACACCTTAATAAGTCTTGTTCCCAAGCCTTAATAAGTCTTGCCCCTACACTTTACTAAGTTGGGTCCACAACTTAATTATCTCATTCTTACACCTTACCAAGTCGTGGCCACGCATTAGGATCTCGTTCCCACGCCTTACATAGTGGTCACAACTTAATTATCTCATACCCTCACTCTCACACCCACGCCTTACTAAGTGGTGTCCACAACTTGATTATCTCGTTCCCACACCTTAATAAGTCATGTTCCCATGCCTTAATAAGTCTTGCCCCTACGCTTTACTAAGTTGGGTCCACAACTTAATTATCTCATTCTTACACCTTACCAAGTCGTGGCCACGCATTAAGATTTTGTTCCCACACCTTACTAAGTAGTGGTCACAACTTAATTATCTCATACCCACGCTTTACTAAGTTGTGGCCACACATTATTATTTTTTTTTTTATTCATATGGAATGTCACCAGCAGGGCTCTGTACCCATCATTTAAGACACAGCATTAATTTAATCTCACCCTTTTACAATTTACCTGCACCTAATAATTCTTCTATTTTGGATCTTTGAAAAAGATTCAAGCTCAGCAGAGGGCATCAGTCGGGCATGAGGTCTCCGGAAACCATGCGAATACAGTGTAGAGAGTTCCATGTTTTTATACACTTTTCAGAGATGAGGTCATCTCCTCTCTCTCTTTTGATGCGTCATAACCTGTTTTACCCATCATTAAATTCACTTTTGGACCTAATTAAAAAGGTCTAGGCGTCTTTTTCGTGTCTAATCATTAAAAAGGGCAGCTGAATCTTTGGTACCCATCACTTGAAGGCTTTTGCTTGAGTTTTCTAGAAGTTTCTGCACAGACCTGGTACTTTCTAAAGGCACTTATCTGAATGTGTGGACCTCTGACAAAGTTATGGGTGCAATCATTCATGTTCTAGTTAAAGTTAAATCATGTGTCTGGTGCTTTAGTGAACCAAAAGTGGTTCCTCAATGGCATCACTCCAAAGACCCCTTTTGAGCTCCTGCAGTTTAAGAGTGTAGGTTAGGAAAAGAAACAGATCCTCTCTCTAATAACGACTTCGTCTGCTTTTCAGCGTCTGCGTTTTCAGAACGATACCTGGGGCTTCCTAAACCAGACAGGCGGGCGTACGAGGTATGTTGTCTCAAATGCCATTTCAGATAAATGCACTGAACGTTTGGTGACTTTTATTTGTGAAGTGTGTGCTGTTTCTGGCTCCATCCGCAGATGACCAACCTTGCATACCGGGCGTCTCAGTTTGTGGATAAGAAGTTTTTGATCGTTCATCCGACAGCAGACGGTAGGTTTATTCCTCACTGATCACTCAGTTTTTAAAGCTTTAAATACTTTAAGGATGGGCGATATGTCACTGAGTGCGTTTACATGCACTTAAAAATCAGATAACTGCAGAAAATCCGATCTTGTCAGTAATCCGATCAACGCGTTTACGTGCACTTAAAAATCCGATAACTGCAGAAAAATAGGTTTTGTCAGTAATCTGATCAACGCATGTACGTGCACTTAAAAATCTGATAACTGCAGAAAATCAGATCTTGTCATTAATCCGATCAATGCGTTTACGTGCACTTAAAAATCCGATAACTGCAGAAAAACAGGTTTTGTCAGCAATCCGATCAACGCGTGTACGTGCACTTAAAAATCCGATAAGTGCAGAAAATCAGATCTTGTTTTTAATCCGATCAACGCATTTACATGCACTTAAAAATCCGATAACTGCAGAAAATCAGATTTTGTCAGTAATCCGATCAACGCGTTTACATGCACTTGAGTGATCAGATAATGGGAAACTCCGGGTCTACATGAGTCAGACAGTAATCAGATTTCTGCTTTGCAACCAGCCAGTAAACTCACAGAAGAAGATGGGAGGTAAACGTAACGTAAAACGCAAACTTCATGCTTAAAAAAAACATCGCGCCACTTTACCTGAAAATATGAACATACATCATCGAGAAGATGAAGAATATTTAAATCCTTCATTTCGTCAAGAATGTATTGTATGGTTTCAGCGTCACTCCAAAAATGTTTTGCTGCCATCTTGTGGCAACGCTGCTCACCGCTGTCTGTTTTCACACATGCTCAGACTGAGAAATCCGAAAGAAATCAGAGTAAGAGTTTACATGCACTGAGAAACCTGATTACTAAGCTAAAATCCAGCCTCTTATCGGATTTCTTAATCATATTTCTAGATCAGAGTATGGTGTTTACATGACTATTTGAATAATCAGATAACTGCAAAAATCTTTCTTAAAATCTGATACTGATACAAACCCAACAAATCTACATATCTTTTTCATTAAGACAAATATATTAAAACTACTGGTACCAAAACACACCTGGAATCAGCATTTCTATGTTCAGATCAGCACTTGGATGGATTAAAAAGTATCTAGTTGTCCATTATTACTGTGCCAGTGCTGTAAAACATATCTTTCAGGTGGCTGTGGTAGAACAGCTGCCAGAGAACTTGGCTCTGGCCCTAGACGTCATGAATTTGATCCCAGCTGATCCCTACTACTGCGTCCTTGAGCAAAGCACTTAACCTCCAGCTGCCTTATGGACACTGCCCCTGCTGGTGGTTAATTAAGTCGCTCTGGACGAAAGTGTCCGCTAAATGTAAATGTTCTCTTTTTCCTTTGCAGAGAAAGTACATTTTCAGCACACAGCCAAATTCATCTCCAAGCTAATCAGCGAGAAAGCCAACTACACTCTACAGGTAATAGACCACCTGCGTCTGTGACGGCCGTGTGTACGCACGATGCCTTACTGATTCAGAGATTTATGCTGTGCCAGCAGGTTAACTGCTATAGAAGTAAGGAGTCCTTACTTTCTAAATCTGCTGCTACAAGAAAAGAGTTTCACATGCTGAGGTGTATATAAGGTTTTTACACACATTCAGTCATAAGAAAGAGTTTTTCAACATTTTGTGTGGATTTTCCAAGTGAAAATAAGTAAACGCACCTCTAAACTTAACAAACTTCGGCTCATATTATTTATTTATTTATTTAAATTTTCTTTATTTAGAATCACTGTGTACAATGTCGTCTGTGATTATTCTTACAAAGTGATTCAGCCTTTCTCCTTATCTAATGTGTACATAAACCCAAAGATAGAACCTGGGGTGCTGATTAGAGAGAGAAAACTAATCTGGCTAAATGAAAAATTAAAAATTAATAAACACATTCAAACAAATTCAAACAAAAGAGGGGCAATTTGGGGATTATATACATTTTCCAATTCTCCCAATATTCCTTAAATTTAGCTTCCTGGAGCCTTATGGAGAAGGTGATTCTTTCCATTACAAGGATTTCATAGATAATATCATACCAGTCCTCTAGGGGTGTGGTCTGCTCATTGTAGTTCACGATTTCTGTCTATTTGTGGAATTTAACAAATTGGGAAAAATATATAAAAATATATGACATTTACGTTGTTTGTACCTTGGTGAATGAAAAATGTACCTATACAGTTATATACAGTTAATTATATATTATATACATTAATTATATATATATATATATATATATATATATATATATATATATATATATATATATATATATACATCTACATGTGTGTGTGTGTGTGTGAAAAAACTAATGCAATTAGACCTACTTTCCAGTTTTTTTCTCAGCTTCCAAGCCGAAAAGGACTTCAAGCTTTTGGTTTGTTTTTTTTTTAGTTGTTGTTTTTTGTTTTTTGGGGGTTTTTTTTGTACTTTTTTGTTCTAATATGAAAATAATACATCCTATACAGGAAATATACATTTTACATGTGTCACACTGTCCCTTTTCCATTTTCAAGGACTTGATTGTTTATTTATATATTTTTTTCGTTGTATATATGCCTGTAGATATGTTTTTTATATATATATATATATATATATATATATATATATATATATATATATATATATATATTTTATATTGTATCTCCCTTATTATTATAACTGTCCTGTGTTGTGTGACTGCTACTGGCTGCTAAATTTCCTTTGAGATCAATAAAGTATCTATCTATCTATCTATCTATCTATCTATCTATCTGTCTGTCTGTCTATCTATCTATCTGTCTGTCTGTCTGTCTGTCTATCTATCTGTCTATCCATCCACCCATCCATCCATCCATCCATCCATCTACTTGACCAGAAAAAGTGCCCACAAGGCTCCCTAAAATGGAAGCTAAACCACAAAACCCAGCCACTCCAACCAATCGCATACAGACACAGACCTATACTGATCCCCTGTGTTCCTGTGGCAGCATGATCTGCCCCCATCAAGTGAAGGATTAGAGCACTCACATAGTCTGCACCTCACTTAAAGAGATTATACAGGCTAGCACACCAGCTAATCCAATTAGAGCGGTGTGGCAGGAGAATCCCTTGCTCTCAGCTCCCTAATAGGTCCCTCTTTTAATTGATGGATGTTGAATAACTCTGGAAATAATTAGGGTCAGATACTCTGCGGGAACTTTATGACCGTTACTGTGCAGGACTGCTCCTCTCATGTAATAGGATGCTAATGAGGAAGATGGCTGCTTTTCCGTGGAATGAGGGGTCGCGTAGGCCACGCTGATGTGTGGCAAACTATGACCCTTCATGTTTTGACAAGCCATGACCTCCTACCTTCTGAAAGTACATTGTTAATTTCTACTGATCTTTCCTTCAAGACCTGATTCCTTCAGTAATGGTAACGCTGCTAATAATAAGTGACTGCTATTCGGGGTCAGTTAGCGCTGCGCGAATGAAAACACTGGACGATCCCTATTAGTAGTTAGCCAAGTGAGGACTGGGGAGAAAATCAGTTTTGCACAGTTTTACCTCAAATGTAGCCAATCAGCCAAAACATGTTTGGTGTCTGAAGTTTGCTTCTGTAGTTTTGCACTGGACCTACGGGGCCAATGTAGCTAACGGCTACACTGAACGAATGGCAAGCCTAAATCATCAAACATTTGCCTCGAACTATGTTAATGTTAGACTTGGTAACACTATACTTAGACCATAACATGTCATGGAAGATGAGTTGTCGAGTAAAATAACAGTCTTGTTACTATGCTAATTGTCATAAAGATATCATAATGTTTGGCAGGGTTATGTCAGTGTCATCAGGTGTTACTGACTGGCTTATGTGGTTTCTGACGCTGTGTGACATACTGTCATCTATAAACATGGATAAATGTATGGACAGAGTTCAGGCTTCAAGTTGCTACTACTGTTTTTGGTTATGTGATATACTTTTGTCCATTTAGTGTCAGTAATGTCGAGATGCTAACTAAAATTCCGTTATTTGTTAGCTAATGGGGATGGATATTCAGCCTAATTTTCATTTCTGAGAATCAGTAGGAGACACTGAACTGATTAGCTGAAGGGAAGGAAAAAGCAACAACAAAAAGGGGAAAAAGGACCTTCGGCCAAAACCAGCATAGGTGTTAATATGCTAAAAAGATGCTAGAAACTGGTAGTTTTCATTTGGGACTAATAACAAATGCTGCAGATGAGCTAATGAGCTGACACTGGGGCAAACAGGTACAGAATGCTGAAGAGGACTCATCATCTTCTTACACAAGGTCTCTTCTCCTCAGTGGATGTTCTGTTGACATTATTTGTTATTTGTCCGAGAAATATATTTCAAATATAGTTTCTGAATCTCGCTAAAATCATCTGGAGCAGTTAGTCTAGATAGCGAGAAAGCTACGCCAAAGCCGGCTGTGCTATTTATTTATACACACACACACAAATTGGCCATTTTATCAGCTCTGCTTACCATGTTATTCTACAGTTACAGACTGTAGTCCATCTGTTTCTCTGCATACTTTGTTACCCTGTTCCTCAGTGGTCAGGACCCCCATGGACCCTCACAGAGCAGGTACTATTTGGGTGGTGGATCATTCTCAGCACTGCAGTAACACTGACGTGGTGGTGGTGTGACGGTGTGTGTTGTGCTGGTCTGAGCGGATCAGACACAGCAGTGCTGCTGGAGTTTTAAACACCTCAGTGTCACTGCTGGACTGAGAATAGTCCACCAACCAAAATATCCAGCCAGCAGCGTCCTGTGACCACTGATGAAGGACTAGAGGATGACCAACACAAACTGTGCAGCAGCAGATGAGCTATCGTCTCTGACTTTACATCTACAAGGTGGACTGACAAGGTTGGTGTGCCTGTATGGTCAGTGGAGCTGACAAAATGGACAGTGAGTGAAGATACAAGGAGGTGGACGTAATAAAGTGGCTGGTCAGTGGATATATTCATAAAAATGAGCAAAACTGTCAGGTTTTGTGACAAAAATGTCACATTTTACAGTCATATTAAAAACCCATAAAATCTATAGAGATATCAGAATATGAATATTGGCACTTCAAACAGTTGACTGAGTGCTCGAGGACCTTCACTATTAGCTACATGAGCTGCAGTGCATTTGAAGAAGCAAATGTAGGACACCAAACATGTACGTTGATTTTTGGCCGAGCCGCTTTAATCCGAGCTGTTTTGAGGCCAGTATAATGTAGCGTTAGCATCGACCTCACTAATGTTTCTGTCCCATGCCAGATCTACCCAGATGAGGGTCACTTCATCCACAACGAGGAGACAAGGCAGCACCTCAGCCAGTCGCTGGTCAACTTTTTCGAAGAATGCTTCAGACTACCGGACTACATCTTTGAGGAGGCTCTGGAGGAAGAGAGCGAAGACGAGGGTTAGCCACACCCCCTCTGGCCCATGGCACCCAAGCACAAAGCCAGCTCCTTTTGCCACACAATATGCAACCCATCTGTTTTTTGGACCTCCGTTTTGTTTTTCTTCTCATTTTTCATATTTTTCCCCCAGTTTGCCCTCCAAGGTCATCGTCATCATTTAGCCCACTGTAACCCGAGACTGCCCCCCGGTGGATGCTTGCTTCTCGTCCCCTGCTGCTCCCTTTCTGCTAGACTTTGGCTCTGCAGACTGCAGACGTCTGGCTGACGACCCAAACTGCCTCTTCAGCAGGCCAGGGGGTCAGGGGGCCAAGAGAACGAGGAGGAGGTGGTCTCCGGCCTGTCTGTCATTTTTGATGGACAAGCTGCTCTGATGTTGACGTTAACGGACTGCTGGAGGCAGTTACCATCGACGCCCCCGCCCCGCCACAACCTTCCTTCAGACTCAAAGGAAAGAGGGGTTTTATAGCACAAAGTCTGGAGACTGAGCGTGAAGACTCTGCTGATGGTGCTGGTTTGGGAGTTGGGAAGATATTCTGGGTTTGGGGAGGGGGGGTTGGGGTTGGGGTTGGGGTCGGGGTCGGGGTCATACTTTGAGGAAAAAAAAAAAAAGAAGCTCTCATGTCTGATCGTGCTTGTGTCTGTCGTTCTGATGTAAAGTAGCACACGAAAAAAGAACATCTACTTGGGTATCAATAAACTTGTTTTTCAGTGTTCAACTTTCGTCCTGATCTTGGAAACCTTGTAGCCTCAAGTATGTATTTAAAATCAGTGTTGAAGACCTAAATTTCAATTAACAAAATAGCATATTTATTTAATCACCTGCATAGACCATTCCAGTTTTGGAAGACTGTTGATCTTGTTTCATGGCTCAACTTTTATTTGGTGTGGTAGTCTCTCAGTGCTAAATCAAGCACATAATCTAGTTTTAGTCACTGTGCCTTACTGTGGGAGCAAGCAATCCTTCACAAGGAGCCTCCTTATAAATACACCACCAGTCATTTAAGGCTCATTTTGGAACCACCAGATACTGGAATTACGTCATCCGTGCACTAGAACTCAACTGCTGTCGAAGACATTCCATGAAATATCATTACTGAATATATCATGTCTCAGTGTGGACTTTAATTTAAAGGACTCTTTATTTTGTGCATGTTTGAATCAGTGAGCAGATGCTTCGATGTCATGCTAAAATACCATTTTGCCCATTAAAAGGGACTTTGTTATGAAGAAGCATGATATTATAATTTATTATTTCAACTTTACCTCAGTATTAAACCAAGGCCTGCCCATATATGGGTGTGAAGAGCCACTTTACAGAACCTTTGTTAATAACGCCCAAAACAAACCTGTACATAAGATAAATTATAATAATACCAAGAGAATATTAATGATACAGTGCTGTGCAATAGAAATGTCAATAACCGTTGGACAACATTGAGAAGAAACTAGAAGATGTCAGAAATTTAGCACTAATAGAATTAAACTATTGCTGCGTTCGGCTTAACTCAGAATTGGAAGCACGGAAGCCGTGAGTTTGTATTGTTAGCACTAGAGCTAGGCCTTCAGTCCGGGCCATGAAATGGCAAAACTATGTCAATACTCCACTAAATTCTTTAAAAAGTTGGTGCTTCAAGATTCTTTAGTAAAGAAAATGGTTCCATATAGAACCATGAGTCCTCAGAGAACACTTTGCATGCTTAAATGGTTCTTTGCATCATGAAATGGTAGAACCCTTTTCAAAAAGGACCGTCTATAGCACATTCATGCACATTCTCCATCAATCTGAAGAACGTTTTCATCATGCAAAGAACCTTTTAATCATGCAAAGTGTTCTTTGAGTGTTCATGGTTCTGTACAGAACTAATTTGTTTACTAAAGAACCCTGGAAGCACCATCCTTTGCTAGCGCACCTAGTGGATTCTAGCTAGCACTGAGCTAACTGTGAGTCACAGTAACATTTTTTAGCCCTTCTAGGTTAAAAACATAAGCTTGTAAAAGACGTTCCATGTCTGTTTGAAGCTTGAAGATATAATTACACATAGGACTACATTTTGCTGTAGTTTTACTGTGAATCTTTCAGTAAAGAGTCCTGACACAAAGATGCCGCCGCTGTTTTCCATTTCTAACAACATCCCGAAACCTGGTTAGACTATGACTCATATTCACAATCAGCGATGTATGTAGAACTTCCAGAAAACCTAAGCTGTGTCCCAATTCAGGGACTGCATCCGTGGAAGGACGCTGTCTGTGAAGGCGTGTCCTTCGAAGGCTGTGTAGACCCGCCAAGGCTGATTTCAAATGAGACGGTCAGCTCTACAGCAGAGTTTGCATCACAGCACCGCTATTCCCGCCTTTATCGTCACATCATGAAACGCCGCTCCTGTCAAGTTCTTTAAAAGTTCTTTAAAGATGGAGCCAGAAACTTTGACTTTAGTTTTTTTTTAATTTTTATATTTATTAGAGCTGGAGATGCTTCTCTCTGTCGGCTCCTTGCTCCCTAAAACAAAACGAAACATTCGTTTTCGGAAGCTTTGCTTCAGACCACATTGTCTCTTTTTAACATTTGTATCGTTCGCTATTCAACTCAGTTTAAACCCAATACTTACATTTTAAGTGTCTCCTCAGCCGCCGTTCGCTCCTCTGCTGACGCCACCATGTTCTCGAATCCTCGCCAGCACGCAGTGAACCTCGGGATATGTTGGCTGGTGAAGGATCCACCCGTTGGATCCTTCATTGCCACGGAAAAGAAAGACACATTTCTCGGCCACATATGAAGGAGTTTTTATGTCAGGACAGCCTTCAAATGAGGCCTCCGAAGGATGCATCCCCTGAATTGGGACACAGCTTTAGAGTGACATTCGGTCACAAAACCCACTGAGTTTTCCCCTCTGATTGTTAGAAACAAGCCAGCCAGCTAACGTCAGTGATATGAGTGATAACTTTACCATTCACAATGTAGATATCTTCACAAAACAGCTGACTTCATGGTCAATGAGTAGATTTAACTGTCTATATTGAGAGCGCTCTAAGGAAACTACCACTGTAATCTCCTTTGAGAGTGAAGTGGTACTTTATTACGATTGACTGTGTTAGCAGCTATATTGACGTGGCCTCATATGCTGAACCTTCCCGACTTTCTGAGCAGGAATTCCCAGTTCGGAAGGCATCTTTGTTGGCTTCACCTAGTTGGAAACTCTGAGTTAGGAGCTTCAGTCGAACACAGCAGAAGTTCTGTTCTTTTTGCACAGCACTGTACCTGAAAAAAATTTTTTTTTTTTTTTGTTTTTTTTTTTGCATTTTTAAAGCTCTTGAGGCTCAAGTTTGTTTTATCACTTCATTTGAATGAAACGTTCATGTTCAATCTTGATGCGTTCATTGTGCATGCTGGCAAATCTTTTTGCAACTCCAAGCTATTTTTTAATGCTCGAATATTCCATGTAGTATTTTTTGACAGCTTGAATGTTCTTTACCGACCTGTATTTCATTTACAGTAGTTTTGTGAGTGAAATCCCAGTCTCGTCAGCTCGGTGTATAAATGTTACTCGAATATCATTTTAGTCTCTTAATATCTGAGTGTTACCTGTACATACGGCATTTTGAACGTTAACGTTCTTGTTCTCCTGCTTCTGTCTGCGGACTGGACGAAGCTCGAGGCTCAGAGATCGATGGTGTTTCTGCTTATTACTATGGACTTTTCGTGATGAACAGTGGAAACGGATGGAGGAGTAATGGGATTCCACTTCACACAGCAAAACCAGAGGCTCATCACTTTGTTGACCAAATTTTTGGAGGAGGCACATTGTGGAATGTGGCATGAAGGCATCTGCCAGAATAAACATTATTTTACCATCATGGAGTGTTGGTTTTTCTTTCTGACCCTAATTTAGCAAATATGAACATAGGGTTCGCAGGCAGGAGAGCAGGCTAACTCACAAAGAAGGATTTCTCACTGATACATCACAGAAGTTGCAGCAAAACAAGCTTCAAATGAGTTGGAGGATGCTTCACATTACGCAACTCAAGTGCAACTTCGTGTAAGTTTCGTGTAGGTTTCAAGCGACACAAGTTGCGTGAAAGTTTCTCCAGATATTTCACTGTCCAAAATGCATTTAGCAACACTGTTTTTAATTTTAAAGGTATCTACAGCAAGACTGTTGTCACTGTGAGTAAAACTAATGAAACAGAGATCAAGTAATGATATAAAGTACCAAAAAAGCTGTGTGAGAAACTGACAGGTAACCAAATGAACTTAATACAACAGCGCAAAGCCACTCATGTTGAACTCCTGCAACCGAGTGCACTGACTGACAGCAGCAATGATATGACTTAAAAAAGAATTACTAACAGCAGAATAAAATTATTTTATTTTATATTATACTTATGTTCTCAATGTTTTAAGTCATACATTAATTTTATGCTATTGCATTTGAGAATGTATTATATGTAAAGTAGCTTTATTAATGTTTGTGAAAATAATACACTGATTAGTTAAATCAAGTGTATCAGAAACAGGGAACACACTAAACTGTATAGTCATGGACTTGGCCTGAACTTGAATAACACTTCTCTATACCCTTCAATTGCAGGGTTATTATTAATCTGTCATTATCGATACTAACATACTATTATTACTACTATATTATTATTACTATTAGTACTACCGTACTGTTATAGAAACTGGCAGGTAACTAAATTAACAGTGCAAAGCCACACATGAATGATGGATGACTTCAAAAAAATATAAGATAACTAACAGCAGAATTATTTTATTATATTTAATCTCATTACAATTTATTTAATACAATCATTTTATGTCACTGCATTTGAGAGTGCATTATTTTTAAAATAGCTTTATTGATCCTTTTTTAATGAAAACAATACAGTGATTAGTTAAATCAAGTGTTTCAGAAACAAAGAACAAACTAAACCTGTACAGTCATGGACTTGAATAACGCTGATCAGTGCCCTTAAACTGTGGGCTTATTAATAAGCAGTTATTATTAATACTACCATACTGTTATTCAGTAACTACTCTTAAACTAATGTGCAAGTTATACAGTTATGTAGACTGTGTTGTGTGGACTGTGAACTTTTTGGGCCTTAAAAATAATACAAATTTTGATAACGCAGGTAGACAGCACCATCTAGTGGACAGGTTTGAAAAGTACCATCTGCCTTAAAGAGGAATTCCACCAATTTTTCAAAATGTCTGCATAATTAAATAGATACAGATGTAAGCAAAGCCATTCAGGGTGGTTTGGTGTGAAATGCTCTGATCTAGAGAAACTTACAGAGTCAGAACTGTTCACAGTGGTGGTGATAGGAACCAGACGTCCACCTCTAAAAGCTTCCTCACAGAAAGTTATTACATGAAATGGTTATGAATTCACTGCCTGATGCCCGAGACATTGTATTATGATAGTTTTGACGAGGTTTTCATCTAAAACGTCTTTAATTCATGGTGGATTCATATATGCAGGTGTTCTGCAGCAAAATAATCATCAAAGAAAATATATTTTTTCTGATTTACACTATTTTACCATCATCAACATTACATATAAACACTCAGAAGACTCGTGTGGGTTCACTGGTGGTTGTCAATAGTAAATAAAATGTCTATATTTGTGTTGTAGTCATTGTGACCCCTGGTTCCTATCAGCACCACTGTAAAGATATATGTAAGATAAAGCGTCTGTAAGTTTATCCACAGTAAACCGTTCCACACCAAAACACTCTGAATTTATTTATTGAGTTCTGCTGAAATTTTAATAAATCAGTGTTTAACAAGCGGGCAGCTAAAGCTGTAAATTCACATGACTTTCAGAAACGAGTCTTGAATCATAGATTCTACTTCATCTGTTAGCACATCAAAATCAGACTGGCACACGGTATGTGGCTGGTTCAGTCTGTCTCTCAGGCACTTATACAGAGCTTTATGCATTTGCTCTCGACCTCCAATAGCACAGAGTGCGTTTAGCTGCTCCACAGGTTGATCTGGAACGCTGGAGCATCGGAGAGCTTTGAGAACAGCCGGGGCGAACTTGCCGTAGTGCGCGGTGGAGCACAGCATGAGAGGACACGTCCTGTCGTGCACCCGGTCAGCCACCGCTTTGGCCACAGCTGTGTGGGTGTCCATTATATAGCCTGTTTTGGAGTACACTTTGTGAATGGTGGTCAGACAGTCTTCCTCTGAGCACCAGCCAGCCTGGACGTCCTGCCGTATCCTCTGTAGTAAGTCCTCAGATACTGCAAAGCACTGCTGCTTCTCAAGGCTCATAAACAAACCTCGGACAAGATCGCTGTCCCCACCGGAGGCGTGATATATGAACCTCTCAAGATTTGAGGACTTCAGAATGTCAATAGCGGGAGAATTTGATACAACCAGCTTCCTGCCACGGAGATCATACTGTCCAGTAGAGATGAAGTCGGCGATTACACAGTTCCGATTGGACGCGCAAATGACATTCCTTATTGGAATGCCCATTTGTTTCGCGTAGACGGCGGACATGGAGTTCCCGAAGTTTCCAGTGGGGATGCAGACGTCAATCGGATCGCCGAATGTGACCGCTCCCTTTCTGAGCAGGTCCAGGTAGGCAGAGCAGTGGTAAACAACCTGCGGAAGCAAGCGTGCCCAGTTTATGGAGTTAGCCGTGCTTAGAACGGTAGCATACTCAACAGCCAAGTGACCAGTCAGGCTAGAGTCTCCAAACATCCTCTTGATGCTCCTCTGGCAGAAGTCGAAGTCAGAAAGGACGCTCACAGACCGGACGTTTCCCTCCTTAAATGAGGTCATCTGCAGTTTCTGAATGAGACTCACACCATCTTCTGGGAAAAACACCAACAAACCAATCCTGTCACTCCCTTTGAGGCTGCTGAACCCGCTGAGAACAGCACTGCCAGTATCTCCAGACGTGGCCACCAGGACCAGGTAGTTGCACATCTGCGGAAGGCAGTGTGCAAACATCTGCGGCATTAACTGCAAGGCCAGGTCTTTGAAGGATGCAGTCGGGCCATGGAAGAGCTCCAGGACATACTGCTCCTCAGCCAGATGTTTAACAGGTGCAACTGATTCACTGGCAAAGTTCTCCCCATAGGCCTGGTTCACCATGGAGCGAAGTTCTAAAGGAGAGATATCCATCGGATGTATGCACTTTTCCAGTATGACTTGCGCTCGCTCAGGATAAGACATCTTGGCTAATCTGAGCCACTCAGAAGGTTCCAGTTTCGGGAATCCTTTACTGGGCACATACAGGCCTCCATCTGGAGCTAATCCCTCCACAACAACGTCGCTGAAGAACTTCAGGCCACCAGATGGTCCAGGCTGGCTCCTCGTGGAGGTAAAAGTCTCTGACTCTGATTCCTGATATCTAGCCAGAACTTGAAGGACCTTCTCCACCACTTCCTCAACACTGTCCCCTCTACCGCAGAACACTCTAGTGTCTGACCACTTCTCATAAAACTGCTTCCTATACTGTAATATCTCCCTCATGGAAACGCCAGAACGCTGACCCATGATTCTGTTCACTTTCATTCTGGACAGCCTCTCGATGATGTCATCTACGTCCGCGTCTATATACACAGCGAATCCAGAACGTTTCAGGTGGAGCATGGCGTCCGAGTGGAGCGGATTGGAGCCGGACAGCGAGATCACGCACCCAGACGCAGATAAATTACACACAACTCGGCCCTCTTCATCCAAAAAACACTCCTCACCAACTTCAGCCAGCTTCTCCGCCACAGGCATCCCCCACGTCCTCTCCAGAACATCATCGTCTATGTCAATGACGGGCATCCCGAGCCTGTGAGCCAATATGCGGCCCACAGAGGTCTTCCCTGCCCCAGGGGGACCCATGAGAAGAACGTTTCTCTCCAGTGGCTGAGGACTCTTTGTGGACAGCTGTGCTGTTGCTAGGCATGAAGGAGAACGAGCATGAGAAAAGAAGAGTTGGTGGCACCTCATTCTTTCCATTTTTGCAAAGAAACGGCAGAAATATCTAGACGTCATCTTGAAACAGTGATTTCAAGTTTTTTTTTTATCTGTGGATAAAAAAAATACAATAGATTGTTTTTCAGACGTCTCGTTCCATTATGTTAGCTCTGGCAGACAACATGTAATATATTAGAATGTAACATGAATTTGAAATTGTTTTAAAAGTTTAATGACAAAAACATACATTTGGGGGGCTGGATTTACAACACAAGACATAATGAGAGCATCAGTGCGAAACAGAACGCAGCACAGTGATCATTTTATCTCGATTATCTTGTTTTCATAACCGCTTAATCGCCCAGCCTCAAAGTGCCTAAGAAGTGATGAGGCTGAAGTCTCCTTCCTATTCGCCAGCATCGTGTTCAACTGTTCCCGTTCCACCTTAAACAGTAGCAACTACATTCTGGCGCCTTTGTAATAAATACTTAAGCACCATTTAAGGTGGAGCGGAAAAACTCTAACAGGCAGTCGGCGAATAAGAAGCTGACTGCAGCCTCGTTCAAAGTCTGTGTGTCAGAAACGGCCATGAATAAGCAGCATTATTTACAGCTTTAAAACCGGAGGACCGCAGTTACCGGAACATCACTGAAGACACGGTTCAGTGACCGAGGAGCTGAAAGGTAACGTTACTGTGTCAGGAAGCGAGGTTTACGGCGAGCCGCACTGGCTGAAATAACGCGGCTCACCGCGGCTGTAAGACTGAGGAGGACTTTCTGTGGAATAAATATATGTCCGACAGTTCATAACGTTACTTTTACCTGTGAAAAATACCAACAAACGTGCAGGTTTTGGCCCGCAGCAGCTTCTCCCAACGTACGTCTCCCGCTTCACTGTCTGCTCTCAGGTAAACAAGTACGACAACTGCGAGGGGACATTTCCGTCCGCACAGACTCACTGACTTCATAACTGAACTCTGAACCTGATTCACTCATTTATTTATTCACGTCGGAGTGACTTGATTCTTAAACAAAACCGCGCTCAAAAACACGAAATAATTCATATTTATTTGCAGAATTATTATTTTTTTTGTATTTTACATGTTTATGTAAACAATCGTGCACAGAAGTAAACGTACAGCTCCAAATACAATCTTGGAAGAATTAAATATACAGATTTATATCAATTGAAATGAAAGGAAAATACATACATCCACATCTGAATAACAAAGTAAAATAAAATAAAATAAAAATATTTATTTATTTATTTATTTATTCACAGCTGTGTAAGTCATACGTGGATATGATCAATGCATAAGCAGTGCAAAGGGAAATGCACACATCAAGTCAATCCATCATCTAAACCGCTTATCCTTCTGGGTCGCGGTGGGGTGCTGGAGCCTATCCCAGCTGTCATCGGGCGGAAGGCAGGATACACCCTGGACAGGTCGCCAGTCCATCGCAGGGCAGACATCAAGTCAAGTCACCATGGGGTCTGAGAGTAACGCGATTTCAATACTCTGCATGTCCTGTACATATTGTAGTATTGACAATAAAAGCTGACATCAAGTCAAGTCAGCTTTTATTGTCAATACTACAATATGTACAGGACATACAGAGTATTGAAATCGCGTTACTCTCAGACCCCATGGTGTAGCAATAACATTAAATAGACGGCAAACAGGAAATGTGTGAATTAAATAGACACTAAATAAACACTAATCGTAAAAATAAACACTAATTGTAGAAAAATAGAATAAAAAAAATATAAGAAGGTCCCTGAAATTAACACTAAAGTGGCATAAGGCACATACAGATTAAGGTCTGTCGGTATAAATAGTGCAATTATAAACGGGGTCAGGAAGCTGTGTTGAATGAATATATTATAAATCTCGTACTTTTAACAGTTTTATGTTCAGAAGTGTAAACTCTCAGGCAAAAGGCGATTTTTGTTGCTTTTGAAAAGGAGATGGAGCATTACTGAATGAATCCAGTTAAGCTCTCTGTAAAACAAAAAGCCATAAAACTGTTAAATCATGAGTGTACGTCACTATATGTGTATGGTTATGCACATTTATGCGTGTGTACGCTGTTATATGTATATATTTTATGTGTATCTGATGTTCTGTGTACTGTTTTGCTTTCAACAACAACAACAACAAAACAGCGCAACCAGAACTGTTGGCTGCGTGGCAACGGTTGTCATGGAAACGTTTTGGCAACAAAGCGCTCCGCTTCCGTCGAGCTGCTGGTTCCAGAACTGAACGAGTATTTTATTATCTTTTATTATTAGAATTAGCTGTTATTTTATTTTTTCCTTTCTGAGCGCCCTTTATAGTCTTCCGCCGGCCAGCATGTCCAACACAGTCCTCCATCCTCCCGAGAGGATTTATAATCTGATCCCCAGAGAAGAGGAGAAGGTCCAGAAGCCGCCGAGGTAACTTTAACGGTCCATACTGTCGATTATCTCACATTCAAAACACTGCATTCAGCCTAACTATGAGGTCAGGACTGGTAACAGCATTAATGCCTGAGAGAAACCTTTATATTCGCGTGTTAATAATCAATACTGAGTCTCAGAGACCTTAACGCTGACTGTGAGGCGCTATTAAAGGGGAACGCCACCGATTTTCCAGATTTTCTTCATAGTTAAATCGTTAAGATGTAAACAGAGTCATTCAGAGTGGTTTGGTGTGAAATCCTCTGTTCTGGAGAAACTTACAGAGTCAGAACTGTTCACAGTGGTGGTGATAGGAACCAGACATCCACCTCTAAAAGCTCCCTCACAGAAAGTTACTACATGAAATGGTTATGAATTCACTGCCTGACTGAGACACTGTTTTACGATAAGTTACATATTCTAAAAAATTGTTCTTCAAGGGTTCTTTAGTAAAGCCAATATACAACCATGAGTTCTATATCGAACCTTTTTGAAAATGGTTCTGTATAGCACTAAAAAGGGTTCTGCTATTGTTACGATGTCAACATTGTAGTAGTAGTAGTAGTAGAACCCTTTTTGGGGGTATACAGCACATTCTCTATCAATCTGAAGAACCATTTCACCATGCAAAGAACCATTTAAGAATGCAAATGGTTGTATATAGAACGCAAGAACCCTTGAAGAACCATCCTTTTTAAGCGTGTAGTTTTGAGATGTTTTTGGCCTAAAGTCTTTTTTTTTTTTTACTTCAACCTCTTTTCCAGATTTATCAGTATTTTATCATCATCAATATTACATAGAAACACTCAGAAGACTCGTGTAGGTTCACTGGTGGTTTTGATGGTAAATAAAATGTCTATATTAGTGTTTTAGACATTGTGACGCCTGGTTCCTATCAGCACCACTGTAAAGACATCTGAGTCTGTAGGTTTCTCTACAGTGAACCATTTCACACCAAACCACTCTGAATGACTTTGTTTACTGCATAGTTCAGTTATTTGAGACGTAATTTGAGGTCATGTCAAGCAGTAATGCGTGAATACGCTGAATTCGAAACAAAGCAGTACGATTTGGATATTTTTAAAAGACATGATATGCAGTCTGGTCCATTATATTGCTGGGGAAATGTGCATACAGTGCAGGTATGCCATACATATGATTCATGTTAATTTTCAGGTATATATCCAAGTTCAGAGAACAAGTAAAGCAGGAGAAACAGCTGAACAAAACCTCCAACAAGACTATGGGACCAGCACAGGTGGACATGCCTTCTCCTGATAAATACCTGTTAAAACACTCCAAGGAGCCCAAACTTCCAGAGAGTAAGTAACAGCTCACTCTTGTTTATTTAAGACAGAATGTCACCACGTTTCACGTGACACGAGTGAAACCTTTGAGTTATGCTGAGATACTTGAGTACACTGTAATAAAAAGTGTTAGAAAAATGATGAAGTAATTAATACTTTTTAATACATTTTTGAGCATTCATCCCTAGTTAATTGTACTACTTATACAGAAAAAATATTCTAAACGTGTTAATCAAATAAATCCCTGTGATGGACTGGCGGACTGTCCAGGGTGTTTCCTGTCTTCCACCCAATGACCGCTGGGATAGAGTCCAGCACTTCCCACGTCCCAGAAGGATAAGCAGCTTAGTAAATGTGTGTGTGTGCATATGTTTATCAAATAAACATATGCTCACCCAAAAAATTATTTGCTAAATATATTTTTAAAATGCATTTATTTGTTACTATGTTTTTAAATGGTTCTGTGTTTTGCAGTGTGCTTTGCATTAACCATGTACGTATGCAGTAAGGCACTCACACAAAATATATATTAAATAAGCAAGATATCAAATCATAACTGCATGTTCACAGAGTATCAATACCTACAACACCCACATTTGCCATATTAAAGCTTTGCTAATATTTAAAATTAAGATGCTGGAAAACGATTTTATGTCAAAAGGTATTAAAGCTATTTTTGTACATTTCAAATATATGTGATAAAAACATTTACATACATTTATTTTTATTTGGTACATTATTATGTGTAATAATTCCCCACACTTTTAAAAATAAATGTATTTTAAAATATATTTGGTTAATATGGCAAAATATACTGAAATACATTTTTGTGTTTGTAATGTTTTTCAGCACAAACTTCAATGTGTTTAAAATATATAAAAATACATTTCCATATTTTTTTGCCATTTGGGTAGATTTAGCTGAGTGCAAATTAATGCGCTTAGTAACAGAAATGATCACATCTACACTTCTAAAAAGATGGTTCTTCAAGGTTTTTTAGTAAAGGGAATGGTTCTATTCAGAACCATGACTTCTATATAGCACCAAAAGGAGTTCTATTGTTATGATGTCAAGCTTATATGCAATAGAAGAACCCTTTTTGGTGCTATATATGTAGAACCATTTTCAAAAAGGTTCCTATATAGGAACCTATATAGATCAGAAGACCAATTCACCATGCACAGAACCATTTAAGCATGGAATGGTTCTATATAGATCTCGTGGTTCTAAACAGAACCATTCATTTTACTAAAGAACCCTTGAAGAACCATCTTTTTTAAGAATGTAGATTAAAAAAGGAATTCACAAATATTTCAAACTAACTGCATAATTGAATCACTGAGATGTAAACAGAGTCATTCAGAGTGGTTTGGTGTGAAATGGTTCACTGTAGAGAAACTTACAGACTCAGAGGTCTTTACAGTGGTGATGATAGGAACCAGGGGTCACCATGACTACAACACAAATATAGACATTTTATTTACTATTCACAGCCACCAGTGAACCTACACGAGTCTTCTGGGTGTTTATATTTACTGTTGATGACAGTAAAATAGTGATAAATATGAAAAAAAAAGTTTCCTTTGGGTACTATTAAAACTTACAAGTACCACTATGAATAGATTTTACAAAGTGTGTTTCAGGCAACACTGTCTCAAAACTATCATAATACAATGTCTTGGTCATCAGGCAGCATAGTAGCCTCTTCATGTAGTAATTTTCCGTGAGGGAGCTTTTAGAGGTGGACGTCTGGTTCCTATCACCACCACTGTGAACAGTTCTGACTCTGTAAGTCTCTCTAGAACAGAGCATTTCACACCAAACCACTCTGAATGACTCTGTTTACATCTTATATAAATCTGTGGATTTCCCCTTTAAGCAAAGGTCTGGGCTGAAAATAATCCAGTGGTGATTTGCCATTGGCACTGTACTGTCTAAGACTAGGTGTCATTCATGTCTGACCCTAATTTAAATCAATGCAAAAAAGAGCCATGCCTTCATTTTAAAGTAGGCTGAAGTCTTTATTTGCAGTGTTTGCTTTTGTCTTATAAGGCAGCTCTGTTTGTTCTGTTGCTCCTTCAGAGAAGCCTTTCTTGTATGGAGGCGAGGGCCACCCTAAGAAGCCTCCGATTCCTGCTACAACCGACTATCCGCCCATGGGCATCCACACCAAGAAGAACTTTGTGAAAACAAACGCGATCGAGAACATCATGGCCGTGCCGCGGAAGCCGCAGCCCACTTACACGGACACCAGACACGGAGATAAACAGCTGCTGGAGAACTCAGGCCTGCTCCCCAAGTACATCAAGAAAAAAGTGAGTGAGAAAACATCACCAGGGTTTTTCTCATGATGACTGGTGTTCTCACTTTACAGCTACTGGTTTTGGTTTATGTGTATTTGTATGTGGAGCATTTACAGTACAGTACAGCGGTGAAAGTTTCATGCAACTGGTTGCATGTTGCATGTTGATGTCAAAGTCCCATGCAACACGTTAGATTACTCCACTAGTCAGCCATAATTAGCAGCTTACATGTTTTGATACATCACATTTCTATTGTCTTTATATTATTGGCTTTATATGATTTCTTCAGCTGTCATTCGGTTGTTTTCTCTATTTCTACATTTCTTTCTTTTCTCTATCTATCTATGTATCTATCTGTAGTCTTTATTATATATTTGACTTTTTTATCTGTTCTGTGTATGTTAAGCCTATATTACTGTTGTCCTTTATGTCTTGCTTATTCTGTCCTATATGCATAAGGACTGCAGCTTAGTCTCCTCTACTGTAATAAATTTCATCCTTTGATCCCCAAACGAATCTCCGCTCTGTGTAAACTTAGGGGTCATCAAAAGAGGAGAAAATTAAAAACTCGAACCAGTGACCCATTTAAATGTCTACCCCTGATATAGGACTATGGTCAGACTCCAGATTATCTGCAGCAGCGGCGTGAGGAGGTGCGGAGAGAGCAGGAGGAGTATGATAACTACGTGAAGGAGAGACTGAAAGAGGGAGCAATGAAGCAGCTCCCTGAGGAGGAGCGCCAGAACATCCTGCAGGTCAGCCCTCCAAACCACATACACCTACATTCATCATCTCACTGAGGATATCAGAGACGTGTACAATATTAATGATCACATTCTAAAAAATGAGCAATTCATTTACAACTATATCGAGATTTGTCATAGTAAATATTCAGTGTCATTCCAGTACAACATAAACCTGCAGTGCTGTTTAAGTTTCTTGTTTCTTGTAACAGATAGATAGATAGATAGATAGATAGATAGATAGCAGACAAATATATAATTAATTAGCTAGCTAGGCAGGCAGGCAGACAGACAGACAGACAGACAGATGGATAGATAGATAGACAGCAGACAAATATCTAAGTAATTAGCTAGCTAGGCAGGCAGACAGACAGACAGACAGATGGATAGATAGATAGACAGCAGACAAATATCTAAGTAATTAGCTAGCTAGGCAGACAGACAGACAGACAGATGGATAGATAGATAGACAGCAGACAAATATCTAAGTAATTAGCTAGCTAGGCAGGCAGACAGACAGACAGACAGACAGACAGATGGATAGATAGATAGACAGCAGACAAATATCTAAGTAATTAGCTACCTAGGCAGGCAGGCAGACAGACAGACAGATAGACAGATGGATAGATATATAGACAGCAGACAAATATCTAAGTAATTAGCTAGCTAGGCAGGCAGACAGACAGACAGATGGATAGATAGATAGACAGCAGACAAATATCTAAGTAATTAGCTAGCTAGGTAGACAGACAGACAGACGGAAAGATAGATAGACAGCTGACAAATAGATAGCTAACTAGCTAGCTAGGCAGGCAGACAGACAGACAGATGGATGGATAGTAGACAAATAGATAGCTAACTAGCTAGCTAGACAGACAGATAGATATATACTACATAGATAGACAGACAGACAGATAGACAGCAGACAAATAGCAAGCTAGCTAGATGGATAGAGGGCAGACAATAGTGTACAAAATACACACCTACTGGAGCCCAACTGGAAAACTTAAAACTAAAATTAAAGTGTTTTCTCTTTTTTAAATATACAAAGATGCCTAGTTGAATAATTAAAAATACATCTGAATTGATTTTGAATTGATTTTTAGTAACATTTTCCAGTTTTAACTGATGAAACGTCCATTACCGAAACACAGTAAGATTTCGAGATAAATCCGTAAAAAAATTGTTTTTCCCCAACATTTTTGTCATAATCTGTATTCTGTTGTCTGAATAAGTAGTTTACAGCTGTTTTGTCATAAGAGCTGAGTTTGTGGTGTTGAGGTTGTGTATCTGTTAACAGTGCTGTGCTGATTAATTAGTAGTTTATTTCTTCTTTTTTTTTCTTTACCACCTTTTTTGTTGTTGTTGTTTTTCACTTGCAGACTCTTTTCCTAAAACATGCTTAAATAAAGGGCTTCACATGGAAGCTTAAACCTGAACGACTGACGACCTTCACCGTCTGCTCAGTTCACTGCTCTTCATCCTGTGGGTGAGTTTTATTTCTCTCCTCTAATCCAGTCTCATCCTGTCTGCAGGGTCTGAAGAAGAACTGGGATGAGCTCCACCATCAGTTCCAGGGGCTCTCCGTGGTCACAGACACAGCCTCCAAGAAGTACAGGAAGGAGCATCTGGAGATGAAGATGAAGCAGCTGGAGAGGGACATAGACCTGATGGAGCGATATAAAATCATCTACATTACCAACATCTGACCACTGACCACTCTGAACACCACAGACAGAACCACAGAGACGTGTGGAACATTAACAGCACGTTTACTGTGAACTGCCTCCACACAGCCTTTACTCCTCTAGACTAACTCCAGAGTGTCTGAGCTCCTCACTCATTACGTAACACAACAATGAGACCTTTTAAGGACATTTATCCTTTTCTCCCATACAAATAAACCAACTTCACTGACTAACTGGTTTGTAATGAAGATATCGCTCAAGAGCTCAAGTTTTTATGTCATTCTGTTTCTTTCTCTCTCTTTCTCTGCTTCTCTCCCTCTGTCTTTCTCTCTTTCTCCAGTCTTAAAAATAAAGGTTCCAGAAAGGGTTCTTTGCACAATGCCATAGTAGAAGCATTTTTAGTTCCCTAGAAATCTTTCAATAGATGGTTCCTCAGAAAACCGTTTTTATAAAAGAGATGAGTGTGAAGAACCTTAAAGTTTAAAGAACCTCCACATAACGTAAAGGTTCCAGGAAGAACTCATGAGTTGGTATAGAGCCTTTACATTATGTGAAAGTAATTTAAACCTTTCAAAGGTTCTTCACACTCACACTGTCTGTCTATCTATCTATCTGTCTTCTGTCTGTCTATCTATCTGTCTGTCTATCTATCTATCTATCTATGTATATATATATATATATATATATATATATATATATATATATATATATATATATATATATATATATCTGTCTGTCTGTCTGTCTGTCTATCTATCTATCCATCTGTCTATATATGTCTGTTTATCTATCTATCTGTCTATCTATCTATCTATCTATCTATCCGTCTGTCTATATATATATATATATATATATATGGGTGTTCTCTTACTCTCCTACCTCTCTCTCTCTCTCTCTCTCTCTCTCTCTCTCTCTCTCTCTCATTATATCGTCGCTGTCCAAAGAAAAACAGTATCTCCACAATACTAACCTTACAGGAGAAAGTAAACACATAAAAACATTCCTTACTTTTAACGTAAGTTAATGTAAAGAGATTTACTCTGGAGCAGTTTTGGAGCATTTCTATTGGCCCAATCATCATGGAATTTTCACACCGTGTAAACAGGACAGCTGCTGAGCTCAAATGATGTAGAAAAGTAAAAATCTGAAAAAATGGAGGTACATGTTTTTCTTTGGACAGAGACGGATTTGCATGACACGATATGAGACGTATGTTACCAAAGCTGCACAATACATGTTAAATTGAGCTATCGTTAATATAAAAATGATTAAAAGAACTTCATAAAGATAAATGAGTAAAAAAAAGGTATAAAGCTTGAAGTAGAATAATGATAATACATATATGTATAAAATGAATATGGACATGCAAATAACAACAACAACAATAATAATAGTAATAATAATAATAATAAAACAAAAACAATGTAAACAGTAATCTGAAATATTACTATATAACTGAATATATGCTGTATGTAACTTTTTTTCTCTGATATTATGGCAGTTATGAATAAATTGTCCTTTTAAATCTATTATTTTTATATTTTTCAGTAGTAATATCATTACCCCCTTCCTCTCGCTCTCTCTCTCTCTCTCTCTCTCTCTCTCTGTACTTCTACAATACATGAAACATTTAGGAGTCACTGAGTCACAGTTTTCATTAACATAAAACCAGTTTGGTATGATTACTGTAGTATGATGCTAGTACTCTACAACTTATAGAAATGAAAAATGTTGATGAACAGAGCCAGAGGTGATTCTGTAATGGCTGAAAACATTTTTGAGCGAGTTAAAAATGTTCAGCACTCAGCACAGTTAGCCGAGAGAGAGAGAGCTTGAGCTAAATGTCTCAGAGATTATAGCAAAAAAGGCCACACGTCCTCTACAGCAACTTTATTCTATTTATTAGCTTTTTATTCCTGTTTTTGCTGATTTCTAAGACAGTTTTAAAGGTCCTGCTTGCTGACTGTTGAATGTAGAGGCTCAGTCAGTGCACAGTTTTCTCAAAATGTAGAATGTAACGGAGGTTCTGTAGTTATATTTACTTATTTTTGTCTTGATAAACACATTTGTACATTACATCAGTATAAGCCTTTTTTCAGTATAAACCTTTGGTTAAGGCCTAAATTTAAGCTTTACAAATTGTATTTATTATGTACACAAATATATATAGAGCACTGCACAACCACATGTTTCATTGCATAGTGAGCATAATTAGGCCTGTTTAACTGGATTTAGAGCAGTTTGTAAAACACTGAATAAAAATTATTGTAGGTGTAAGTTTATTAATAGTATTATTACTATTATTTATATATTAATTTAGTTTAAAACTAAATATTGTGATGGGTATCTTGTATCATGACAATGTCTTGAAGTATCATATAACACAACAACAACAATAACAATAATAATAATAATAATAATGATAATAATAATCATGTATTTGTCATATTTTCCTCTCCTAAGTCATTTTTCTCGAGTTAACATGAATAAATGTTGTTCTATTTTGATGTTGGAGCAGAAATGAGCTCACAGGTTTGTATTTAAAGGTTAATACTGTGGTTTTGTCTTCTAAATCCAGAATCTCCAAAGATGATGAACCGGGAGCGACAGTGGCTTCACCCACCCAGTCCTCCCACAGCCTGTGGGTGCTGGGGGGGCAGCTGCTTCCCAAAGCTGACCTTCTTCAGCAGAGAGGACAAACTCTTGGAGAGGTGGAGACAGCAGGAGAGTCTCCGACAGCTTCAGAGAGAGATAGAGAGAGAGAAGGAGCTGAAAGAGAGGGAGCAGAAAAGAGAGAAGAAGGAGAAGAGGAGGAGGAAGCTGGAAGAGAAGAGGAGGCAGCGAGAGAGGGAGAGGCAGAAGGAGACAGAAATGGTTCAGTGGAAGCTGCAGATCGTGATGGAGCGAGAGAGAGTGGAGAAGGAAGAGAGGCAGGAGCTCCAGAGACTCAGAGAGCTGGAGAAAGAACTGCAGCTGAAAGAGCTGAGAGAGAGAGAGAAGGAGAGAAAGGAGAGAGAGCGCCAGCCGTCCACTAGAAAGGTAGGACTCATGATCTCATTCATCACAGTGTTGGTGATTAGAGACAGTTTAGTCTTCAGTGAAAGGTTCTGTTATTGATCAGTGACAGTTTATTAGTTATATTAGTGAAATATTTTACAGTGAGAGTCGAGATTCGGCCTCAGCTCTAAACTACTGGACTGGACAGAATGATGATTTTAGTCACTCATATAATGAACCTCAGTGGAGCTTTTCAGGTCTGGTAAAGTGTGTGATCGGTGTTTGATTGATCTGCTCTTTCTCCTCTTTATTGACTGGTGGAGTCTGTGGATAAAGAAGGAGAGGTTCAAAAAGAAATGAAAGGAGAGGCTGCAGTTCAGCAGTGATGAGTTCTAGACTGACTGTGTGTGAAAGACTCATCACTGGTTCTCAGCAGTTCTTTAAATGTAGTGAAAGGCTGCATCACTGAGAAACGCTGCATTGGCTACTGTAGAGAAAGTCAGCCCAACAGAACGAAGCAGAACTTCCAGTTAGTCGAATCGAACCTGTACTGGGCTGTTTGGATCTCTTTAGCTAAGCTAACATTAACCAGCTACTCTCTCCTGGTTAGCAGCGACATTTAACATTTAGGAATTGGCGTTAGATGGAAACTTTAACGTTTATTGTACAGTGGAGTAAAAACCGGGCACTACTTTTATTTATTTGGCATCAATGTAAATAAACCAGACTTATTTGAGAGTCCATATAGGCGGAGCCCCGGTTTTAAGTATTGTACAGCTTGTCAAACTGTGTCTGTGTGGGGGAAAAAAACGACTGAAATGGTTTCCATCCATGCTTAGAACCATTCAGACCAGACAGGCAGACAGACAGAAAGATAGTCAGACAGACAGATAATTAGAAACAGAAACTCTTCTCCAAGGTATGTTTCACTCCTCAAACCCAAACCCAGCAGAGACTTTTAAAGGTTTCTATGATTATTATATCAGCAGGTTAGTCGATCAGTAAAAATGAATAATGAATAATAATCCTAATGTCCGAATAACAGACAGACACAATGAAGTGAACTACAGTGTGTAAAATGCCCAAAGATGAATAACAGCTTTCACTTCTTCATTTCTTCAAGTCTTTGCTCCAGTTTGTGTTTCTTTTCCTTCTTTTCCTTTATCCATGTCCATCAGTTTTTCCTCTTCTCTCTATCTCTCTCTTTCTCTCTGTCTCTCCTCCTCTCTCTTTCTCTCTCTTTGTCTCCGTCTCGCCACCTTTCTCCACTCTTTCTCCTGTTTCTCTTGTTCAGTCTGAGTGTAAAAGCCCAGAGCTGATGGTCTCAGTCAGGAAAGTGTTCTTCACAGACTGTGTGTGTTGTGTGTCTAAAGTGTATCTAAAGGCCCTGAGAGGGAGCGGCAGGGAGGGAGAGATCAGAGGAATGGAGGAGATCGTCAGAGAGCAGGAGATGCAGCTTCTGACACGCAGAGAGAGACGCAACCAGCTGAAAAGAGAGGTGCAGAGGATGAAGGAGAAAATAGCAAAGGAGGAGAGGAATCATCCGGACGCTGAGGGAGAAAGACTGCTCCTCCTGAAAGAGAGAGAGATGGAGGGTTTGAGAAGGAGAGAGAGAGAGGAGGCTCTGAAAAGAGAGATAGAGAAAGTAAAGGAAAGAATGGCTTTCGAGGAGAGACGCAGGAAGGAGAAGATCAGCCTGCTGAGAGAAACGGAGAGAGAGAGGGAGAATCTGAAAGAAAGACAGAGAGAGGAGAGAGTGAGGAGAGGGAAGGAGGAAATGAAAGAGAGAATGGCACAGAGAGAACGACAGAGAGAGGAAGAAAGGAACCAGGAGAGAGAAGTGCTGATGGTTCTGCAAGAGAGACAGAGAGAGATGGAAAGAGAGAAAGAGAGAGAGGAAGAGTTAAAGAGAGTGCAGCGCCAGTGTGGAGAAAAAAAAGAGGGAAGAAAAGATGAAAAGAGAGAAAGCAAAGCTGGAAAAACTGGAGGAGTCGTGCAGAAAGATGGAGAGAGAGATGAAGATGGTGAGGAAGGCAGCGAAAGAGAGAGAACAGGCTGTGCTGAAAGAAATGGAGAGAAAGAGAGAGAGAGAAAGAGAAGAGATGGAGAGAGAGCTGATGGAGAGGCAGAAACGAATGGAAGAGGAGGTGCAGGAGCGACTGAGAGAAACGGAGAAGGAAAGAGAGAAACAGAAAGAGTTAGAGAGAGAGAGAAAGGATCAACAGATGGAGGTGGAAGAGAGACTGAGAGAGATGGAGAGAAAGATGGAGGAGGAAAATGAACTGACTCTGAGGAGAGAGGAGGAGAAATGGAGAGAAAGAGTGAAAGAGCTGGAGGAAGAGTGGCAGCATAGATGTCTGGAGATGGACAGACAGAAAGAGGAAGAAATGAGGCTTGTGAAAGAGAAAGAACAAGAGATGGAGAGAATAATCTCTGAAAAAAGAGAAAAGGAGAAGAGAAAGAATGAAAAACGGAGGGAGTTTGAAAAGCTGGAGAAAGAGAGAGCAGAAAAGGAAAGAATGGAGGAAGAGAAACGCATGAAGACCCAGATGGAGGAGCAGCGAAAGACTGAACGAGAGAAACAGCAGAAAGAATGGAGAGAGGTGGAGAGCAGGAGAGAAAGAGCGAGAAAGAGAGAAGAAGGAAGAGTGATGGACCTGGAGAAAGAAAAGCAAGAAAAAGAAACAGACATGCTGGAGAAAAAGCTTGAAGAAAGGAAGATGGAAAAGCTGAGAAAGCTGAAGGAGAAAGAAGAGAAGCTGGAGGAAAAGAAAAGGATGGTAGCAGAAAAGAAGAAAGAGAAGGAAGAAAAGATGAAAGAGATGAAAAGACAGCTGGAGGCGAGAGAAAAGGATGAAAAGAGAAAGAGAAGAGAATGTAAAGCAGCACAGCTGGAGTTCACTTCAAATCTCAGAGACGAGGAGAAGAAAGAGGAGGAGGAAGGAGAGAAAGAGATGGGGGAAAGAAAGACAGAGATGGAGAAGGAGAGAAAGAAGACTGAACAAATGAGGAGAGAGAAGGAAGAACATGTGAGAGACGTGCAGAGACGCCTGGAAGAAGAGAGAGAAACAGCAAACCTGAAACATGAGGAAATCTGGAAAGACCAAGAAAAGGAGAAGGAGAGAGAGGAGGAGAAAGAGAGGAAGGGGCAGGGAGACGCCACCTGCACAAACAGCTTGGGAGAGAAAGATAAGGATGGAGGAGATATGGAGATGGAGAGAACGACGGAGGGCAAAGAAGAAAAGCAGAGCGACATGGGGTCTCTTTTTGAAGAAGTGTGGAGGACAGCTGTGAACAGAGAGGAGGAACAAGAACAAGTTCTAGATATGGAGAAGCAGAGAGAGATGGAGAAGGAGGAACCAGAGAAGCAGAGAGAGGAGGAGGGACGTCAGAAGGAGAGCAGCGAGAGAGAGCTGGGGATCGAGAGGATAACGGAGGCGAGGCGTCAACACATGGAGAGAGAAATGAAGAGGAAGAGAGAACTGATGAAGAAGCTGTTTTCTCCAGGAGTGAACATGTTCAGGACAGAGAACCGGGTTCAGCGCAGGAAACAGAGGAACCTGAAGGAGCCCTCAAACAACGAGGAGGAGCAGGCCGAGCTTGAAGAACAAGAGGAACCTCAGAGATCTAGCTGGCCTGTTTCTCCAAATGGAGGACCGCTGGTCATCTCCATAAAACCCAGCAACCCAGTCCTGGAGGAGCCTGAACCATCTGAACCCTCCCCAACTGACCCCCCCACTGACCCCCACACAGAGGACACTGTGGGTGGAGATGAAAGCTCTGTGGTGGAGGAAGCCGTCCTCAAGCCTGAGGGTTTCACTGAGCCACAATCAGAAGAGGCTCTCAATGAAGCAATGGAACAGGCTTCACCCACCCAGACTGACCACCCAAAAGATGGACCCACATCCTCTGAGACGGTGGAAGAGGCCGACCACGACGCTGGAACTGGGAAACAGGCCGAGAACAAGAACCAGAGGATGCGCATCATCGGCTGGATCAACCAGAAGGTCAAGGAGAAACACCAGAAGTCCATCCAGAAGAGCTTCATGAAGGAGATGAACTATGGATACAGGCTTTTGAGTGAGTTTCAGCAACTTATTTTATAGACTTCACTGTAGAACCTCATATGATTGGATAAAGCCGTCCTAGAGAACAGACTTCAACCAAATATCAGTGTTCATATTTAATATCAGCAGAAGCTTAAAAGTTATTCTTGTCATTTTGCTGCACTTTTGATGTGGATTTATTATTTGTGTGCATTTAAATAATAATAGTTACGCAGGCAGTTTTGTTATGAATTCCAATGATATTCAATTTACATATCTACGATTTTGAGTCTGCATTTCTGACATTTATCGGTTTGTTTTGCTATCAAAAATGACAGAAAACTGGCAAATATGTAAAGAATGTTTTTTCTTGCCCTCAGCTGGGTTAGCCTCAGTGAGCTAATCGGTTAGCCATGCTAACTGTGTTTTTGAGAACATAATGTATTTAAAGTTTATGAATAATTGCTTTGGCTGGCTATAAAGTTGGTGTAGAGCCTTTATTGTTGTTGTTGTTAGTAGTGTAGCCTTTAGCATGCGCACAAGCCAGCTAGCCGAGTAAAGTGAGCAAGTTGTTCAATCCGGACAAATAACGTCCAGTAACTTCTGCTGTATTTACAAATGTACATATTCTGATGTTAAATGTTCAGAAAAAAAATCTGAATTTGTTTTTTCTGTACATTCAGCTTCTAAATAGATTCCCTTGTTAAAACAAACTCTGAACATTACAGAACATTAGCAGAGTTAGCGTTCATGCTAACAAGGGAATATTTGAGCTTATCCTCATTGAAAACATCGACCATCCATTTCAGTGCTGTTTTACCTGCTCTTGGTAACTCGCCCTCAACATTTCCCTTCATACCGCATCAAACTTCTTACTTTATTCTGATAACTTTCTAGTTAGAGAACTAAATGCTACACAACCAGCAACAACAATAAAAAGGGCAGAACAGCCTCAAACCAGACAAAGCAATTCCTCAAAAAGTTAATGTATCTTACAGAGTTTAGCTTTCAGAGGCTCACTTAATTTATCATATCGATTTATGATGTATAAAGAGCTAGAACCTAGGGAACCTAGAACCCTGGGAATCTAGATCATTGGGCACATAGAACCTTGAGAACATAGTTGGGCTCTCGTCATTTACAACTAGTCCAACAAATTGAATGATGTATTTATGAAATGTTAACCATTTTAAAGTAGTTTACTGCTGTGGCTTATAAACAGAGTCATCTACCAATATTTGAAATGGGAAATGCGTCAGTTAATAATGATTTTTGGTCAGTTCTGCTGCCGAAGTGAACGTTTGTGTTCACTCGATCCGTCGCTCCTCCGAGGACTCATCTAATAAACTTCACTTGAGCTAATAAAGTAATGAACGGCTCTTAATCTGGCACCAGGGATTCCTCCAAAGGGGAAAAGACTAGTGGACGAGTGGACGAGGGCTGGTTAGAACCGGTACTGAACAGGTGTCGTGTCTTTAAAAGAGAGAGTAGAGGTCCTGTATTAATATCAACTCTTTCTCTCCAAACAGAAACTTCTGAAGGAGTGATGACATTGGCAAAGTATGAACAGGCCAAAAGAAAGAGACTGAGGAAGAAGGAGGAGAGGAGGCAGGCACTGGAGGACAGATGGAGAGAATGGGAGGAGAAAAGGGCTGAGAAGAAAGCTAGAAAAGAGGAGGAGAAACAGGCATTGGAGGCCAAACGAAGAGAGGAAGAGAAGAAAGAGGATGAAAAGAAAGCAGAGAAGAAAGCTAAAGAAGAGGAGAAGAAAAAGAATGAGAAGAAAGCCTCCTCAGCTCCACACGGCACCATCATGAGCAACATGGCGTCGTTATATATGCCGAGAGGATGCTTTGTGCTGAACTTCAATACTGAAAGGTAAAATATTTCTGCTTCATAAAGTTCATAATGTTTGAAGCCAAAACGATTTAAATTTAAAATGATCTCATCCAGTCAAAACATCTGATCACCTGAAGGGTCTTCACTAGTGAAAGATGACTTCACCATTTCCTGGGTTAAAACGGTGAATTTCACAGAGAAAAAACGCCAAGTTTATTTGTTCATATCATTTTTAATACATGCTGAGTCAGCATAAAAACTAAAAACTATTGTCCAGTGCTTTGTTCATAGGATCTTCTCTAGGAATATTAGCTTAACCTGTCTTAGCTAATATTGGCTACACTTGTTTGCCTTCATTCCCATACTGTACTACTAAAATATACAACTCCCCCACGAAAAGTGGTCCAACATAATATCATGAAGAAACTATGTATGTCATATAAGCTTAAAAATCACACTGAATTAGTTCACATAATAGCAAAGTAGAGTCCTTTTTGAAAATGCCTGTAAGCTTTAGCTTTCTGAGTGTGACTTCTGCCATTTTTAGACTATTTTTACATTGTAAATAAAGATGTGACACATTTTATTTTGGTAGGTATGAAGATGGAGAGTTAAAGTTCAGGTTAAGTTACGGTGAAGTTGGAACAAAGTGATGTAAATACTAAGAAGCTTAAATATTAAGAAAATGTCCAATAAGTTATTTTTATTGAAACTCTGTTTTAGATGCACTACTCAAACTGGACGGCTGGATGACCGTAAGAAGTTGAAGAACTGTGGAAGAACTGAAGCAGCACAAACGGGGCCAAGACTGGGAGACTTATGGCTGCCCTTATGAGAAACGCACTGCATTTCAAAGATAAGCGTATGTTAAACCCCACAAACCAGGCCATTTCAAATTACCCTGAAATACACCTCCTCCTCTCAAACAGCAGACGCTTTTTCCTTAATGTACATATCTGTTATGTCCTGCATCTAAATGAATTAGATGTTCTTTGGAAGCTAAGAAGTTTCCATTCGGTTAACTGCATCATATCACAAACTGTATTACTGAACATTTCAAGACAACTAAAAATGTGTAGCCAAGTTTATAGTCCTGCTGATCAAAGCAGTAGATTCAATTCTAAAATTTGTTTCTTTCACCTAAAATCTTTTCTATCTGCATCTCCTCCAGCAGTAACACCACTTACCTCTGCAAAGCTTCCAGCAGTAACACCACTGACCCCAGCGCCTCCTCCAGCATTAACACCACTGGTCTCTGCACTTCCTCCAACAGTAACATCACTGCCCTCTGCACTTCCCAAGAGTAATGCCACTGCCCTCTGCACCTCCTCCAGCAGTAAAACTGCTGACCTCTACACCTCCTCTAGCGATGACACCATTGACCTTCACACCTCCTCCAGCAGCAACGCCACTGACCTCCACAGTGGCCTGCTGGTAAAAGTAGGTTCGATTCTACCACTTCTGGTTCTAAAATGTCATGTAAAATCACTGACCTCAGCAACTCCTCCAGCAGTAACACCATTGACCTGCACACCTCCTCCAGCAGGAGCATCACTGACCTGCACACCTCCTTCAGCAGTAACACCACAGACCTCAACACCTCCTGCAGTGGTAACAACATTAGCCTCCACAGCTCCTCCAGCAGTAAAACCATTGACCTCCACACCTCCTCCAGCAGGAACACCATTGACCTCCACACTTCCTCCAGTGGTAACAACATTAACCTCCACAGCTCCTCCAGCAGTAAAACCATTGACCTCCACACTTCCTCCAGCAGTAACACCACAGACCTGCACACTTCCTCCAGCAGTAACACCATTAACCTCCACAACACCTCCAGCAGTAAAACCACTGACCTCTGCATCCGCTTCAGCAGTGAAACCACAGTCCTCTACACCTCCTCCAATGGTAACACCATTGACCTCCTCACCTTGTCCAGTGGTAAGATCACTGACTTCAGCAACCCCTCCAGCATTAACACAACTTACTGTTGCATTTCCTCCAGCAGTAACACCACTGACCTGCACACCTCCTTCAGCAGTAACACCACAGACCTCTACACCTCCTCCAGTGGTAACACCATTAACCTCCACAGCTCCTCCAGTAGTTAAAATATTGACCTCCACACCTCTTTCAGTAGTAAAACCATTGACCTCCACACTTCCTCCAGCTGGAACACCATTAACCTCCACAGCTCCTCCAGCAGTAACACCACTGACCTACACACCTCCTCCAGCAACCACTCAAGGTATGCAGATGTTAAATACACAAACCAGTCCATTTTAAATTTCACCAGTTTTGCCCACTGCTCTCAGCGTTTCCTTCTTATTGTATGTATACACTATATGATGCCCCACAGATGAAGTACAGAATTCAGATAACTGTATCACAAACTGTCCTAGTCCAGCTGATCAAGCCAGTAGTTTAAACTATACCTCAGATCAATTATTATCAGGTTAATAATTAATGCTGGTTCTGGAAATATCATATTTACTGTAATTCCCATTACGCACTTAACTTATTTCTTGTCTTGCAGACAAAAACATCTTTCAGATACCAGTCTGGACTGAGAGTCTTTATCACTGCCCTTTCTATAGAGGGCAGTTACCTGCTGGTCTGATTATATAATGGCAATTACTGTTTGCCAGGCAACTCCTCCTCCAGCAACCTATCCCACTGACCTCTGAAGGTTATTTTAAGAATTAACTCGATATATTTACAGCCCATGTTTTATTAATTTTCAGATCATGAATGTCATATTTAACAAAACCCAGATTTAACTGAAGCTTTATTTACAAACACAGGTGAACAAAGTTCCTGAGCTCCCAGCTGGTGTAGCTCTGAAGATTCACTGGAGAGACAGTTACGCAGTCTGGAGCCTCACAGAATGAACAGATCCTGAACAGTTCTGACAGAAGAAGTCCAGAAAAAACAACACACGATACGTCAGAACATAAATAAACATCAAATAAAATCAATAAACTCTTTCTCCTCATAAACAAAACTCTGAAGGAAATTAATCAAACATTGAAAAACACCTACCAAAATGAATAATACTGTGGTTTAAAAGTGTGTCTGTATTTTGCACTAGATGTGATGTAATATAATAACCTTAAAAGCAATGATGCAATCAAGCAATGATGTTCAGTCATATTTGAATGTTTGGGTGTGTAGTTGACCTGCCAAGAACTCTACATGCATGTCCTCAGGCAGTGGAATATCATTTGAGTGGGACATGCTGTTTGATTGGATTAGATTAGATTAAATTTTTACTTTCTTGGTCCCAGAGGGCACATCCAATCACAATGACACTTACAGACATAAAGACAGATTTACTGTAACCCAGCATTCTCATATCTTCACATGTTTGTGAAACTTATAAAACCAGAGGTGAGTCCATGTGGAGAAAGCAAAACAATAAAGCAATAAGCCACTCCAGACAAAACAACAGAAAGACGCAGGCCAACTAAACCCAACCAATAACGCCCGACCCCTATTAAGCAGGTTTCCACTCGTGACAGGCAGAACTTGAGTATGATATAACGGAGTTGGAATTGAATGGGACAGATGAAATATGGCTGAGCAGCTGCACAGTAGCCTAAGATCACTACGTGCGATGCCAAGCATCAGCTGGAGTGGTGTAAAGCCGCCGATACTGGAGCCTAAAGCAGGAGGAACATGTTCTCCGAGGTGCCGAGTCACTCTTCAGTATCTGGCAGTTTGGGGACGAATCAAGCAGATTTTCGGACTGATAACGACACGGTGAGAGGTGTGTAACTGAGTAAAAGCTCCATGAAAAGTGAAAACTGATTATTTATGAAGGTAAAACACAAAAAGCTGCTTACATGCAAAAATATTCTGTTTAGAAACCGCTTTGTTTTTAAAACTCTTAACATTAATGATAATCCCTTATTTACAGATTTTGATTTCTTGGTTATGGATTTTGCTTCTTGGTTCTCAAAACTTTTGGCCTTATTCTGACGTCAAACACACTCACACTTCTGGTTGTTTGAAGTCGAAGTTCAAAACATATTTTATTGTTTGGCCTTCTGTAATAGCCGTAGGTTTCAGGTGCATTTCTGTTTGTTTTTATTTGCTCTTTTATAATCATTTCATGATTAAAATCATATCTGTGTGAAACTCTTAAGTGCAACGTCAGTCGTTTTAAGTGTGCAATAAAAACAAATATTAATTACTTAAATAACTACATCGCCATGGAAAAGTATTCGCCAAAAAACGATTTTTGCATCTCAAATATGGCACAAAAAAAGCTATTTGAAGGTCACATGACTACACAGGAATGACTGAAAAAAGATGAGCTAAAAGATTAGTTGAAGTTGATGGATTAAAGGAGGAAAATCACTAAAATAGGCTGCGCAGAGGAGCAGAGATGAGGAATTATTGTGTATTCATATTGCAAAAAGAAGTAAACAGATATGTAAATACTTTCTCACACACATTAACATCTTACCTTCACTTCTAAAGTAGTTTATCTTTAAAACCAGTTTTTTTAATCAGGCCAACACTGCACTGCACTGAAGTAATGAAGAGAATACATGGGGAGAAATTACCGAGTTCACCAGCAGGGGGCAGAATAGCTTCTAAAGTTAGTTTCTCCACTCATATTAATGATTGTGAAAACACATAGACCGTGTTAGATGTGAAGTGCTGGATGTGTGTGTGTGTGTGTGTGTGTGTGTGTGTGTGTGTGTGTGTGTGTTCTCCGTCTGCGCAGAAGAATCATCTAGAAGGATACGATGCATAACAGCCTAATCAGAGAAGCTGAACTCCAGGGTTTTTCAGCCTAATGACTGACATGTCTGTAACGGAAAGTTTCTTGTTGAGGACTGTAATTTTCCCTGCAGTCAGAAAATTACAGACAACCTGCTAACAGAAACACTTATAATAGAAGCCAATGGACGAGTGCTGAAGCAGCTACACACTGACTTCTATTATGTGTGTGTTGAGAGGAAATTAATGAGACTAAATTACTGGCTGTAGTAACTGGTCATATTTTACCAGTGGTGAACTGTGATTATTAGATCTAGGCCTTCAGTCAACAATGAGGAAAAAACACCTCTACAAAAATGCTAATTTCTGCTAGCGCCTCTATGGGATTGTAGTATGTGTGTTAGCACTAAGCTAATACTGATTCACATAAACATTTTTGGCTGTTCTAGATAAAAGTGCATGAATTCCGATCTGAGCGTCACATACGTATCTGATCTAGGACCACATATGAAAGTGGCTCAGATCGGATTTGAAAAGATCAGATTTGTGTGTCCACACAGCTCTGAAAACATCAGATCTGAGTCACATTAGGGTAAAAAATTGGATTTGTGCCACTTCAACCTGGTAACGTGAACGTAGCCTTTCATATGTGGCCCTAGATCAGATACGTATCGGATTTGTGGCTGTGTGACCTTAATGTGACGCTCAGATTGTAATTCATGTGTTTTTTTTCCATTGCACGTGACCATCATTCAGCGTTACCATGGCAACAGCGCCGAACAGAAGTTAAAGCCTGTAAACAGTGGAAAAGCAGCTCATCTCACCTTTTTCTCCTTCGTCTCGCTCTAATAATGAAGCTGAGAGCTGATCAGAGTTAATGATCTTCTCAGCGAAGCTCGTTCTGCTCTTTAGTTTGTGCTGATGATGCACGTGATTCATTCACGTGACGTTACTGAGTAGGACGTGCGCATGAGGGTCATTTCAGGACGCCGGTTCGTCACATTAATGACAGATTTAAACCACTTACCTAAAGTGTGAACCATCATGTCAGAGAGATCGGATTTGAGCAAAAAATCAGATTTGAGCAACGAGGCCTGTAATGTGAACGTAGCCCATATGAAAGTAGCTCAGGTCGGATTTGAAAAGATCAGATTTGCGTGTCCACACAGCTCTGAAAACATCAGATCTGAGTCACATTAGGGCAAAAATTCATATTTGTGCCACTTCAGCCTGGTAATGTGAACATAGCTAAGTCACTCACTCACTCATCATCTAAGCAACTTATCCTCCGGGTTCGTGGCGGGTGCTGAACTCTATCCCAGCACTCACTGGGCGGAAGGCAGGAAACACCCTAGACACACACACACAATTTTTTACATGTTGTAAGCCATTTTTAAAGTGGAATTATCTCACTGTATTGCCAGATAATATAACTTATTGTAAGGAATATGCCTGAAACAAGCAAACTACCTCTCAATATAGTGAGATAATTCCACATAAAAAATGACAAAACAAGTAAAAATGTCTAGAAATAAGTCAGAAAAATAAAATATACTGTTCCCAATATTGTAATATTGACCTTAAAAATACCTTTCAGAGTCTATTATCTCAATTTACAATGTTTATTAATAAATACAATAACAGTTATGAATATAAATATGACTGTAAACATCTAAACCGTGGTGTAAATGTGAGAACAGTTTATGTGAGGGTCTCTAAACTGAAGGCTGTAATAAGCGTCCAGCCGGACGTGTCCGTTCACCGCATGTCTGTGCTCTATTGTGTGTAATGACTTCAGCATGACTTGTGGTGTGTACTGGTCCAGTGACCAGTTAATAAGGCCGAGCATGTGCTTCAGAATGAACCTCTAATCGTGCAGTTCGTTAGAAACTGTTAGTTACTGGTGAACGCTGTGCCTCGTGTTAGTGTGCATCCATGAACTGCATGTGCAGCTCTGCTGAACTTTCTGTGGACCTGAAGGAGGTTTTTACACCGACTCTGCCCGTGTCTGTGGGCGTAAGCTTGAAAGCTTGACCGGTATATATCACCTAAAGGTATTTGGGCTCAGCAGGGATCAGAATTGCTCCGTAGCCTGAGGACACAAGAGAGGATCAAGGGTAGCTGCTCTTTTTCCTGAAGTTTCCCTGAATCTTCTGGTGCTTTTTCATTCATTTGTCCACTTCAGGAGTGAAGATGACGGACAGGCTGGTTGGATCTGGGAGGAAAGAGCAAGGTGTCGTGGTAAATATGCAGCTTCTGATGAATTCAATGACTGACTTTCTGTTCATGTTGTTCTGCAACTGTGATGGTCAAGTTCCACATCATTAAATGATTAAACATGTAAACAGAGTCATTCAGAGTGGTTTGGTGTGAAATGCTCTGTTCTAGAGACACTTACAGAGTCAGAACTGTTCACAGTGGTGGTGATAGGAACCAGACGTCCACCTCTAAAAGCTCCCTCACAGAGAGTTAATACATGAAATGGTTATGAATTCACTGCCTGATGTCTGAGACACTGTTTTATATAGTTTTGTGATAAAGTTTTGGCCTAACAGGTCTTATTAATCAGTTTATTTTAATCCATTCATGGTGGAGGAGTACATTTAGGTTGTTGTGAGGCAAAATAGTCCCCCCCAAAAAAGTTTTTTTTTCTGATTTAGCACTATTTTACCTTCATTAACATTAGGTATAAAACTCTGAAGACTCGTGTTGGTTCACTGGTGGTTTTGGATGGTAAATAAAATGTCTATATTTGTGTTGTAGACATGGTGACCCCTGGTTCCTATCACCACCACTGTAGTCTGTAAGTTTCTCTACAGTGAACTATTTTACACCAAAACCGCTCTGAATGACTTTGTTTACATAGCAATGATGAATGCAAAAATTTGAAAAATCGGTGGACCCCCCCTTTAACCTGTCCCTTTACCCTAAACCTATATAGTACTGAAAAGGGGGTTCTTTGACTTGTAACAATAGTGGAACCCTTATGAATGAAATATATACAACTGGTTTTCCATCACAGAAAAAAACATTTGACTTCGCAAAGAATCATTTATGCATTCAATTGGTTCTGTGAGTGTTCATGGTTCTATATAGAACCACTGCTTTTACTAAAGAACACTTAAAGAGCCATTTTAGAGTGGAACCCTATGCCTTACAATCAACATTAAAGGGAGAAACATTTGAAAATCTCTACATAATTCAGTGGTTGAGTCAATCAGAGTGGTTTGGTGTGAAATGGTTCTCTGTAGAGAAACTTAGACTCAGATGTCTTTACAGTGGTGGTGATAGGAACCAGGGGTCACCATGACTACAACACAAATATAGACATTTTATTTACTATCAAAAACCACCAGTGAACCTACACGAGTCTTGTACGTAATGTTGATGATGATTACATAGTGATTAATCTGGATACCTTAGCAGGCCTGCATGTACCTCTCCACCATGAATTTATTAAAAAATAAACTTAGGCCAAACCTTATTCCAAAAACACTGGGCCTTGTTCACCAACATCTTCCTAAGCTTGTTCTTAAACGTGTTCTTGAGGAAGGTCCTAAGAAAAAGGCTACGTCAAGTTCGTGATGTGTTCTTAAAGCACAGAACTGTTCTCACTTTTGTGCTCTTGAGTGTGGAGATTCTGTTCTTACCTAAGAACAAATCCCAGATCTTTTAGAGGTGGACGTCTGGTTCCTATCACCACCACTGTGAACAGTTCTGACTCTGTAAGTGTCTCTAGAACAGAGCATTTCACACCAAACCACTCTGAATGACTCTGTTTACATCTCAACCATTTAGTGATGTGGAAATCGTATGAAATCAGGAGAACAACTCTTCAAGCTTAAGCTCAGCCCTAAACCCTAAACACTAATGTCTAACATTAACCTAAACTTAAACCTCACCCCAACTCAAACCCTTACACTGTTGATAATCAGCTTTTCATCAGCACACTCTTAAAACATGGTTCTTCATGGGTTCTTCATAAAGAAAATGGTTCTGTAAAGAAACATGAACATTTAAAGAACGCTTTGCATGATTAAAGGGTTCTATGCATGGTGAAATGGTTCTTCAGACTGATGGAGAATGTGCTGTATGTGGTTCTATATGGAACCTTTTTGAAAAAGGTTCTATATGGCACCAAAAATGGTTCTTTTATCTGTTGTTATGATGTCAAGAACCCTTGAAGCACCATCTTGTAAAGTGTATAGATGTTCTAGGTATTATTGTGTTAGTTTATCAGCTAAGCTGCCCGTTCGAACGCTGTGTCCGCGTTTGCTGCTCCTTGTCCGGTAGATTGAGGAAGACTGGCCAGGCTATGACTTAGAGCTGTTCAACTATCCGGAGCATTACCGCGGCGACATCGAGAGCGTGCTCATCCCACACGGAGTCATCATGAACCGGTAAACTCACGCCTGTTCACACACAACCCTCGCTCCCTCGGACATCACAGCTGCGGAAGACAGGTTAAAAAACCAGGGGTGTTTTATTTTTCTGTCTGTAACCCTAAATTGGTACAGGCTGGTCAATCTGTAGCTCAGTTTTGTTCTTGAACCTTGATATAAAGATCACTTTCATCAGACACTCTTCATTAGATGTATTCAGCTAAAACGTGCAAAAGTCCAGTTACATCTAATTTTCTTGCTTACAAAAGGTCCGGATGAAAAAACAAACGTAGGTAAAGGTTACCTTTAAACGCTCAACCATTAAAGAGCATCCAGACAACTAATAAAATAAGACACATCAAATACATTTTGATAAACTGTTTTTGACCCAATGTTTTCAATTGTATGGGCATTGGCTGTTATTTGTTTACTAAATAAATAAATAAATAAACCTTTTGGCAGTTTTGAATAAATTGTCTGCTTCTGTCATTTTTGAGCACACTGATTTTATTGAGAAAAACAAAATGATATATAATGTAAACAAGAAAAAAACAGTGCTGGGTCAAAGTAACCATATTTTAGGGTAACTCTAATACATTAAGGCCCAATCCCATTTCACCCCTCACCCCTACCACTTAGCCCTTAGCCCTCTGTTTTGGGCGTTCATGTCTAGGGGTAGAGGGATAGGGCAAAGTATTAGGGCTGCATGGCCCTCCAAATGGAGGTTTTTCAGAGGCTCACTCCAAAAGGAGTGTTATGAAAAAAAAAGAATAACCGGCAAGGTGGCTGCGCGAGCGACCAAAGAAACCCACAAATGTGAGAATTTTCTCAGTTAAAAAATACGATAACCATTGTTTTATCTTAGTTTAATGTCGTTCAAAGTATTATGGTCGTTTTCTTCATAACAAGCACACAAAAATCGCTAATAGCATGCTCAGTAGCTAGCTAACTTTCCCGTTCCACCTTAAATAGTCCGGTAGTATTGACGCCAGAAGCGCCAGAATGTAACTGCTGCACCATTTAAGGTGGAACGGGAAAATTTGAACAAGAAGCTGGTGAATATCTGACTTCAGCTTCGTATCACCAAATAATTGGAGTGGGCGATGATAAATGATTGTCTTATCCCCCTCTTTGAAGGCATTTGATGCACTAAATGTAACTGAAGCCCAGCAGTGAGGAGCTGAACTTTACCCTCCTCTGCTATCACTGAAGACGCGCTGGGTCGCCTGCAGAGCAGCGCTAGTAGCTGTTAATGAAGTAATGTTTCATTTGAGGGTTGTCCCATTTTGTAGGGCAAGTTTTTAACCACTACCCCTTGTAACTCAGTTCCAAGGGGTTAGGGTGACCCTGGAAAACAAGGGGTAGGGGTAAAAAGAAGAAATGGGACTGGGCCTAAGTTAGAACTCCTATCATATTTTCTTTTTTCTGTTTGACTTTAACTTGTTCATGAAGTGCCTTCATGTGATGTCATGGTTTAATTCGCTTAAACAGACACACATCCCCTCATAGCGTGTTTAAGCTTCCTTCCTGCTGCTGTACAAACAGCACTGCTCCCAGTAGGACCCTCCTCCACCCTCCATTAGACCTCACACACCTACAGAAAATAAACTGTGGAATTCATCACCATTTCCTGTGTGCAATATAATCAATACTCCATGTGCAATACTTTAAAAATATTTCTATAGTGTAAAGATTTTTTGCTTTTCTATTTATAATGTTTATATTGTTAACTCCTCACCATCCCATGGGTAACAAGTCAGTACCGCATGTGCAAAACTCTGTGTGAAACTTACATATCCTTAAAAATCCTTACAGTGTAAATATTTTAGCTTTTATTTATTTATAATCCTTTATATTGTTAATTTTTGTGAAGGATAGGGTTTATATGTTTATTTCATTTTTTGCTTTCAGTATTATAAACACTGATCAGGCATAACATTATGACCACCTCCTTGTTTCTACGCTCATTGTTCATTTTATCAGCTCCACTTACTATATAGGTGCACTTTGTAGTTCTACAGTTACAGACTGTAGTCCATCTGTTTCTCTGATACTTTGTTAGCCCCCTTTTACCCTGTTCTTCAGTGGTCAGGACCCCCATGGACCCTCACAGAGCAGGTACTGTTTGGGTGGTGGGTCATTCTCAGCACTGCAGTAACACTGACGTGGTGGTGGTGTATTAGTGTGTGTTGCGCTGGTCTGAGTGGATCAGACACAGCAGTGCTGCTGGAGTTTTTAAACACCTGAGTGTCACTGCTGGACTGAGAATAGTCCACCAACCAAAAATATCCAGCCAACTGTGTCCTGTGGGCAGCGTCCTGTGACCACTGATGAAGGACTAGAGGATGACCAACACAAACTGTGCAGCAGCAGATGAGCTATCGTCTCTGACTTTACATCTACAAGGTGGACTGACAAGGTAGGAGTGTCTAATAGAGTGGACAGTGAGTGGACACAGTGTTTAAAAACTCCAGCAGCACTGCTGCGTCTGATCCACTCGTACCACCACAACACACACTAACACACCACCACCACGTCAGTGTTACTGCAGTGCTGAGAATGATCCACCCCCCCAATAGTACCTGCTCTGTAAGGGGTCCATGGGGGTCCTGACCACTGAAGAACAGGGTAAAAGGGGGCTAACAAAGTATCAGAGAAACAGATGGACTACAGTCTGTAACTGTAGAACTACAAAGTGCACCTATATAGTAAGTGGAGCTGATAAAATGGACAATGAGTGTAGAAACAAGGAGGTGGTCATAATGTTATGCCTGATCGCTGTATATTGTCTAGAAAGTAACAAACTGTAAAAACTTTAAGTAATTAACGAGGTTAATAACTTTTTTGTTACTTCTCTTCTTGTTACTTCTTTTCTTTTCTTCAGTGCCTTGATCTCCATTTGCTGCTTTAACACTAAGAATTTCCTCATTGTGGGACGAACAAAGAATTATCGTATTGTATCTTATCTTTAATGTGTTTCGTTTTTAGGATAGAGTGTTTAGCGAGAGATATCCTGGAGGAAATCGGTCATCATACCCTGATGATTCTGTGTGTGCTGAAAGGAGGTTATAAGTTCTGTGCTGATCTGGTCGACTCCATTAAAGCGCAAAGCCGCAGCACCAACCGCAAACTCACCACCAGAGTGGAGTTCATCCGCCTCAAGAGCTACCTGGTAAGACCCTGAAGAAATGGAACTCCGTAAAGGGGCGATCCACCCTAAGCTAGCCTTTAATATGTCATTGTTGTGTTACGCAGTGTCCTGCAACCCAGCGTTAAATGGGTTTGACAGAATTCACAATACTGTTTTCACATTTCATCATTTTATTCATGTCCTCTCACTACAGCACCCAGCAGCTTCAGCTTCCATTCTTTTCAGGAGACTCACTTTCAGTTTCTTAAAGAATCTGCAGGGGTGGTTTTCCACACCTCCAGTGTCCACACCTTCAGTTTAGAAGTTGGTTGATCATTTTCTGAAGTAATCAAACAAATTCAGTGATGTTGAGGTCTGGACTCTGGGGTGGTCAGTCCATTGTTCTGAGAGCACCAGCAGCTTTTACACCACCAACACTGATCTAGAGGCTAATACGTTGAGACGAGATGTTTGGCTTCCTAGCAGTAACATTAGCTGTCAGGCTTTCTTCTACATTAGGCAGCTACCGGAGAAAACATCCCCCTCCCCAAACTACTTTTACAAAAGATTCTCCAGCCCTCAGGATACATCATCAGAAGGGAGGTTTCCTAGCCTTTACACTGGAAAACCTCCATATTGGAAGTGTTTTGGAACACTGTTGGAGTGTCCTGCAGAACCCAGTACTGCAATAATTTCCCATCACTGTAATCACAACCAGAAATGTAGTAATAATTCACTCTTAACTGGTCAAAAACATAATGAAGCTCAATAATGTAATAACTTACTTAATAACGTAACACAAAGTCTAAACTGATCATTTTTGTGCAATGACAATATTAATAATAATAAGAAGAAGAAGAAGAAGAAGAGGAGGAGGAGGAGGAGGAAGAAGAGGAAGTAGAAGAGAAAGAAAAAGGAGAAAGAAGAAGAAGAAGAGAAAGAGGAAGAAGAGAAAGAAGAAGAGGAAGAGGAAGAAGAAGAAGAGAAAGAAGAAGAGGAAGAAGAAGAGGAAGAGGAAGAAGAAGAAGTAGAGAAAGAAGAAGAAGAAGAGGAAGAAGAAGAAGAGAAAGAAGAAGAAGTAGAGAAAGAAGAAGAAGAAGAGAAAGAAGAAGAAGAGGAAGTAGAAAAGGAAGTAGAAGAAGATGAAGAAGAGAAAGAAGAAGAAGGAGAGGAAGAAGAAGAGGAAGAAGAAGAGGAAGAAAAAGAAGAAGAAGAGGAAGAAGAAGAAGAAGAGGAAGAAGAAGAAGAAGAAGAGGAAGAAGAAGAAGAAGAGGAAGAAGAAGAAGAGGAAGAAGAAGAAGAAGAACCATCTACAGCACATTCTCCATCAATCTGAAGAACCTTTTCACAATGCAAAGAACCTTTTAATCATGGAAAGGGTTCTTTGAGTGTTCATGGTTCTATATAGAACATGTTCTTTACTAAAGAACCTTAGAACCCTGTTTAAGTGTGTAAATAGCACTGCTAACTCCCCGTAAAGAGCCAGAACGCCCATCGCTCTCCAGAAGATGGCGCTGTTGGTGCATGTGAGCCTCTTAGAGGGGACACACGTCTCAAGGGCATCTTCAGCGTTACGTCCAGCTGAAAACACCAGAGTAGATCAGAACCAGCTAAAGAACCCAGACAGCTCGATCTACAGTGGGAACAGGGATGAGTCAGTGATTCATCTGTTTCTAAAACGCTGATGGTTCTTCAAGGGTTCTTTAGCAAAGTAAGTGGTTCTACATGCTTAAATGGATCCTTGCATGGTGACATGGTTATTTAGATTGATGGAGAATGTGTTGCATATGGTTCTATATAGCACCAAAAAAGGTTCTGCTATTGTTATGATGTCCAGCTTGTTACAATAGAAGAACCCTTTACTGTGCTATACAGAACCATTTTCAAAAAGGTGCTATAGAGAACCATATTCAGCACATTGTCCATCGATCTGAGGAACCATTTCACCAATCAAAGAGCCATTTAAGCATGTTGTGGTTCTATATAGAACTCATGCCTCTAAATACACCCATTGCCTTAACTAAAGAACCCATGTTTTTTAGTGTGTATATGTCGAGGTTGTTTGTGCTCATTCAGAGATGCAGCCTTATTTGTTCAGTACATATAGAGGTAAATGAGCCCCATTAGGTCAGAGTCATTAAACACGCCTGATTCATCTCAACAGCTGATTATCAAGGCCTTCATAAAACTTGTATATGTAAAAATAATAATATATCCCATATAGTGCATATATCTGTACAATATGTATTATATGTATTATGTAATAAGATCCTATAAATATTATATACATGTAAGAACATATAAGTAGTAATAATATTAGACCATGTGTGAAACAAACAAATGTTTGACATAAGGAAACCGTCCTATCTGGCCTGCCAAATGATTTCAATTTCCTGCTAATATACATTTCACAGTGCACTGCACTACAATCCCCAGCATGCACTGCAGTGTAATGTGTGCTCCAACACCTTCCCCTGAAAGCATACAGCAATGCTGTGCATTAAGTGGCTAATGCACTTGAACAAGGAATATTCGTGGTGACAAGTCTGCGCTTGAGCTGCTCTTTGTACATTTAATTCAGTGATGTACTTCATTCTCACCGTTCTGGGCTTTTTATATTCTTAATAATTCCTTTAAGCTTCTGTGTGTCTTTCTCTCTGTTTTCATCTGTCCCTTCTACAGAATGACCGCTCCACTGAGGACCTGCACATCATTGGGCCTGAGGACCTCTCCATGCTGAAAGGAAAAGTAAGACCATTAGATCATTCTCCAGCACACAGGCCATTATTAGCGTCACATACTGTGGTGGACATTGACTACAGCACCTTTTTCAGCTACCTGTAATTTATTCCATTCTCATTTTTGGGACTTTGAAAGTAAAATATGCTGGATTTTCTAAAATATCTGAAGGAATATGATGCACTTTCAAACTGAAGCAAACCAGTCAAAGCATAGCAACTCTCTAACTGACTGATTGGCTCAACCTGTTGCACCTGTGAAGAAGCAAGAAAGCTAATTATAACCATAATGCCACACTACCGCTCAAAGGTTTGGGGTCGTGTGTCATGATAATAATTGTTATTCAGTAATAACTCATACAGTAGACATTCAAATGATATAAACTAAACACCAAAACTTAAACCAGTACTTTATTCACAGTTTACAGTATGTTGGGAACAACATAAAGTCAGATCATGGTAAAAACCATGGAAGTGTTATTCAATAAGTTGTCACAAAAATACTTTGAATAGGTGTTTTAATTAAGAATATTTGGTTATCAGTTTTCAAATATGAGGCATTGTGTGTGGCAGTTTCTTTATAAGTTCATTCTCATAGCTGTACAGATTCCTCAATCATCATTAAATTGCTTACAGCTCTGTTTATAATCAAAAACGTCTTCATTTTTTACAGGTTCCTACAAACTGTTTGAAACTTAGAAGAAGTTAGTTTCACAGTGGAATCGTTTCATGCATGTATCGTCAAAGAAATTGGTTTTTAAATGAATGAACTCAGTGACCCCAAACTGTTGAGTGGTAGTGTACTTTAAGCACTTAAAGGGGAATTCCACCGATTTTTACAAATTTTCCATAATTCTGTTGTTGCAATGTAAACAGTCTTTCAGAGTGGTTTGGTGTGAAATGGTTCACTGTAGAGAAACTTACTGACTCAGAGGTCTTTGCAGTGGTGGTGATAGGAACCAGGGGTCACCATGTCTACAACACTAATATAGACATTTTATTTACTATCAAAAACCACCAGAGAACCTACAGGAGTCTTCTGAGTGTTTATACGGAACGTTGATAATGATGAAATAGTGCTAAATCAGAAAAAATACATTCTCTTTGGGAGCTATTTTGCCTTACAATGCCCTGCATGTACCTCTCCACCACTGGATTAAAATAAATGGAATAACAAGACGGTTTCAGGCAAAACTATCACAGAATTATCATAATACAGTGTCTCAGATATCAGTCAATGTATTCATACCCATGTCATGTAATAACTTCCTGTGAGGGAACTTTTAGAGGTGGACGTCTGGTTCCTATCACTGACACTGAATAATTTAGACTCTGTAAGTTTCTCTAGAACAGAGCATTTCACACCAAACCACTCTGAAAAATGGTGGAATACCCCTTTAAGCATCTCTAACTAATGCAGAAATATAAATGCTTTTACTCAAGATATATTTTTACTAGTGGTATCTGTACTCTCATTAGCCACGTTTCCATGCAGCCTAATAATCTGTTAATAAGTCGACTAATAGCTCATTCGGAATAGAATTCATCCATGTAAACACCTCAATCGGAATAGTTTAGTCCAATTGAGGCCATTCGGAATACAGTTCCTATCCAGTTGAACGAGGTGGGTAATCCTGTAAATAATCTGTTAAATAGAAGAATAATATCCGTGTAAATGCCTGTATCTGATTACATTCCCTATCAGAAAGTTTAAGTCCGTTCTGATCATGTTCGTCGCGTCATAGTGAAAGTTTATACCGTTCAACATGGCGGAGCAGAAACTGGTCTGCAGAGGAGACGAAGTTCATGCTCTGATCTTTAAAAGACGGCGGTGGGACGGACGTCCAGCTTATGTGTCTCAGAACACGACGTCTTCCTCTCGGCCTTCTTTTAATAAGGACATGTGAAGGACGTTTTCCTGAGTCTGACATCATTTTAAAGTGATTAAAAACACAAGCGCTGCTCACTGCTGCTCATCTCACTCTGACTGGACTCACGTGATGCTGGTTGTCATGGTAACGTCCACACTAAGCGGTTCTCTACGCATGCACGTCATTTTGGATCTGATTACTTGTAGTGAGTGTGTAAACGGAGATTTTCCAGCAGATTGTTGAGTAGAGTGAGCATAAACACTTCAGTCTAACTCTGTAATCGGATTGTGTTCAATCGGACTGGCAAAAATCTTTGCTTGTAAACACAGACAGTGAAGTGTAGAAGTAAACCACTAGTCACGTATAGCAAAAGAAAACAACGCAAGTGATGAATGTGAGTTAATAGGACACAGCTTAATTAGCTTAATTAACTTAAACACTGGCTTTTATCCTCCTCAGTAGAGATTTTCTTTTTAGGTTTAGAATTCTAGAATTTCATAACACTGTAAGAATCACTGGATTGAACGCAGAGGGGGAAGCTGGCTGACGGCTGAATGGAGATTAGTAAATGTAAGCGTGAGCGGCTCTGCTGTGGGTTTTGTTGATAGTCATGCGGGACCTGTTGTTGTTTAAGCTGTAGATGCTGTGGAATTTGCAGTGCGTCCTGGGCTTAATTTGTCTTTTCATCGTCTCCCAGTAAATTCAGGGAATCTAATGAGTCTGCTCCAGAGACTCCGCTTTCACAAGAAGTGCCGCCAGGTTCTGTGAAAAGTCGGCCTGAACTGTTTGTGAACTTCCTCTGCTTTGTGATATTGGAGTGTGATGGCAATCTGACATTGTTCTGTAGACGTTCTTACAGCCCACACAGATACGCAACCACACTCACACAAACAAGTCTAATTACATTACACAGCGACGCCGTCAGGAGACAAGGCCAAACAAACGGACTGTAAGTAGCTTTATGTAATAATATATATAACATGTAATATGTAATATGTTACATGTATGCATAAATCATAATACATGCCATACATCTAATACAGTACGTACTATATATGTACAGTATGCTGTACACGTATATATACACCATATTAACAATAAACAACAGAACAGTAGAAACTGTGTACTGTGAGTCCACACTCACCTGCACCACAAGATCACTGTGATGTAGCTCTTATTCTGCTGTACACCTACAGCAATAAGCTGTCATTACAATACAGTGATCTCCTGTATTTTTACACAACAACTAAAACTAACGCAGCCCACTGTACAAATTACTGTACATTCACATATCAAAAAAATCACTTTTAATGTTTTACCAGACCTATAATTGTTTTTTTTATTATTTAAATAAAGTAAAAGATGAACAAAAAAAAAATATAGTATAAATAAACTTATTTATTCACCATGTTTTGGACTGCATTTGCACAGAACATCTCAAGAATCCATTCTGAAATCTTATTTGTTATGTTATTACAAAAAATATGTAAAAAAGAGGAGATTTCACAATACAATGATGAACACAGTATATAATTGTGAAAAATTAGTGTTAAATATTATGACATCTCTACTTTGTTGATTAAAACCAACCTCTTTAACTTGAACATTTCAGATCCATTTGCCATTTTGTATTTCAACTGAATTTTGACTTAACTGAACTTCACAGAGAAAGACAGCAGAACGTAAGAACAAAGATTCTAACTTACGATTAGAAGTTCAGGACTCACAACTGAAGTTCTAATAGTAACTAAGCTTTTAAAGTTAAAACCGCTATGTTTATAGTGTATATTAATAATAATAATAATAATAATAATAATAATAACTAGAAGCATGCATTTCCTGAAGGAAACGCAGAATGGTTGTGCAGCTTAAATGGTTCCCGCTTCCTGCTATGTTGCTAGGTGGTTCCTATGGCATCCAAGGTGGTTGCTAAGGTGTTGTTAGGTGGTTGCCATGGTATCCGAGGTGGTTGCAACAATGTAATAGAGTTTTTGTGGTGTTGAAAATGAACGTGAGTCTATGGGAGAAACGAGTTGGAGCGGTGCTGATGTGTGTGTGTATGTCTATATACATATATATATATATATTTATATATTTATATATTTATATATATGTGTGGGTTTGTGTGTGTGTGTATGTGTGTGTGTGTGTGTGTGTGTGTGTGTGTATGTGTGAGTGTGTGTGTGTGTGTATGTGTGTGTGTGAGTGTATGTGTGTGAGTGTGTGTGTGTGAGTGTGCGTGTGCATGTGTGTGTGCGTGTGTGTGTGTGAGTGTGCGTGTGCATGTGTGTGTGTGTGTGTGTGTGTGTGAGTGTGTGTATGTGTGTGTGTGTCTATATACATATATATATATATATATTTATATATTTATATATTTATATATATATGTGGGTGTGTGTGTGTGTATGTGTGTGTGTGTGTGTGTGTGTGTGTAATGTGTAATGTGCTATATATGTATAAAAAAGCTCTCGCAGTTAAAAAATGAACCTGGAGTTTTTGTTAGATGCCCTTTGACGAAGTCAGGATCGTGGTGTTTCTCCTGTAGGTCAGCTCTGAGTGAAGCAGCTCTGCAGGGTACAGTGTTCTGTTCTGGTCATATGTCTGAGGTTTTCCTCCACAGACCCGGTCATTGTATCGGCCTCATAAGAGCCGTTCTGTTTGTGCGGTTTTTCTTCACCCCACTGACCCTGACTCATCTCCTCACAGTGGGCGGGAATTTAGGGGGTTTGTGTGTGTGTCAAAAGTTTGGGGACTTTCTAAATCATTTTAATAACTCAGCATATGATCTTTGTCAGTTTTCTACGTATTAAACTGAAAACGTATAAAAATGTTTTTTTGGTTTTTTTTTCCTTGCAAAAACTGTCGATACGCCTTCATGGGGACAAAACCAAACTCTGCCCTTTTGATTTCCTTGTTGTGTTGTCAGCACTCATCAGCACTCTAACCTTTGGGCCAAAAGTGGTTCAATCTGTGCTCTTTTTACAACATCTTGGACATTATTTAGACAAAACCTGCTCTTCACATTAAGATGAATGAATATACGTAAAGAGTTTGCACATACACCGATCAGGCATAACATTATGACCAGCTCCTTGTTTCTACACTCATTGTCCATTTTATCAGCTCCACTTACTATATA